GTACTTGTATCAGTTGTCTAGTACCCATAACACAAGCTTTAGCTAGCTTAACTTGGGACTAGATGGCGCTGTGTGAATTGTCCTGAGATTATTATTATACTCTACATATGACCAGTATTCCCCATTTTTCTGTTAAGTACAGTTAATTCTCATTATTCATCAGCTAAAGTTTTAGTAATGTGAATTAGCCTTTTGGTTTTTTTTTCATTGTCATGTCCGGTCAATTTTGTTTTTTTTTTCAGGAGTTACAGTGTAGTTCTTTTGTTTTTAGTTTAAGACAATATATATAACAGTTTGTTACCATTTAGAGCTTATAGCTTTATCAATGGCAGTATAAGTTCGCACATATATGGTTGTTTTGTTGAGATAAGATGTTTGTTTTTGATTCTAGTACAATTTGAAAGTTAGGTTATGTTTGTAAATCGATTTTTATTTTGGATTTATAATGTTATTAACTATGTTGTTTAATTTATATTTATAAATATTAGTAATAATATAAAAACAGAAAGACATTGTGTTTTTTTTTTCATAAGTACAAAAAAAATAAGGTATCTAAAACTGATTTGTTAAATAATTAACATATTTTTATTACCATTAACTTCACTTATATTTTTATCAGATTTCTTCCATCCATCGAAAATATAATATTACTAAATTGAAATTTACGACTATAAACTTTTTATTCAATTATTACATTTTATATAATGACAGTATTTCTATTATATATGTCTAGTGATTCCCAAAGTGGTCTATATCGACCCCCAGGGGTATGACATGCAAGGGGTCATCTTGTTGTTTTCACTTTGTTTTTAACACTAAACTTTACTACAGTTAGAAATTTACAAAAAATCAATACTAGGCAAGAATGGGGGTCTACCTAAAACCGATAAACAAGGGGTTTACGACACAAAAAAGTTTGGGAACCTCTGGTCTAAACCATAGATGTAAAACATGTGATTCATAGACCTAACGATATACGTACAAATGTATTACACTTTTTATTGTATTATTCTATAATTTGAATGTATATTATTAATAATTAGTATTTTTATTGTACTCGAGTGTAGCTGTGAACATGATTGCGTGATAATGATGTTTTGTTATATCGGCTGGTGTTCTGAAATTTTGTGATATTCATAATTTGTTGCTAACACTGATGTTTTATTGTTATTTTATTAAATTAGATCAAATCAAATACTAACTTGTTTTTATTTCATATATTGTCCCGAAGCGAAGCAGTAGGTATCAATTTACATGAACAGCACTATGGACATTAAAATAAATAAAATAAATTTATTATTTACTAGCAGTACCCGCGACTTCGTCCGCGTGGAATTTAACTTTATTTTTCTAAAACAAAAGTAGCCTAAGTCACTCCTTATTACATCAGCTACCTGCCAAAAAAAGTACCGTCAAAATCGGTCCAGCCATTTCAGAGATTAGCCGGAACAAACAGAGACAGACAGACAAAAATTGTAAAATGTTATTTTGGTGTATGTACCGTATTTATATTCATATGCATGTAGTGAAAAACGGTTATTTCAATATTACAAACAGACACTCTAATTTTATTTATATGTACAGATTGTTCCGAAGCGAAGCGGTATTTATTGTTATGATCAGCACTACGGACATTACAATAAATAAAATAAATTTATTTAATATTTCGTCTGTAAATTCATTGCTTAATCACACCCTACTACCAGATTAAAATGCGAGATATTTGCCAGATAAAATAGGTGGGATTAAGGCAGAATAGAATAGAAAATAATTTATTCAAATAAACTTACATTGAAGCACTTTTGAGTAGTCATCACATTTTTTTAATCTACCGCTCCAGAAAGCTGTTTCATCATAAGAAGAACGAGGAAAAAACTTGCGTGTTGCTCTTTTAAATAATTTTATTGTTACTTTACATTTTAAGTTGAAGTGTGAATACAAACTACCAATTAGCACTTAATTAATTAAACTCAACAACTTTACTTTCAGACATATTTTTACAAACTTAAGAACAGAGGCAGTAAAGGTATGTGACACCCCTGGTGTTTCAGGCGTCCATAGGCTGCGGTAACCGTTTGCCATCGGATGGGCCGTATGCTTGTTTGCCACCTACGTGGTATAAAAAAAAAAGGTATCTTGCAGTATTATATTGATGGGTTGTTATAGATTATATCATTATAACCACAGATTGCAATGCAAGCTGTATTATTGATTGAAATAGGTGTATTAAGGCTTTTTGCAAACTTAAAAGAAGCTATATCTTGTAGTTCTAATGTTGCTTAAAATAAATGAATAGACGGATAGACGTCCACGTCCGTTCCGTTAGCGATCTGCTCGCATAATGGCGAATGTCCGAGTCACTGTTCATAGGCCGCCATCTTGTGCCCCACTACTCTCGAAACCGGAAGTCATAATACAAACTACATAGGATAGCTACTGGAAGTGAAACGATACTAAAAATAAATTATAGAATAATTTATTTACATTAATTACAATTTAATAAATACATTGTATTACAACGTTCATAGAATTGTTCAGTTTGTTATGTTATATATATAAATGTACCAAATTTTAAAACGTTACACATTAATTCTATAATGCTGTCTTTGTCCAAATATGCAGGTGTGTAAAGGACAAAACATGCTTGTTTTATAGGCACTTTTAAGAGACAATTTCATATGGTATTTACAGCGATAGAACTTAATTTAATCATGCCAACATTACTGCTAAACTCATCCAATAAATACTGTTTTTTTTCGGGACTACTCTGATGCTGTTGGCCGCAGCTGGCCTTTACAGTTTCACCGGATGATAGGGAGCGAGTGCAGATGGCACTCCAAATCCGCGGAAGGACTTATGGAGCGGCTGAAAGCTAGCTCCTGCCTGACGTATACGTGAGGGCACCGTTAGGGGTTCGAACCTCGGCTCAGGCCGTCGTAATTTCGTTCTCCAATTGAATTGGACGGGGAATCAATCGGAGGGGACATATTGGACTGATTCAATATAGTACTTTTTGTTGCCAAAACAAGGGCTAAAGGTGTTGTAAAAGTGTCGTAATTTTTAAAGCTAGGAGCGTGAAACTTATTTTTTAAGCTGCTGATTAAATATAAATAAATAAGACAATAGAGCTGTAAAAATGTTACCTTTAAGGATATAAAAAAAATGGGGAATGAAAGTTTGAATGGAAATTCGTTATTTTTAAAGATAGATCAATGAAACTTGCTACTCTGGCTTTTTTTGGGTTAGATTATTAATTATTTTTTCTTTATAGTATCAAGATCACAATCCCACGCGGACAAAGTCGAGGGCACAGCTAGTTAATGTATATTAAACCATTAAATTACCAAGGGTACACATATCTCCATTATTAATTACTCTAAAAACTAATTATAGAAGTTCAGATTGTAAGTTTGTTAACTATATGATTTAAAAAACCTGTTTTTGGCTTTTACTCTATATCTATAGTGGAGCGCGGAGCGATCTCAGAGATCAGATTTGCATTGTTTATAACGATACTCTTCCGAAACTTGCTTGATCGAGACCAAAATTTCATCGAATATATCTATTCGGCCTCCGCCATTTACCACTCAAAAAATCCGATCGGTCGAGGTCGAGTTTTTTAAAATAAACGCGCCCCGCTCAACATATAACCTGATGTGTAAACAACACACCGGGAACAAACCTAGTACATACATTTAGGTTTTATCACAAATAGTATACGTTACAGAACATTTAAACCAATACAATAGAATATGGGTAAAACTGCATGTGTGTGCCACAGCAATACAAAATGGCTCATAGCTCATGGAGAATCACTCAAGGAGCACAACATTATATACATCATTGTGAATTTAATAATCTTTTATTATAATTATACATCATTATAACTTATTAATTGTACATAAATAATTACAAACAAAATTTCAACAACAGAATTTCAACTTTGTAACTTATTAACAACCACAACCGAGCTGATCTCATGTTCATCTTATCCTCCACTGGTGTTCCGCCATCGTATACCGTTAGAACAATAGGTGCACCATTATCATTCATTAAATAAATATCTCATCATCGATACATATTTATCGATTTCTAATATCGATCGCCTGTATAATCGATATTAGAAATCAATAAATAAGTATTGATGTACAATAAATAGTAATACAATAGTATGAGAAACGTATATATTTCTTAGTTTATTTGATATCATGTCGCTTAACGTTTTAAACTGCCTTTCTTTAGGTTATCATGTATATAGGATACTATGTTATCGAAGGTTAAACCTCGATATGTCAATATTTTCCCCACTACATTATCGATATTTATTTAATATCGTGGTATATCGAACATCCCTAATACTTCTCTCCTCTGCAGAGCCAATTATTATACTAGGACATTATAGCTCTATCTGTAAGAAGTCCTGTAATCGGTCTCAGGGAAGGGGCGTTAATGTCATCTTGACAGCTGACAGTTGAAAGATTAAGTTGTAATTTTAGATGATTTATGTTCATGAGTGCGAAACCAAGTAGCTTAAGAATTTATGTAAGTCCCATACTTGGTAAAAAATACTTTATCCCGATTCCCCCCAGGGTCCAACTTTCAAAAACACTATCGTGATTAGTCGCGGATATTTTTTTAAATAATTTAAAAGGAATAATTCTTTCATACATTTTTTTTGGACAATTTGTACCGTTTACGCAGCGCACGCAAAAGGAAAACGAGGAAGCACTCAAATTTTAATAATTTCCCCCGTTTTTGCAACATTTTCACTGATGCTTCGCTTCTATATAGTCGTAGCTTAAAGCTATATAACATTACACTACGACCTTACTCGACAAATGGACTATGCAACACAAAAATATATTTTTCAATTCGAACCACTAGTTCCTGAGATTATCGCGGTCAAACAAACAAACTCTCCAGCTTTATAATATTAGTATACGTTATAATTATCAGTCACTCTATTCTCCCAAATTTGAATTTAAATGAATAGATATTACTGTCAACATGTTCATCATTTATTTGAAAAGAATAGGAGCTGAGTTTCTTGTCAGTTCTTATCTCGAAATCATTCGGAACTGACGGTAGATTTCACATATCATAAGTCTGTAATAGACCAACATGAATAAAGATATTTTGAAGCAGCAGGAGGTTCTTCCGCGGGGCCTTTTGGGCCGCCGGGTACGGGCCTAGAGCATATGCTCATTACTCAGGCATACTGCTGGGATGGACCACCCCAGCGTCGTTCGTTTACGGCGTTAGTTGACGAGGCTGGCTACTATTATATTTTGAATTTGAATAGATGATTTTCCCTCATTTAGGCATTACACTACGATAACTAGAATTAGTATAATATAACTACGACAGAGATCTGAGCATATCTTGCAAGTTGCTATCAAGTCTATATTTCATTAACTTTCATAAGTCCACTTTGGAGCCTATATTACTGAGCGGGATTGCCTGCAGCTCCGTTCGGAGACACAGGAACTCCCCCGTCACACAGGTGATGGCTGCACAGGCTATGTTCAGGGTCCACCAGGAGAAGGTGGTTGGGAAGACTCCGTTGTATATCCAGCAGACTATTAGGTGGATGCCATGGTAGGTGCAGCTGGAAAAAATGCGACCATTTTATATTAATTACTAGCTGTTATCCGCGATTTCATCTGTGGAATTCAATATGAAATAAAAGTAGCCTAAGTTACTCCTTATAATATTAGCTATTTACAAGATAAAGTCCCGCCACTACATGCGATTCTGTGAAATGATGTCAAAAAGAAGCAAGTTTTTTTTAACACTTATTTTATTTAAATAAATATAAATTATAAAATAAAAGTAGCCTAAGTTACTTCTTATAATATCGCGTCAAAATTGGTTCAGACTGAAGATTTCGTCAAAATCGGTTAGCTGTTTCACTCATTTTAACATTAGCTATCTGGGAGAGAAGTAAACTAAAGTCTCGTCAAAATTGGTAGAGACTTTTCAGAGATTAGCAAAAATAAGCTGACAGAAAATGTATATAGGTCCACACACCACCCCGCCATCCCTCTGGTGAGATGACGGTCTTATGAAGATCTTCCACATGTTAGTAAAGAAAATAGATACAACAACCAGTTAATATATATGTATTACATAACAAACCTGAAGTCTAAGCACAACTTAGTCCGACCAACAATGTTCCACAGCATGAACGATCCAATAACTGCATTCAGAACAAATGCAGCTATCACAGATCTGCCCTCATTGTCCCTTACATGTATCTCCTGAAACAATATTACATTATAGTCATAAATTAATGATATTTACCAATGATACTCTATATCTTATATATAAAATTCTCGTGTCAGTTTTTCGTTCCCATACTCCTCCGAAACGGCTTGCCCAATTCTCATGAAATTTTGTGAGCATATTGAGTAGGTCTGAGAATCGGCCAATATCTATTTTTCATCCCCCTAAATGTTAGGGGTAGTCCACCCCTAAATTTTATTTTTTAGACAAAATTTTTAGTTTCAATTTTTTTATTATACAACATACAATCCTAAATTTTCACCCTTCTATCATCAACCCCTATTTTTTATAGCATTATTAATTTATATGGCAAAACAATGTTTGCCGGGACAGTTACTATGTTTTATATAAATATATGGTTATAATGGAAAGATGCACCCATCTGCACTAACGGTTTACGCTGGTGGGGCACTAGTGGGGTTTGATGAAATGAGCATGAAATGCACTACGAGTTTATGCTGACTGGGCACCAGTGGAGAATGATAAAATGAGCATGAAATCAGAGCATATTAGCACATAGCAATTTACCAAAATATTATTTTATAACAGTCATCATTGTAAAATCACAAGGCACCGAGCACAAGCACTATGACCCACCATGCGCTATCCCACGCCTGCCATATCTCGTCATTCGGCTGCCCCCGCCACTTGTCACCCACTCACAACCTTTTGCATTTATAATATTAGTACAATTGCTACAGTACAGGGTACTCAAGGTTTGAGATCTTTTTTGAAGTGGTACGCAGCAAAAACTAATCGGGAACCACTAAAATAGACTGATGCAGTCAGAACAATGAAGAAACTGAAATGACAATCGGCAGGACATTGAATATGAAGTAAGAGAAATGGACCAAGAATGTCTTAGATTGGTAGAGGAACGTGGGGTACAGTGGTTTTTAGGACTTGATCTATTTTACTCCAGATCGATCAGTGGTTTAATGAAAACCTAGAAGATACATTTAACTTTGAGACAACAACAATAACATTGTCAGAATTTCACAAACTGGTGCAGTTATTATATAACATTCTTTAGAACAACAACCACGTTTTCTCTTTGTAACATTATTACTACAAACTAAAATAGACTTACATGATACTCAAATAGATGGTCCAAAGTCCTAGTAGAACCTGTGAGGTCCTGCATGATAGCCGTCAGCAAACAAAGTGTTAGATACATTACGGACTGCATTGCCACTATCTGTGAAATTATTAGACACGGATCCCATTGCGTATAGCGGAACGAGCCCGTTAGTTTCTTTATTTTCGACATTTTGCGCGGAGAACTCTCGTGTCACACATCCAATGTTTTGACTTTACGAAAGTTTAAGAAAAAAACTCTCGTTTCTATCCAGTTTATGCTGATTTAAGTTGGTAATAGTTTACACGTTTGCTTTTCGCAGTTACTATATCGTTTAATTGTAAACATATGGAAGTTTAATGATATTATACGGAGAAAAAGGTTAATTTGATGTTATATTTTTCTTAAATGACTCGAAACAAATACTGTACTGACTGACTGACTGATGGCATTTGACAGTTAACAACGTACACGTTGACAGTGGATATGTCAATATTTGTGTCAATATGACAGATATGTGACTGACAATGGTCATCGTTGACGGCCTCGGGGGCCTAGTGGTTTAACACACCCCTTTACCTCCGTAGTTCGATTTCTCGCACGGCACAAAAGTTTATATTCATGATTATAATAGTTTGTATCGGTCTGGTTGTTTTCTATGTATAATATATATTATGTATGTATTTTTTTAAGAAAAACATATCTATATATATGTATCAGTTATCTAATACCCATAACACAGGCTTAAACTAACTTAATTTGAGTCTAGATGGCGTTGTGTGAATTGTCCTGAGATTATTATTATTATTTTCACTGTTGTCTCATTTTCTCAGCTTTTGCTGATTTTTTACGCTTTATGGCGTTACTATTATTAATATAATCTGGTAATTCTTTTATGAAGTACCGCGATTCAAAAATATATTGACTTGTTTGAGGTCCAATGTATAACAGCTGTGTTGTATTTATATGTACAAATAAATAAATATATAAATTCCATGCCCATAGTGAGCCGTGTGTTGCAATATTGCTGTAGGAATCATTTTAAAGAATTCCTCAGAACACATTTTTTTTTATATTTGGTAGAACTCGCAGAGCGAGACGAAGTCTAAATTTTCAAGTCAACAGAATTAGGTATGGTATATATAATGTGACCACTTATTCTTCGGCACAAAACGGGACATCGGTTTATTTAGGTCAATTAACAGACAGTCAATGAAATAAAATCTTTTTTAAATTATCTATTCAGGTAAAGTTAGCCTAAAAATTACGAATTAAAAATATAGCCGATAAATATAATTAAACGTTTTGTTTAGTCATATTTATATTTATCTGATAAAAATAAAATGTATACTTATATTTATATATTTATCAGAAGAACAAATTTGCTTTTTCAAGAAGATTTTAAGTTAATCTTCATAGCTTACTTAAAATCTTCTTGAAAAAGTAAGTAAGTAAAGTAACTCTTGGCACGTTTTATTATCATCATCATCATAATTTCAGCCCGGAAGACGGCCACTGCTGAACAAACTCCTCCCCCAAAGATCTCCACGACGATCGGTCCTGCGCTGCTCGCATCCAACGCCTTCCAACGATCTAAACCAGATCGTCGGTCCACCTGGAGGCCTTCCCATGCTGCGTCTTTCGGTCCGTGGTCGCTACTCGAGGACTTTATTGCCCCAACGGCCATCTGTCCTATGAACTATGTGCCCTGCCCATTGCCACTTCAGTGTCGCAATTCTTCGGACTATGTCGGTCACTGTGGTTCCTCTGCGGATCTACTCATTTCTGATTCAGTAACGCAGAAAATTTTACGGCTCGTTTACTCAAAATTTCGCACGGTTACCGAAAGCGCGAAAATTTTGCATTCCAGCGTTCATTTCGGGAACACCGAGACTCGTAATTCTAAAAAGTGACAGTTCCTTTTAAAACTTGACGTCTGGTCACATTATATATACTTAAAAGTGAACTACTATACTTTAAAGTGAATAACATTTGCGTTTTTAAGCACTGCAATGACAAATCCAACGACTGATAAAGTCCCTTCGGCCTGCGAGGAAGCAACCAATTAATTAATTGATAAGATGCAAGAATAATTAAAATCGGTTCAGTATTGACGAAATCTTGAAAGAACGTTAAAAATTACAGGATACGCATATGATAATCGTTATTAGGATGTGTTTTTTTAAACGATCGAGGTGAAGCTGGTCAGATACATGGGGGAAATTGCCCATCAGTGGGACAACATAGTAGGTATAATCTGTACATATAAATAAAATTGGAGTATCTGTTTGTAATATTGAAATAACCGTTTTTTGCTACATGCACATGAATATAAATAAGGTACATACACCAAAATAACATTTTTTACAATTTTTATCTGTCTGTCTGTCTTTCTGTTTGTTCCGACTAATCTCTGAAATGGCTGGACGGATTTTGACGGGACTTTTATTGGCAGGTAGCTGATGTAATAAGGAGTAACTTAGGCTACTTTTATTTTTGAAAACATAAAGTAATGCTGCAAAATTCCACACGAACGACGTCGCGGGTAAGGCTTGTAATAATAATAAAATATTTATTTTAAACTGCTGACCAGCATAACTTCGTCTACATCACACTTACTTCAGATTCATCATAATATTCCTCCCAAAACACAATATCTTTTTAAAATATAGCCCATATTATGTTATTCTGATGTATAAGCTATATTATTGTAAAGTTTCATCAAAATCGGTTCTGTAATTTTGACGTGAAATAGTAAAAAATATCCATCAACCCCTTTGCCCTGGCGCGGCATCAACTCCGAAGCAACTATCCTCGGGTAATTGGATTGACAGCCTCTCGGGGCGGGTTCCAAAAACTAACTTAAATTCTAAAATCTAAGCTACAGATGTATATACATACATAAACTAGCTTTTGCCCGTGGCTTCGCTTGCGTTAATTTATCCCCTTAGGGGTGGAATTTATCAAAATCCTTTCTTAAGGGATGCCTACGTCATAGTAGCTTTATACATGCAAAGTCTCAGCCCGATCGGTTTAAAATTGACAAAGTTTCATACAAACTTTCACCCCTATTTTATCCCCTTGGAGGTAGAATGAATCAAAATCCTTTCTTAGCGGATGCCTACGTTATAACATCTACCTGCATGCCAAATTTCAGCCTGATCCGCCTAGTGGTTTGGGCTGTGCGTTGATAGATCACTATGTCAGTCAGTCACCTTTGAGTTATATATATTTAGAAGATAATATTTACATTAACTTATTCTGACTTAAGGAAATACTTGGGGACTGTTTTTTTTTGTTTTTGAAATTTTTTAGTTGTTATTATTTTTATTTTTATAAATACAAATTACGTGTCACGTTGTTTGTCCGCGATAGACTCCTAAACTACTAGATCGATTGCAAATTTGATTTGCACATTGTGTGCAATTTGATCCAATTTGAAAGATAGGATAGCTTACATCTCAATTTATAGTCGCAATATTCTTTTATTCAAGAACCTTAGACACAGCAACGCGTGGCCGGGTCTGCTAGTACACATATAGAATAGAATAGAATAGAATAGAATAGAAAATCATTTATTCAAATAAACTTAATTTAAGCACTTTTGAATAGTCATAACAATTTGTTTTTTATCTACCACTCGTTCGGAAAGCTGTCTCATCACAAGAAGAACGAGCAAGAAACTTGTGTGTTGCTCTTTTAAATAATCCTTGTAAGTTTACATTTATAAATAAAACGTCTCTTTTGTAAAATAAATATGTGAATACAAACTACCAACAAGCACTAATTTTTTGGGTCAAATATAATCATGCAATAAGATTAAATCAGTCGTAGTGATAAGAGCAGACCAGTCCCTACAAGCAGCACTCGTTCACGAGTATGACGGATGAGCCAGCCATCACTGCGCTCGACCATATTTTAGGGAGCCCATTGACCCGGCCCACCACGCCGCCACATGTCTGGACATTTTAGTGAGCATGACTACTCATTCCACACGACCACGTCACAGCTACAAAAATTACTATATGGTAGTTACAGTATTCGCACTTTACATAAGGATGCATGCGGCAATCAATACAAAAGCCGCTACGCTATCATATAAGAAAGCAGTATGAAAATTAAAATTATAACGTTGTCCGCAAATAAACTTATTCTTGCTATATATTGCTATCATCTATAAATTCATCTATCTTATAATAGGCTTTTTTACATAACATTTGTTTAATATAAGATTTGAATTGCCTCTCTGTAAGATTTAGCGTACACTCTGGCAGTTTATTATAGAATCTTACGCAATTACCATAAAATGAATTACTAACTTTGTGTAGACGGCATTTAGGTAAAATTAGCTTATTTTTATTGCGTAAGTTTCTACTTGTACAGTCTTTAAGTTTCTTGAAACTATCTAAGTTTTTCCTTGTATACATAATATCATTGATTCGAATATATGTGTAATAAGCATAAATGTACTGTGAGGCAACGGTGAGGATATTTGATTGTTTAAAGCATTGACGTAATGACTCTCTAGAACCCATACCATAAATAGAACGTATGGCTCTCTATTGTAAAATAAATATAGTATTTATATCGGCAGCTTTACCCCATAGCAGTATGCCATATGACATAATGCTATGGAAATAACTAAAATATACAAGTTTTGCCGTCGCCACGTCTGTTAATTGCCTTATCCTTCTAATTGCATAAGCAGCAGAACTAAGTCTACTGGCTAATTTTGAAATATGGGGCCCCCATTGTAACTTCGAGTCCACTGTTATTCCTAAAAAAACTGTATCATTAACAAAATTTACTATTTCATCATTAAGCAATAGCTGCGTATTTACTTGTTTTACATTAGGCAGCGTGAATTTAATGCACTTAGTTTTGTTGGAGTTCAATAATAGATTATTACATGTGAACCAATTTAGTATAGCAGAGATAGCATAATTTACATCGTCTAATTGATTACATTGGCGACCAATTTTAAACACTAACGAAGTATCATCCGCAAATAACACTATATCTGCAACTTTCTCTACCATGTAGGGAAGGTCATTTATATAAATTAAAAAGAGAAATGGGCCTAATATTGAACCTTGAGGAACGCCCATTTTTATATTAGTTCCCTTAGACTTTACACCATCAATATCTACAGTATATATTTATATATAAATATATATACCTATCAGGGCCTACCTGGACAAGATACCCTGCAGATGTAACCAAGTAGAAAATTATGCAAGAGACATACGTCCAACAGTGGACTAATGGATACTGAAAGAGATATATATTTTTTATAATCTTAACTTTTTAAAATTAGTGGAATGCGCTCACGGAACCCTGTCCGCACTTTAGCCACACTCACGGCCGTTTTTTAATGCTATATTTATACAAATGGCGAACAATATGCAAAAATGTATTTGCCGAAGTAAATTTTGGATACATTGCGCTCAATTATATTGTTAATTAGATTATAATATTGTCACAGTTTCAGTCAGAACACGAAATGGCACAGTCGACACTATTTCTTGTAATGTGAGTGATTTAATTTTTGTACCTACATAATGATTATTTATTTAAGTGAAACTGTTATTAGTTATTACACACGATACAATATAATTCCAAATACATTCTTCTTGCCTGTGTTGTGTAATTTGTTATGATACTTAATAGATTTTAGTACTTTAAATCTAATAATATCATATATAAAATTCTCGTGTCACAGTTTTCGTTCCCATACTCCTCCGAAACGGCTTCACCGATTCTCATGAAATTTTGTGAGCGTATTGAGGGTCTGAGAATCGGCCAACATCTATTTTTCATCCCCCTAAATGTTAGGTAGTCCACCCCTAATTTTTTTTTTTATTTAAAGGCAAAACAACGTTTCAGGTCAGCTAGTATATATATATAATTCTGGCTGAGCCCGCGGTTACACTCACGTGAAATTTATAGCCTATTTGTTATTCTGATTTATAAGCCATATTACTGTAGTTTCATCAAAATCCGTTCAGTAGTTTTTGCGTGAAAGAATAACAAACATCCATACTCACAAATTCGCGTTTATAATTTTACAAGCTATGCCCGCGGGAAACCGCGGGTGAAAACCCGCGTTAAATTTCAATGTAAAATATAGCCTATGTGTAGAGTAAACGTCCATACTCATAAATTTTTAAGATAAGATATATATATTTTCATAAATGGTAATTTTCAACGAGTATGGTTTTATAAGTATAGTTTTCTTTTTTTAAATGATGATAATGGAATGGTGCACGTCCATACTCATAAATTTTTAAGATAAGATATATATATTTTCATAAATGGTAATTTTCAACGAGTATGGTTTTATAAGTATAGTTGAATTACTGGAGATAAAACAATTTTACAAAAAAAAAATATAATGCCGTAGTGTACCTAGCTTATGTACTAATTTCAAATATCTTAAGTAAATAAAAAGGTAGGAATGCACTTATATTAATTAGAATTTTTTTATTAGGCTTTCACGGACTACGAAAAAAAATTAATATAGGTAAAAATCTAAATTTTCATTCAGCACGACTTGCAACAATTAAAAAATATCTAATACTTTTGATTTTCATTAAGCTTGGGGTAACAGTATGTAATAAATATAAGTGTGCCTAAAAAATAAACCAACTATACAAATAGTCGTTTCCGAAATAGCATAGTAAGTATCTATGTAAATAACAAGTTTAAATATAACTTTATTTTTGAATGAATTACTTCACACTTAGATAATTATCGTATGAAACAAAAATTTCATTCAATTAAAAAACTTGATAATTTACTGTTGATATTCAGAGCCGAATGTTATTATTTTTCGAGGCGGGGTAAAAACTAAAAAATGCCACCCCATTAACAGCTCTCCCCCTCCGGCCAACAGTTTTCGTTATTGTGAATGATGGAGTATTATTTTTCGAGGCGGGGTAAAAACTAAAAAATGCCACCCTTCTAACACTCCCCTGCTCTCCTCCTCCGGCCAACATTTTTCCTCATTGTGAATGATGGAGTTCTATGTCCGGTCGAATATTATTATTTTTCGTAAAAACTAAAAATACCACCCCATGAACACTCCTCTGCTCTCCCCTCCGGCCAACATTTTTCCTTATTGTGAATGATGGAGTTCTATGTCCGGTCGAATATTATTATTTTTCGAGGTTATATATATATATTATATATCTTTATTGTCTAATATCTAATATTTTTTTTTTACAAATACAAAAATACAAATAGTTAAGAAGTCACCCCCTGTGTTAACAGTGGTCTGCTAAAACTAAAAAATGCCACCCTGTAACTGCTCCCTCCTCCGGCCAACATTTTTCCTCATTATGTAAAGTCCGGATAATGGAATCCTAAGTCCGGACAATCCTTTTTCTTTTTAAACTCTACCGTCATTATTTTAATACTACTTGTTTATCAACAGTTCGATAGCAACGATAGTGGTAAGCGCAGAGCCCACACTGAAATTTCCACCCGGCTTCAAATTTGGAGCTGCCACCTCTGCGTATCAGATTGAAGGAGCCTGGAATGTTAGTGGTATGTATTGATATATATTATATGAGCGGAGCGCAAAGCGCGGAGCGTACTCAGAGTTAGACTTTGCCTAAAAATTCCAAGAAAAATAGTTGAAATCTGTATCTCTTCAAAAAAAATTTCCGAGTTGCGCTCGTATGCCCGTGCGGGGGAGTTCACTCGATTTATCGTTGCGCTCGTATATCCCCGTACGGGGGACATCTGTCGTTTTATCGTTGCGCTCGTATATCCCCGTACGGGGGACATCTGTCGTTTTACCGTTGCGTTCGTATGTCCCCCCCATACGAGTTATTTGCTAACTTTCTAAAGCATAATTACGAGTACAAAAGGTTAAAACGTCATTGTAATTTTAATCGATAATAATATTTAACAATATTACATGCAATAAATAAATTATTTAAATAAATAATCATTGTATACTGTCTTACAATACTTTTATGTTATATAAACTGTATCTACGTATGTCAGTTGTAATATTGCTACAATTACGTTCAATAAATGAATCATTGTATTAATTTATGTAATGACGTACATACCTCTCATTATATATATTCTTTTTGTCTTATTATACAAGCAAAACAAATTGTACCATAATATCCAGTTTGTTCATGTCGATACGCAAATATATATGTATAACTATTTATACAAATTATATCATTATTCACTTAATAATTAAAATGGAAGATGTTTCATTGCTTTCTGTTCGTCCCTATGTATGCTCAATAATAATAATAATATAATAATAATAATCTCAGGACAATTCACACAGCGCCATCTAGACCCAAGTTAAGCTTGCTAAAGCTTGTGTTATGAGTACTAGATAACTGATACATATACATAGATTTTTTTTGTAAATACATACCTACATATTATACACAGAAAACGCCCAGACAGATACAAACAATCATACTCATGAATACAAAATGTTTGTGCCGTGCGAGGAATCGAACTCGCGACTATCGGTCGTAAAGTGGTGTGCTAGACCGCCGAGGTCGTCAAATCTTTCAATGCTTAAATCTTTAAAAATACTACGCAAAACTACGCAACGGATTTTGCAGCGGTTTTTTTTAATAGATAGATTTTTTTTCGGACTACAGCTTTACAGCTTCACCGGACAATAGGGGGCGAGTGCAGATGACACTCCAAACCCGCGGAAGAACTTATGGAGCGGCTGAAGGCCAACTCCCGCCTGACGGATACGACTTTAGTATGAGGGCTCCACTAGGGGTTCGAACCTCGGTTCAGGCCGTCGTAACATCGGTCCTCGTTTGAATTGGACGGGGGATCGATCAGAGGGACGACCGAGACTGCCGGTGTGGAGCGCAGGCGCCCGGTTGAATGCGCGATATTATGTGTATGAGGTCGTCGTCTTTGTCTGCGAGGACGGTGTCGTGTGTGTGTGTAAAAGTGTGGTCGAGGTGGAAATTATAAATAGATTCAAGAGAAAGGTTTATATTTCCCACACTCGTGGGAAACCGGGATATCTAGTAATCCATAACTTAAGTTCAATTTTTTATGTTATCTGTGTATTTATAGATAAAGGGGAGAGCATATGGGATAGGTTCACGCACACTCTACCTGACCGCGTGTATAATGGCCACACTGGAGATATAGCGTGTGATTCATACAACCAATGGAAGAAAGATGTCCAAATAGCCGCTGAGTTAGGACTCCATCACTATAGGTTAGTACTTACTTGAAGCGTTCCATAACAGGCTTAGAGTTTCTGTCTGTTTCTCTGTTTATTCCGGCTAATCTCTTAAATGGCTGGACCGATTTTGACGGGACTTTTTTTGGCATGTAGCTGATGTAATAAGGACTAACTTAGGCTACTTTTATTTAAGAAGAAATCCTTTATATTAGAAAAATAAAGTTAAATTGACGAAGTCGCGGGAACAGCTAGTTAATAATAAAATTATTAATTTGTATAATTAGATCAACTGATTACTCTTCAGATTCTCTATATCTTGGACTCGTCTATTGCCGTCTGGTACACCCAATCATATCTGTGAAGATGGCATTAAGTATTACAATGACTTGATTGATGGCCTTTTGGAAAAGGGAATCGAACCTATGGTCACCATATACCATTGGGATTTACCGCAGCGCTTACAGGATCTAGGTAAGAAACCAGAGATGTTATGAGAGAATCTTATCTATATATACATATATATAAATAAAATTGCAGTGTCTGTTTTTAATATTGAAATAACCGTTTTTTACTACATGCATATGAATATAAATACGGTACATACACCAAAATATTTTTTTTACAATTTTTGTCTGTCTGTTTGTATGTTTGTTCCGGCTAATCTCTAAAATGGCTGGACCGATTTTAACGGAACTTTTTTTGGCAGGTAGCTGTTGTAATAAGAACTAACTTAAGCTACTTTTACTTTAGAAAAATAAAGGTAAATTCCACGCGGACGACGTCGCGGGAACAGCTTGATTATTATATATTTATAAATAACTTACCAATCTTGTAGTAATGTATTTAGCAACATATATAATAATAATATTAAAAAAAACCAGCAAAAACTGAGTGAATATAAAAAAAAATAATAATAAAAGGTCAATTCACACAGCGCCATCTAGTCCCAAACTAAGTACATGATACTGATACATATACATAGATTTTTTTTTTTGTAAATACATACATATTATACATAGAAAATACAAACGAACATATTCATGAATACAAATGTTTGTGCCGTGCGAGGAATCGAACCCGCGACCATCGGACGTAAAGCGGTATGCTAGGCTGCTAGACCACCGAGGTCGTCAATATATATATGACACAATAATAGAAAAACAATGTAATAAAATATATGTCTCAAATTGTAAATAAAAAATATATAGTTTAAAATTAGAAACAGCTATAAAAAACGTCTGTCGCCAACAAATATCTTTATTTCAGGTGGTTGGTGCAACCCCCTAATAACTGATTGGTTTGCTGACTTCGCGAGAATCGTATTCTCCATATACGCTGACAGGGTGAAATGGTGGATTACCATAAACGAGCCATTGATTATATGTGACTTCCCATTTAACACTGGACAGATGGCACCAGGAATTATAGACCCTCAGATTGGCTCTTATTTGTGCACAAAACACACGCTGTTAGCTCACGCAAAGGCTTGGAGAATTTACGACGAAGAGTTCAGACCTAAGTTTCATGGTAAGGGATCTGCAGATTTTGCCAAGCTGAAGAGGAAACACTACACGTCCTATGTGGTTGTAGCCAACTCATGCGTAAACGAAATATCTCCTTTGGAAAGTTTACACTCCATCCTGAGGAGATAAAAACCATCACCCTGTCCAGTCATGCATAAACGAAACATCTCTTTTAGAAAGTTTTTATTTTTATATAACACAGGGGACAAACGAGCATGCGGCTCACCTGATGGTAAGTGATTTGTGCAACACCAGGGGAATCGCAAGTACGTTGTCGGCCTTTTAAAAAGGAATAAGCTCTTTTCTTGAAGGTTTCAATATCGTATCGGTTCGGAAATACCATTGCTGGAAGGAAGTTTAGACTCCATCCTGAGAACATAGAAAGATTGATGGTTTCTATCTCCTAAGAATATTTCTTCAATTCTTGTCCCTGACTGGTCTAGGTAGCGTTAGTAATGTGGGCTCTTGACCCCATTACTAGCAATGTACCATGTCAGGTTGACCTCTACGCGGTTCCCCCTAGAAACCATGGTGTCACGATGGGCTAACTGACCTAACCTCATGTTCATCATATCATCCTCCACTGGTGTCCCGCCAGCGTAAACATCATTATCATCCATAAAAAAACTCTAAAAAGGGCGAGCACAATCGATCTATAAAGTTGTATACCTTACAGGTCTAATCACTTTACCAAATCAATAAATAACTTACTAAATAGCCCAATCTCTCAATAAAAAAAGAGTTTAATAAAACACATTTTGAATTATAATCGTAAAATGAATAATGTAGTCAAAGATTTTGATGAATCATTTGTTGTAGGAAAGGTGTCAATTGCGAACCAGCTGTTAGCATATGAAGAGACATCTCCAGGTGATAGAGAACCCGTAGAATTGATCAGTCAATTATCGGTATGGATTTTAAATATGACGCGAGTTTCAAGGCGTTTGGGGTCCTGGTCCCCACCAACATGCTGATCACCTTTTTGAAGGAGAACTACTGGCCAAAGGGTGCGGTGTATCAGCGCTACCGTGGCAGATTGCCGTCGTCAGTGTCATGACCACACAGACAATTTATATTTATTTTCCTATTAATTATATCTAAATCTAGACACGCGGTAGCGTGTCAAGCCGAGTTTCAAGTAAACTGGCAAGCAGCACCGTGTGTATATTTACACGAACCATTTGGAGCCACTTTTGACCCCCTCATAACTCAAAAACTCTTTCACACAAACCTGTCAAATTTGGTTCATATATTGAGACTTGCGAGATAAATATGTGTTCCAAATTTCATAAACATATCTCAAACGGTTATTTAGATATTAATGTCCAAAAATCGTCATTTTTATCACTGATCAACTATAGATCAAAATTATAACCCACTTCCAGATGACCTAGGAAGTTCAAATTTGGCATGCAGATAGGTAATTAGGTGAATATAAAGGAAAAAATCTGAAACTGGTAAATTGTTATCATTTTACTACAATTTTTCACTTTAATTGATTCTATTTCAACTTATACTGGACGAATACTAAAATTCTATGAAAACGTCGATAGCCACCAATTGACATTGATCCCTGGCGAAATATCTCATCTTGTACTGGACGGAAACTAATATTGTATGAAAACGTCGATCATTACCAATTTACGTTGACCCCTTCACATCAGTGTCGATAACTAGCAAACTTCAAATATTGCATTGAGCGGTAAACACTAGTTGCTATAATTTAGATTCTGTCTAAAATATACTCGTACTTATAACTAGGAGTATAGTCGAATTTCGTATTTATTATGTTATTAACTGAGATTTGATATTAATTATTGTTTCAATATTTAGCGCACATCGATAGTGTAAAATCATTATTTTTATAAATAATTATTAAATAATAGGCATTTCGGTATAGGGCGCCGCGGCGCCGTGTGGGAGCGGTGCGATAAAACGTTGACGCGAACCTGTCCGAGCGAATGTTAGCCGCCCTCATATGTCTCAATGTTTTGTTTCTCGATATCTAACCTATAAGGTTGCGATTTATGCTACGAAATTCATAGTTTTCTTAAATTATACTTATATATTTGTGGTTATATTATTATTACATTATTTTAGTAAATACGTATGGTATAGACAATAGTTTAAACCAAAAATTAATAACAATTTTAGTATAGTTATAAGTAGGAATGTATAGTTAACTCGAGAATGAGAACTCATTGGTAACAAATTGTTTTCTTGAGAATTCAATAGATAACAGTCAATTTGTTACATAATCGTCTTTACGAACTATAACGTGTCAATACGAAGTTTCAGATATTAAATAATGTATATGTTGAAAGAGAACAATTCCGTATTTGCTTAACATATGCTATTACTATCCACAAATCACAAGGCCTTAGTTTTGGCAGTCCTCTTCTCAACATAGGCTCCTCTATATTTAATAAAGGGCAGGTTTACGTTGGACTCTCCAGAGTTAAAACCTTAGATGGAGTACGTCTTAACAATTTAGATCCAAGTCACGAGAGCTCTATTGTAGAGTACAACCATCTGTGGACGTTATACCGCCCCGATTTGCCCAAAAATTCCTGATACTGAATTGGCATTGCACTTGAACATTTAAAAGTTACAAGAAAATATAGAAAATAACACAAAAAAAAAGACAATTATACCCCGTAAATATACGAAAATACAGTAATTTATCAAAAATAATTTGGTATTAATTTAGTTATAAATAAGTACTTCGTATAATTTATGTACAAAAAGTAATGATATCCCATCAAAAACATAAATGTGAAATGATAGCCGAGTTTAATATTATGATATATACCTTGATTGTTGACTTCTACGACAAAAGAGATGAGATCTAAATGGGTGCCAAGTTCAATGGTCTGTCCTGAAATGTACATATTTATAACAATATAAAATGTCATTTCTTCTTATAACTTAGGATAATATACTGTAGCCTAAGGTCTAACTTGGCTAGTTTTCATATACGAAATATACTGTAGCCTTCGCAAGTTCTAAACATGTTACTTGTCGGTTCCTATTTTAATATTAGTAGTAACTAGCAATCCAAAGTAATAATTGGTATATGAGAACTGGCCAAGTTAGAACTTAGGCTACAGTATATTATCCTAAGTTATAAGAAGAAATGATATTTTATATTGTTATAAATATGTACATTTCAGGACAGACCATTGAACTTGGCACCCATTTAGATCTCATCTCTTTTGTCGTAGAAGTCAACAATCAAGGTATATATCATAATATTAAACTCGGCTATCACTTCACATTTATGTTTTTGATGGGATATATATAACTCAAAGGTAACTGACATAGTGATCTATCAACGCGCAGCCCAAACCACTGGACGGATCGGGCTGAAATTTGGCAAGCAGGTAGATGTTATGACGTAGGCATCCGCTATGAAAGGAACTTGATTAATTCTACCCCCAAGGGTATAAAATAGGGGATGAAAGTTTGTATGAATCTTCGTCAATTTTAAACCGATCGGGCTGAGATTTACCATCATAGAAAGGATTTTGATAAATTCCACCCTTAAGGAGATAAATTACCGCGAGCAAAGCCGCGGGTAAAAGCTAGTTATTCATATTTTGTTAGTAGCCTCAATTAAATAAATTAATATATTAAAAATTAGAGACTTGACACAATTCAGAAATTATGTCATACGTTTAAGCAGAGGGTCGATAAAGTGTGTCATAGTATGACAAGTGAATGGAGGAGACATAAAGTCTTAGGATTTATTAATCATGAATGATGTATTATGTATGACTATTTCAGGACAATACACACGGCGCCATCCAATCGTAAGCTAAGTAGAGCTTGTGTTATAGGTACTAGACAACTGATATAAATACTAAAATATATATATTTTTGTATACATAATTATTTTTAAGTAATTTTTTGCTTTATTTAGTTAGTCTTAGCATTACTTAAGGAATAAAATTAGTTTTAGTTTTAAATTCGAGATGTCCGGCTATTCGGTCACATGGTTGGCCGAATATCCGGTATCCGGTATCGGGTCAAACTGCTATCCGTTTGATCTCTAATTTTTATCAGTTGTCTAGTATGTACCTACTATAACACAAGATCTGCTTACCGTGGGACTAGATGGTGTTGTATGAATTGATCAGGGTTATTGTTATTTATGTACATGTTTTTCATTGCAGACCGGAATTTATTCACACGCCATCTACTCCAAAGAAGGCGGTTGGCCTCCTATCATAGAAAAACTATTTGCGGAAAAAAGCAAAACAAAAGGCTACCCTCGCTCTAGACTTCCCGAATTTACTAAAGAAGAAATAGAATTAGTTCGAGGTATGATTTATTTTTTGTCTAGAATGATAAACTGTAATGAATTAGTTCGAGGTATGATTTATTTTTTGTCTAGAATGGTAAACTGTAATGAATTAGTTCGAGGTATGATTTATTTTTTGTCTAGAATGGTAAACTGTAATGCTATTACAGTTTACCATTCTAGACAAAAAATAAATCATACCTCGAACTAATTCTATTGATTGATCTGGATTGATATTGATCTGGTGACTCCTCTTCAACTTGGCAATATCTGCAGATTAAACCCTACGGTTTAATCTACAGATATTGCCAAGCTGAAGAGGAATCACCATTGCACATCCCATGTGGTTGTAGCCCACTCATGCACAAACGAAATATCTCCTGTGGAAAGTTTACACTATATCCTGAGGACATAAAAACCATCGTTCCTAAGAATATCCTTCAATTCTTCTCTCTGACGGGTCTAGGTAGCGAACTTTAAAAAAGGGCGAGCACAATAGATCTATGTAATAAGTCGCAGTGGTACAGGAGAATTTATAAGCTTAATCTGAATATATAATATATATATAAGGTTAAGCTGAATATAAAAGCTTACTATAAAATAACTTTTTATAGAAAAACTTTAAATCCATAGCACTGACAATATTATCTGATTACACTAATAATGAGTGCGTAGCGATTTCTATGTTGATTATAGCATGCGTCTTACTTGTTATACTGTAATTATTAATATAAAAAAACATCTATTAAAAAGAGCAACACACAAGTTTCTTGCTCATTCTTCTTGTGATGAATCTGCATTCCGAATGAGTGGTAGAATCAAAATATGAGTATTCAAAAGTGCTTGCAATGAGTTTATTTAGTAGTAGTTTAATAAAGATTATTTCTATAAATCGAAACGTATACATATATAAAAAAAAACTGCGAAACAAATAAAAGAATAAAAAATATAACTACAAATTGATTTCAGGAACCTACGACTATTATGCTCTGAATTACTACACGGCCCGTGTAGTGAGGTTTGCGAGACCAGGAGAGGAGGCGGGTCCTTGGCCCGTGTTTGGTTCACCAGAACTTAATATAGTAGCTAATGTTTTACCCGAGTGGAAAACTACAGTTGCTGATATATTTTTTGTAAGATTTCTTATATACATACACTAGCTGTCCCAGCAAACGTTGTTTTGCCATGTAAATTAAAATTACTATTAAAAAAATAAGGGTTGGTGATAGAAGGGTGATAATTTAAGACTGTATGTATTTTTAATGCCATGTGATAAAAAAGATTGTCGAAAAAATAAAAAATTTTGGAGGTAAGCCAACCTTAATAATTAGGGGTATAAAAATTAATTATACACCTATTCCCAATCCTACTGAATATACACATAAAATTTCATCGAAATCGGTCAAGCCCTATTGGAGGAGTGTAAACACGAAACCTGTAAAACAATAATATTAGATATGAAGTTGTGACGAATTTACCATTATGGCGTGGCAACACCGTTGTCTAGTTACGACGGAACGAGAATATGACCTGGGAGGTCTAGTGGTTTAGCATACCGCTTTACTATCTGATGGTCGTGGGTTCGATTCCTCGCACGGCACAAACATTTGTATTCATGAATATGATTGTTGTTGTCTAGGAGTTTTACATGTGTAATATGTATGTATTTACAAAAAAAATCTATGTATCTATATGTATCTTTTGTCTAGTATTCATAACACAAGCTTTAGCTAGCTTAACTTGGGACTAGATGGCGCTGTGCGAATTGTCCTGAGATTGTTATTATTATTTACACCTTGCAGATTTACCCGCCTGGTCTCAGACACTTGTTGTCTTGGTTGAAGAAAAATTATGGTGATATACAAATGTTCATCACTGAAAACGGTTACCCGAGCAATGGTGATGAGAAGTTGGATGATGTGGAGCGCGTGCAGTTCACACATGATCACTTAGAGCAGGTTCATTAAAATTTTTTTTTTGTTTATGGATGATAATAGAATGATGCACTCGCCTGCGTTAACGGTTTACGCTGGCGGGGCACCAGTGGAGGATGATAAAATGAGGATGAGTTTCCAGGGGGAACAGCGTGGCTGTCAAGCTGACATGGTACATTGCTAGCAAAAAGATCATCAATCCACATTACTAACTATCCCCTTCCCCCCCCCCTCTCCCCCCTCCCCCCCTTTATACATATATTAGCAACACACCCCAGCTTCGCACGTAATTTTTTTTAATAACAATAATTTTTAACACAGAAATAAATATAATAGACACAGACAGATGTACCCTACACACATATATCTGTACAAAATCATACAAATCTCTGGTAATATTTTGTTCAATGAAGATGTAAAGGCCAGTTATGGCCAATAGTATTAGAATTTTGACAGACTCGGTGATCTAGTGGTTTAGTACACCGCTTTACTTCCGATGGTCGCGGGTTCGATTCCTCGCACGGCACAAACATTTGTATTCATGAGTATGATTGTTTTCATCGGTCTGGGTGTTTTCTATGTATATTATGTATGTATCTGTAAAATAAAATCTAAATATTTACGTCAGTCGTCTAGTATCCATAACACAAGGTTCTGCTTATCTCGGGACTAGATGGCGCTGTGTTAATTGACCAGGGTTATTTATTATTATTATTATAGAATTGCATGAAAAGAACGTCTGAAAGAATGGAAAAGTATACAGTCTATTTTTTTTATTTTATTTAATTAAAACTGTATTATTTCAGGTGCTTCTGTCAATAAATGAGGATGATGTTGACGTCATCGGGTACACGGCCTGGAGTCTCATAGACAATTTCGAATGGCCTGAGGGGTACAGGTAATCGATATTTTTAAAATTCTTTAACTTTGTGATAGCATAGTTAGTGTCTCGATTTGACATCAAGTTCTACGCTAACGGTAAACACTGGCTGGGTAGGAGGATCTGTCCGTTCTTATTACACTATAACTCAAACACACGACACCGTCCTCGCTCGTGAAGACGACGACCTCAACTACACCATACCGTGAAATCAGCCGGCGCCGCCGGTCACCTCTTTGATTAATCCCCCATCCAATTCAGACGAAGATCGAAATTACGACGGCCTGAGCCGACGTTCGAACCCATAGCGGTGCCCTCAGCTTATTAAACTCATATTCGCCAGCTAGAAGTTGTCCATTCCGCGGGTTTGGAATGCTACCTGAACTATTGAACCCTATTGTTCGTAGAAGCTATAATGGTTGTATGTTTTATTATTCATTTCAAGGTATTTTGTTGCAGAGTTAAATTCGGCTTATACGAGGTGAACTTTGAAGATCCCGAGAGAACTAGAACTAAACGAAAATCTGCGGAGTACTATCAAAGAGTCATTGAACAACATGCGCTGATTCCCATCAAGCAACCCTATGATGAACTATAAAATCGTGATGGGTTTTATCAGGTGAAATTTCAGTTAAAGGTACCTATATTAATACGTAAAGCAAAAACTTTGTACCCATTTTTACGAAATTTGCACGGAGTTTGAAATTCCGTATCCTTATAATTCATATAAAGAAGGAAATATATATTTTTTTAATTATGTATAAAAAATATATTAATAAAAACGATTATTTGATCCTTTGTTCATTGTTAATCTGTGGTGAAATTGTAAAAAAAAAAAATTGTTTATCTTTAATATTATTTGTCTATAGTCTAAGATTGAAATCACTAAATGCATATGAAACTATATACGGTACTTATATAAAAATATTTTTAAAGTTTTTTGTCCATCTGTCTGTCTGTCTGTTTGTTAATTGCTATTCTCTGAAACGGCTAGACCGATTTCGACGGGCCTATCACTCGCCGATAGCTATAATATATATATAGCCGTTTTTTTAAGTGATGAAAATGGAATGGTGCATCCACCTCCGCTAGCGGTTTACGCTGGCGGGGCACCAGTGGAGGATAAGATGAGCATGAGGTCACGTCAGTTTGCCTATCGTGACAAACTCCAGGAAATTATCACGATGGTTACTAGGGGAAACCGCGTGGAGGTCAACCTGACATGGTACATTGCTAGTAATGGGGTCAGGAGTCCACATTACTAACAAACCCCTCCCTATAGCTAATATTATAAGGAGTAACTTAGGCTACTTTTATTATAGAAAGTCTATTTATTATAATAAAAAAAAAGTTTAAAACCACAACAACTATAATATTAAAATACAAAAGTCTAATCAGTCTTCAAATTTTATCAGATTTGAGATAAACTTCAGTTATATTCATGGAGCGCCGCTTTATAACGTCTGCATAGTAATACGCAGACTTCCGAGGAAACCGAGGTCTCTTTGGATCATTGAAATCCACTTCATAGAGGCCGAATCTCGGTCTGTAAGAATAAAAACTAAAATAAAAAAAAATACGAAAATTATTAAGAAAAAACTATAGGCAGTAAACTGTAGCATGGGAAATCTATATACTTTAATGGGCGAATCTCGCTTTGTAAGAATAAAAAAAGTACCTATTGTTAGATGCCATTAATTAAAAATGATAAAGTCAATAATCATGTTGCTATATCTCAGGCATTCAGAGTAACCTGAAACGAAACGGTAGAGGGCAAGAGTCTAAATAATAAAAACAAATTAATATTACTAACTAATAAACAAATTAACCAAAATAGCTAAGTGGTTAATATACATGCTGTCGAAGTATAGTAGAAACGAGGGGTATACCAGCGAAATCACTGTAAAATCATCTATAAGAAGTATCTGTTTGCAATTTCAAATTAACAGCCTTTCACTAAATGCATATAAAAGTATATAACGGTATATATAAAAATATTTTAGAAATGTTAGTCTGTCTATTTTATTGCTAATCTCTGAAACTGCTGGGCCGATATCGACAGGACTTTCACTCGTACATAGCTAATGTTATAAGGAATAACTTAGACTACTGTTATTTTAGACTAGCTGACCCGCGCCACCTCGTCTGCGTCACACTTACTTGACATTTATCACTATATATCGCCCAATTTACATAATATCTTTTTAAATTATAGCCTATGCGTTATTCCGATGTATAAGTTAGATTACTGTAAAATATCATCAAAATCCGTTTAGTAGTTTTTACGTTAAAAATTAATAAACATCCATCCATTCATACCCACAAACTTTCACGTTTATAATATTAGTAAGACATTTTAATCATTATAATAAAAGAAAAACAAACAAACAAATTAGGGAGAAAATGGAAGTCGTGAGGTATCAATTAAAAAGCATGATGGAAGATCGCGGAAAGTGGCAAGAGCTCCACCGACAACAGTGTAGCTCTTAAATTATGAATGAATGAATGAATAAAGAAATGATTTACTCAACGCGGACGAAGTCGCGGTAACAGCTAGTAATAAAATAATAATAATGACAAATCTGCCCCATCAAAGGGGGCATCCCTTTGATGGGGTGATAGATTTGTCATTGATTTGACTAAAATAAATAGTAATTATAAAACTATATTATTACCTATAGCCGTCTGACCATTCGAAATTGTCCATGAGGGACCAAACACCATAGCCAGTAACCTTAACTCCGTCTTCATTCATAGACACAAGGACCTGTGGAATATTATAAAGTATTATTTTATCTTGTATCCTATATCCTTTTTTAGGGTCTAGACTATCTGTGTACTAAATTTCATTTAAATCAGTTCAGTAGTTTTTGTGTGAAAGAGTAACAAACATCTATACTCAAAAACTTTCGCGTTCATAATATTATGAAGATAATTTAACGGCGCAATTGTACTAAAATAGCGCGGATTGAGGAGTACGAAACTTCGGACACAGTTTATATAGAGCATTAATGCAGAATGCTAACATTTTTTTAAAATTATGCACATTAAATACATTAGGTAAATCAATAAAAAAAAACATTACATACATTACTCTATATTTCTACTCTTTTATTTATCGTTAAAGTGTGATCAAATTGAGAATAGATAATATTGTTTCTTTTTAATATGATTTGTCTATAGTCTTACTGTATGTTAAATGAATTGTGATTGAATGTCGACAACTGGGCGATCATTATAAATAGGTATAAAATGGACTATCGCTAACTTGCTCCATATATTTCTTCATGTATTCTATCTGATCGACATCATCCGAGCCGTCGCCCCTCACAGAGTAACCATTCTCAGTTATAAATATGTTAATGTCACCATAATGCTTCTTCAGCCACAACATCTGCTGCCTTATGCCTTCTGGATACATCTGTTTAAAAAATAAAATCAAATATATCATTGTTCGAGCTATTGGCATTTGGACCTCCTTGCCAATTTCTATTAGATCCGCTCAATCCCATTCTATTTTCAAAAATGTGGTTAGTTCTCACTTTGTCTCCTACTAAAAATCTTTCTGTAATATATTTTTTATACATGTATTTACTTATATATTTTATTTATGTATATATGTTGTTATATAAAAATTCAATAACAACAAAAGTCACAGTGCTAACATCAGCTGTCATCAGCCCTATCGTAATAGGAAAATATGTAACAAACATAGATAGTTTTTAAATAGATATATTTTGAAAATGTATATGTATATATGCTTTTTTGTGTTACCACCTGTCTCTCTTATCATAGGCGATGTCTCTACGGCTGTAAGAGATTTTCAGCGATAAGACGGCCTTTTATATCAGTTTATGTAATATATCATTTTGTGTGTATAGGTCTGGTGCAATAAACTAGTAAATAAATAAATAGTTTTTTTGTATATAAATTTTTTTGTAAAACACACCAATCTATACAAACAATCTACGGCTGTTCATGAATACAAATGTTTGTCCCACGGTTGGCAGAGCTTGTGTTATAGGTACTAGACAACTGATTTAAATACATAGTTTTTTGTATATACATACATAATATAAACAGAAAACACTCAGACCGATACAAACAATCTTATTCATACAAATGTTTGCGACCCTTGACCATCGGAATTAAAGCGGTCTGCTAATCGGCTAGACCACCGAGGTCGTCAAAAATTTTTACAACACACTACCTATAAAGACTTTGGGTATTTTTTTAAAATATTAATATGAAATGGTGGACACACCTGCGCTAACGGTTTACGCTGGCGGGGTACCAGTGCAGGATAAGATGAGGTCAGGTCAGGCCCTTATAATTTTTAGTCATATTTTTTGTATTCTACTATATATTTATACTATATTTTACCGCTAAAGCCTTCGCAACACCCATCTTCCATTCCTTGGGCACTTCTAGAACGGCGTTCATATCTGGCCACCCGTCGAAGAACCACGCTCCTACCTCTTCACCAAGCCTCGCAGGTCTTATTATACGACTCGTGTATTGATTCATTGCGTAAAAGTCATATGTACCTGCATACAGTATGATGATATATTTACTGGGTGATCTGGTAAACGTTATTGAGCCATATTTATAAATTATTACTAATTAGTACCACGTTTATCATTTAAAATCTTATAATACATATATACTTCTTCTTAGACCTAGGAAATATATAAAGTACATCAAAAATTTCTTAAAAATCGGTTACGACCGATTTTTAAGAAATTTCGTCGAAGTTCGACAAAAACCACTGTGTTGAAATTTTGGTGTATTGGATTTTAAAAACTCTCCTATTACTCACAAAATGCTTAGTAAAGTTAAGTTGCGTTTGTTGTTCTTATACCGGATTTTCAGTATTAGACACTGTAAAATGTTCAATCTTCTCTTATAAATTTAGTTTTAGTTTTTTGATGCCACTAGATGGCGTTGTACAATTTTAGAACGAGCCCTAATTCACTTTTTGAGAATCAAAAAAATTAATCCTAAAAAAATTACCTTTTCATATTTTATGTGGTTCAATCATATTATATGTGGAAATGTCAACACTTCATGATTCAAAATTATACTTAAGAAACAATATTACCTTTGATAAGTTTGATTTCTTCTTTTGTGAAGGATGGCAACCTGGAACGAGGGAATCCTTGTGTTTTGCTGATCTCTGCCATAAATCTCTCCACAATGGGTGGCCATCCTCCCTCTTTGGAATAAATTGGATGTGAGTAGCGCCCTGTCTGAATTAAATTAAAATATTAAAAATGATTAAATAAATTATCATCATCACCAATCCAGTGTTGGACGTGAATTCTTCCAAGACACGCCACTGACTTAATCTTCTGCCCTTTGCTTGTATCTTTTGTTACGTAGTGTAAGATCGACCTACATTAGATATGACAACTTACCACTCCACTTCAGATTATTCTATAGATTATCATCTGTTTAAGAATTGTGACCGTTTCTTAATTAAGCCAATTTTTATATCATACACACGAGCTTGCTGCAGCACGGCTCATCTGATGTTACCGTCGCCCATAAGCATCCACAACAACAGGGAAATTTCAAATGCGTTGCTGGCCTCTTAAGATGGGACAAGCTCTTTTTTTGAAGGTTTCAATATCTTATCCGTTCACTAATATTATTTTTAGATGCTGTATAGTGATTCCTCAATATGATTGTGCGTGCCAAAAATTTTTAGCAAAAATGCACGGTGGACGACCGTTGTTGCTGATCAGGATGGTATTTTAGTTATACAATAATAAATAAAAACTTACACAAAACTCCATAGCAAGCTCAGCAAGTCCCACGTCCTTGTTTGTGGCAGGCTTATAGTAGACCAAGTGGTTGGTAATGGACACTTCTCCTATTACAATAAACCAGATAAAACGATATAAGACAAAACAGATAATAATAATAATAAAGACCCTGGATAATTCACACTGCGTCATCTAGTCTCAAGCTAAGCAGAGCTTGTAGACAACTGATATAAATATTTATATAAACTTTTTTTAATACAAAACTTTTACTTTGGTTTTGACCACATTTGAACGCACAATCTATTAGGAGAACCAAGAGGTGATCGTCGTGGTAGAAAAATAAAATAAAAACAAAACTTACCGTGATAACGTGGTCGATACTCTGTATCGTAAATTCTCCATGCTTTCGCGTGTGCTACTAATATATTCTTGTTGCACAAATAAGGTGCTAACATAGGATCCTTCACCAATGGCGGCAAATTACCAGTTCCATACGAATAGTCGCATATAATGATAGGTTCGTTTATAGTAATCCATGTTTTAACTCTGTCTGCGTAGAGGGAATATGCAACTCTAGCATAATCTGCAAACCATTCGGGAATCGTCGGGTTGGTCCAACCACCTGAAATATTTTTTGTTTAACTACGATGGTGGCTAAGAAACATACGTCCCATCTGATGGTAAATGTTTACAGTAGAATAAAAACACATGATACACCAGAGGTGTCACGTAGCCGTTGCAATTGCAATTCTCTATGTTGCTATGTGGAATTACGATGGACTCAGCCAAGGTTGGAACCCCTAACGCTCTCAAACTAAAGTTGTATCCGTTAGGCAGGAGTTGGCTTTCAGTCGCTCCATAAGTCCATCCGCGGGTTTGGACTACCATCTACACTTGCCCCCTATTATTCATAAAGTTACTCATTATAACGTAAGCTAGCTTCGAGTGAAAGTCCCGTCAAAATCTATCCAATCCTTTCAGAGATTAGCAAGAACAAATTCACAGACTAACAATTATTTTTAAATTAATTTTTGATGTAATTACCGTATTTCATATCAATTTAGTGAAAAGCTGTTAATTTTAAATTAGAAGTAGATACTTAAATTTATTTGTATATTATTCATGTTGAGAAAAAAATCTTACCGAGATCTTGAAGAGATTGTGGCAAATCAAAATGGTGTAAGGTGACGACGGGTTGAATACCTTTCTTTAGTAATTCGTTTATCAAATTATCATAGTAGGCGGCTCCATCCTCACTGATGTAGTTGGCCAAGCCAGATGGCAATAACCTTGACCAGGATATAGAGAACCTGATAAAGTTATATTAATATATATTATTAAGGGGTTTAGGCTATACATCATTTCTGCTCGGAAGATGTCCACTGCGAAACAAAGACCTCCCCCAAAACTCTCCACGACAATCGGTTCTGCGCTGCTCGCATCCAACGCTTTCCAGCTATCTTAACCAGACCGCGATCCACTTTGTCGGAGGCCTTCCCACGTTTGGGCTATCACTCGGTTCTAAAGAAACCTGTAGAGCTGCGAGCGTATAGATCTATTGTGCTCGCCCAGTTGTAGAGTTTGCTGTCTTAAAAATTTCATGTCACATGTTGTCCGCGATGGATTAGTTACATTTATAAAATTCAAGAAGCGTTAAATCAATTTATTAGATATCGAGCACACCGCTTATTCCAGATGGTTTTTCCGCCCCAAACATTTGTAATCACGAGAATATTTTTGTATCGGTTTTTATTTTCTATGAGTATGTTTTATATCTATGGCTATTTACAACCTGTTTAGTATTAACGACCAACATAGATCTATTATGTTATTCTTTATTTTTCTTTATTGCTGGTTTTCTCAAAATTCGGGCCGAAGTTTATTATATTATTATTATTATTATTATATTGTTTCCGCCCCGAATAGAATATTTTTTTTATTGAGTGTTTTTGTCAGAGACAAGATCTATTATGAAGGCAGAATAACTTAAAACATTGGAAAATTAACGTAAAAATATTTAAAGGCGATACGAAATTCTCCGGGCCAGCTAATATTAATGTAGATTATAAAAACCTGTAGAATTGTAATCCAAGGTCAGCGGCCATTTGTACATCTCTCTTCCAGTTGTGGTAGGAGTCACAAGCGATATCGCCCGTGCTGTTATCAACAATGATACTTGGGTGATCATGGATGGAATGATCGTAGATGCTCTCGCTTTTATCTGAAAATTATCAATGGTATCCTTCCTAATGATATTTAAAATGCGAAAGTATGTTAGTATAGATGTTTATTACTCTTTCACGCAAACACTGAACGGATTTTGATGAAACTATTATATACTAAATAATATATACTAAAATATTCATCCTTGGATCTACCCATCTAAACAAACTATCACATTTAACTTACTAATATTAAGTAAGTTTGGCACAACAGGCAAGAGTAAGGTTGCATCTCGCAAACGATTTTTTAGAGTCTACCTTTGGTTAACTTTACTTACCACTGACATTCCATGCTCCTTCAATTTGATACGCCGATGTGGAAGCTCCAAATAAGAATCCCGGTGGAAAATACAATTCGGTACACCATACAGCATTCGCTAACACACTGAGAAAAAATCAATCTATGTATTAATACATGAACCAAACACTTTATACTCCTTTTTATGAATATCCTTAAAAAATTAATATCCGTAACCGAAATTATCCGAAACTAACGGATAATCTGAAATAATTTCATATCCGCATCCGTATCCGTATCCGGTATAATAATCATTACTATATCCGAAACCTATCCGTATCCGAAAGTTCATATCCATAACATCCCTGATCTCAGTTTATGGTCGCAATATTATTTAACCTTAGTTTAACGCGTGGCCAGGTCTGCTAGTAGTTTATATAGAGAAGGAGTGCAGAATGATAATATTTATTTTTAAATTATGCATAAAAAATGCATTAAATCAATTAATATGTGTTTGTCTTTAATATTATTTGTCTATAGTCTCACTGAATCTTAAAATAATTATGGTTGAATTTCGAGTACTGAGCGATCACTAGTATAGGATAGATTGATAAGACGTTTATTTGAATTCTTAAAACTCATACATAGTTATATAAATGTGGAAAATACATAGATATCCATGATATTAACATTATAGTTTGTGTCATTACGTATGCGCAGCAGTATAAAAAGGTCATAAGCTCAGCGTGGAATTGTTCAAGGATCGTCATATCATATTTATGAAATGAAAAGATATTTATTCAGTAGATGTTAAAAAAACTAAAACACACATTAAACAAACAAAAACAAACTCAATCATTGCAGCAATTCCAAAAAAAAACCTTTACCATTTATTGTTATAAAATTACAATTTACGTGTGCGCGTGTGCGTGCATGTGTATGTTTGTCGAAGCATCTACCGAATAGGTCCGTGCTCAGTATAATGCTGCAGCGTCAGGAGCGCTGCAACGCTGTTTTTCAGCACAAGTTTCTGCCACTGAATTTTGAAGATGAAGTTAAAAATGTTGTTGGAAGGCGATAATTTCAGAAGTTTTATGGAATCATTGTCAAACCACATTGTGGTAACCTCTAGCAATAGTATTTCTGAACTGATACGATATTGAGACCTTCAAGAAAAGAAACCTTCCTTCTTATAAGGCTAGCAACAATTTATAAGGCTTGCAATTCTCCCGGTGTTGCGGGCAGAGGTAAACACGGTAAGTGTTTACCTCTGCCCGCAACACCGGGGGCAGAGGTAACTGGGTGAACCACTAGCTCGTTTGTTATGCTAGGGCCCCTCCGCTCGATTCCCCGTCCAATTCAAACGGGGATCGATATTACGACGGCCTGAGCCGAGGTTCGAACCCCTAGCGGTGGCCTCAGACTAAAGTCGTATCCGTCAGGCGGGAGTTGGCCTTCAGCCGCTCCATAAGTCCTTCCGCGGGTTTGGAGTGCCATCTGCAATCGCCCCCTATCGTCCGGTGAAGCTGTAAAGGCCAGCTGCTGCCAACAGCATTAGAGTAGTACGAAAAAAATAGAGTTATGGTAGGAGAAATCCTTTATACATTGAAATAAAAATTCCAGAATTTTCGCTAAGTAAAAATAAGATCGTGCTCACAAAAAACCTACTTCATGAACATTATTATTTATTTTTAGTTTAATTTGATGAATCGTAAATTTTTTTTTTAATTTAGACATAAAGTTAGTTACGCTAATGTTACACACTCACTAGCTATGTCACGTTGTGTTAGGTCAACTGGTAGAGATCTCCTTTAGCGATAAGTTCAACTTTGCTCATTATTAAGATTGTTATTGTATTTGCAATATAGAATATAATATTAATATGCATAAAAAATTCCAAAACCAGAACTTAATATAAAAGTATGTTAACAAATGGCTGCCTTCCAACCAAAAATCTGTAAGAGATTATTTTGAGCAATATATTATTAATTACTCAAAAAATAACTAGAGATACACTGATGAAATTTATATAGACACTATAAAATTTTTATTTGTAATTAAATTTGTTATTATTACAAAGCCAAATAAACATGTTTCTCTATTAAGTGATTCAACGACACAAACACAAAATTCTCCATTACTCTCGACTACACATCATTGTCACTATCCACATATATAAATCAAAAACCCACTAATTATTCAATAACACTATTTCATTTAAAATTAACACTGTAGCTAATATTGCGAATTTAATACAACATTCCAAGTAATTAGAATGAATTATTAGACCAATTAAACATACATAAAACCTTACCTAAACACAACTAATTGATAATAAAACATATTTGCTACTGATAATTCTCGGTGCCCTGAACTTATTTTTATATTTAGTTCATGGGCATGCATTTATAATAAAATTACATGTTATTAATATTATAAACGCCAAAGTTTGTGAGTATGGATGGATGGCTGTTTATTACTCTTTCATGGAAAAACTATTGAACGGATTTTGATGAAACTTCACAGTTACAATATAGCTTATACATTAGAATAACATAAGCTACAAATATTTACGGATGAAACCTCGGGCACAGCTAGTATATAATAAACATAATTAATAGTCCCATGGTTGGGATTGACCTTAAGAAATCTCTTGAACAGTATTTTTTTTTTGAGGAAGTTTGGGCTATTATCTGGTGCTTGGACCTGTGGCACTGCGACCTACATAGATCTCTTGTGCTCGCCCTTTTTCAGAGTTCGCTACCTAGATCCGTCAGGGACAAGAATTGAAGGATATTCTTAGGTGCGATGGTTTTTATCTCCTCAGGATAAAGGGTATACTTTCCAAAGGAGATATTACGTTTATGCACGAGTGGGCTACAACCACATAGGATGTGCAGTGGCGTTTCCTCTTGTCTGGCAAAATCTGCAGATTTTATTTCTAGGTTTGCCATATGTTTGTTTAATTTGCAGTGTCCTGTGAGGGCCCTAGTCATCATGCATATGTTGTTTTTACTCAATAGCAGTAGTCTATTGGAGTATTTGTTCGAGTAGCCCGATATTAGGGAAAAGACCTAATATCGGGCCAATCCTGGCATTTCCTGCCAGTAATTTAGTGGTTTTTGTTTGGTTTGGTTTTGGTTCGTTTCGAACAGTACCTAAATTATTAATATTTTGACGCCCACTATGATCTAAATGTTTAACACACTCTCTAGTACATGATAGACCTGGCTCCCTCATGGTGAATTCATGGATTACTAAGAATCTCTCTAGTCTCTCTTCTCTTATCTATAGTTTAGAGCAGTGATTTCCAAAGTGATCTATATCGACCCCCAGGGGTGTATGACCAGGTTGTCATAGATGGGATCTCCGACGGCGGTTATCTTGTTGTTTTTACGTTATATTTTTAACACTACTTTACTACAGTTGGAAATTTCCAAAAAATCAATACCAGTTAAGAATGGGATCTACTCAAAACCGAAAAATATGGCAAGGGGTCTACGACACACAAAAGTTTGGGAACCTCTGGTTTAGAGTAACACAAAAGTCGTAATATTGAACTTTTTCTAATTTCGTAGACTGTTGAAATCTTTGAATATGACAAGCTTCATCTAACAAAACTTATAAACCCATTTTTGAGTACGTTATATCAACTTTTCAAGATTTGTAACTTCTGAAGACAATTATTGGAAAAAAAAATGATATAATAAAATATTACTGAAGACAATGGCTGTATGGGCTGAGTCCTTTTGCCTTTCCCTATAAAGGGAAAAAATGAACAAAAAAAAAACATAGGTACATATTATTTCTTCTATTATCTATGGTCCAGACCTCGTCTTTCTTATAAAGGTGTGTGTCAAGGTGGAATACTTAGTCCATTACTCTTTATCCTTTACATACACAAACTTAATTTAATTTTAGGACCACATGTCAGGAATCTTCAATTTGCAGATGACCTTGTTATATACTTTTCAGGCCCAGACATTAATAAAGTTACAGAAATAATAAGTAACGCATTGTTAAGATTAACAGATTACTTTAAATAAAAATCAATTTAGATGTAAGCCCTGACAAATCTAAAGTAGTAATATTTTCTAAAACTAATAAATCATTTTTTTTTTAAAAACATTAAAATATTATATAATAATTCACAACTACCTATTACTGCTGAAGTTAGATTTTTAGGTGTTATTTTTTTAACGTAGCAATTTGTCTTGGAACAACTACTTACTAGGTAAAGCTTCTAAAGCATTTAATATTATCAAAGCTCTGTATAAATGTGATCCTAAGATCCCTTTAATGCTGTACAAATCCTTGATTCGTAGCCACTTTGAATATGAGCATCTATATTTTGGTTCTGACCAAAAAATAAAACTTGAGATACTTCAGAATAATAATTTAAGATACATAACTGGTGCAATGAAAACAACCCCTATAAATTCCTTACAAGTAGAGTGCTGTATACCACCATTAAACCTGAGATTCTGGTACAAAACAAAGATTCATCCTAAAATTATTATCCATTTTCTGAAGACCCACATATATACAAAAGCTCAAACATATTATTAAATAACACTATTTCCCCTTTCTAATTCTAAAACAGTTCCCTATATACTTCATGATTTCTCTGACTCAATCAATATTGATCAGCAATACAAAATTCACAAAAGCAATAGATTTTGGAATTGTTACCATGGACCATTTGAAAGTAAATTTCCAAATATTAATATTGTAATTGACTCTGAGTTAAATATTACCAAACAAGAAGTTTATAACAAGTTGTCTACATTTTCAACTCATCAATCCATATTTACAGACGGTTCTAAAAACGAATCGAGAACATCCTTTGCTCTATACTTACCAAGTATCAGAACCGGTCATGGAACTAGAATACATAAAGAATTTAGCATTTTTTCAGCAGAATCTTTGGCTATTTTAAATGCACTTTGTTATATAAAAGATGATAGGGGCAATTGCAAAAAATGGTTAATTGTCACAGACAGTATGAGTGTTTTAACTGCTCTTCAAAGTAACAAACTACATTATAAAACCAATTATATCATAGATAGCATTAAGCAAATATTATATGAGCTCTCATTGGAGTGTTATGATATTATTTTATTATGGACACCATCACATATTGGTGTTTTCGGTAAAAACGCAGATTTCCTGGCAAGAACTATCACCAACAATGACATTGGCGTTGTCAAGGATGTTGCCATACCTTATTCCGACATTCTTTCTATAGTTTACAAGAGTTTTCGTCAAAAATGGATTGAACAGTGGCAACTTTCGCTAAAGACCAAGGGTAATTGGTTTTACTCCATTAACAAAAATATTCATTCCTCACCCTGGTTCACTAAATCTAGAGTTTATAAAAACCGGAAATTTTACACACTCCTTATACGACTTCGTTTTGGTCACGCTAGATTCAATAGTCATCTCTGTCTCTTATCGAATGAAAATAATTGATTCAAATGCATGTCAAGAGTGCAATAACAGCAGTCAGACCCTAAATCACATATTTTTCGAATGTTCCGCTTATAATATTCAACGCTTGGTCTTTATTGATAATTTACTGAACATTTACAAGAAACCGGAAAAATCAATCCAGCGCGACATCCAAGACATGCTAACTAATTTTGAAACATATATACCTATATATTTATACGTTACCTCGATATCGATAAAACTTTAAATAATTGATACAAGGATATGGACTACGGATAAGACTTCAATTTTGAACACGAATGAAAACATAATAAATAAACATACATAAGAATTGGCCTTTGGCCTTGTTCAAATATGAAGAAGTTTAAAAGTAGACTAGGCTGTACGGTCTAAGGATCTTTGCCTGTTCCATCACTGAAAAGGAGATGGACGAATATGGAAAAAAAAAAAAATATCTATGGTCCAGAGTAACAAAAAATCTATAATATTGATTTTTTCTCATTTCGAAGACTGTCAAAGATTTTAAAAACAAACTTAACTAGATACCTAATTGGGTCATAGAATTGATAAAACGGTTTTCGCATATCATATGGTTGCTTATATGACTACGATGCTATAAACGTGTTTATTTTTAAACTGATACTAATTTATTAAAATAATTGTACTAATTACCTTGAAATTATCGCAAAGGAATAGCTGATGTAATTGTGTAATTTATAATTATAGTCCCCACGCGGCTTTGTCTGCATATGCGTATTTATAATCATGTACAAGCTCATTATCTATATATATAAATAAAATTGGAGTGTCTGTTTGTAATATTGAAATAACCGTATTTTACTACATGCATACGAATATAAATACGGTACATACACCAAAATATAATTTTTTACAATTTTTGTCTGTCTGTCTGTCTGTCGGTTTGTTCCAGCTAATCTTTGAAATGGCTGGGCCGATTATGACGGGACTTTTTTTGGAAGGTTGCTGATGTAATAAGGAGTAACTTAGGCTATTTTTATTTTAGAAAAATAAAGTTAATTTCCACGCGGGCACTAGTCGCGGGAACAGCTAGTTGTGTAATATAATTATAGCAAGAATATAAGTAACATATTTATTCAATATATATGTACAAGCTCGTTTGAAAAATATAAGAGTGTTTATGTGTCATGAGTTTCTTGTCAGTTCTTCTTAACTCGACAGAACTCAGAACTGATGGTAGATTTACAATTTCGTTACAGTTTGTACAGCTATCTTTTTTTTTTTTGATGATAATGGAATGGTGCACCCGCCTGCGCTAACGGTTTACGCTGGCAGGGCACCAGTGGATGATGATAAGATGAGCATGAAGTCAGTTCAGTTAGCCCATCGTGACAAGCTCACCAGAAATTTGTCACGACGGTTTCCAGGGGGAACCGCGTGGAGATCGACCTGACATGGTACATTGCTAGCAATGGGGTTATCAATCCACATTACTAACAATTCTCTTCCCCCCTGTACAGCTAGCTACATGCTATATGTATAGCTGACTTATTTATACGTTCTACATAAATAAAGATCATCATCAGCCCACTGCAGTCCACTGCTGGACAAAAGCCTCTCCCAAGGCACGCCACTGCGCACGATCTTCAGCCCTTCTCATCCAGTTACAACCCGCAACCCTACGTAAGTCGTCGCTCCACCTAGCTGCGGGGCGTCCTACACTACGTTTGCCAATTCGCGGTCTCACCTGATGGTAATCGTGATGACCAGCCCACTGCCACTTCAACTTACAGATGCGAAGAGCTATGTCAGTGACCTTAGTTCTCTGGCGAATAAAGATATATTGGTTTAATATTATTATAGCACAGGGGACAGACGAGCATGCGGCTCACCTGATGGTAAGTGATTACCGCCGCCTATAAGCACCCGCAACACAGGTGAATTGCAAGTGCATTCTCGGCCTTTTAAAAAAGCTTTTATTGGGTTAGATTTTTTTTTTAATTATTGTTCAAAGTTACTATTTTTCGCGGACGAAGTCACGGTTACAACTAGTGTTATTATATTTCTATTCTATTTTTGAAGTACACTTTCAGTCTTAGATTATTTATGTAGGTACCTTTGTCTAATCTATTTAGGCCCATCTCCAGAACAAGAGCTCCAGTTTAAATGAATTATAATAATATTAATCTCAGGACAATTCACACGGCGCCATCTAGACCCAAGTTAAGCTAGCTAAAGCTTATGTTATAGGTGCTAGATAACTGATACGAATACATAGATTTTTTTTTTATTTTTCCGTAAATACAAACATATTGGAAAACACCCAGACCGACATAAACAATCATAGTAATTAATACAAATGTATTCTAGGTATTCGATACTTCGCGTGGTGCAAACGCAAAGAATCGAACCCGTTACCATTGGTAGTAAAATCAAGTCAATAAAAGACAAGTTTTAAAGTTCATTTCCGTATTTATTTGTAACGTTCAATGTTTGCAATTTGTGATTTCTAATGACATCCGAGAAGAACTTGACTGATTTCCTTGGCGTTCTGATTCTGTGTGGATTCGAGAAGTCTACCTCGTAAAGACCGAATTTGGAGCTGAAATTAATAACAACAATAAACTATACATCTATACATATAAATAAAATTGGAGTGTCTGTTTGTAATGTTGAAATAATCGTTTATTACTATGTAGTAATAAACGGTTATTTCAACATTATATTCATTTGCATGTGCATATGAATATAAATATGGTACATTACACCAAAATAACATTTTTTATAATTTTTGTCTATCTGTCGTTCTGTCTGCTTATTCCGGCTAATATCTGAAATGGCTGGACCGATTTTGACGGGACTTTTATTGGCAGGTAGCTGATGTAATAAGGAGTAACTTAGGCTACTTTTATTTTAGAAAAATTGTCTAATTAACTTTGTTGTTAAATTCCACGCGGACGAAGTCGCGGGTACAGCTAGTATTATAATAACAATAATCCTGGACAATTCACACAGCGCCATCTACAGTTTACTAAATGCATATTAAAATATACGGTACCTACATTAAAATTATAATTTTAAAAATTTGTCTGTCTGTCTGTTCTTGTTAATCTCCGAAACGGATTGACCCATTTTGAGGAGACTTACTCGCAGATAACTAATGTTATAAAGAGTAACTTTGTATCCCATTTTAATGAAAATTGCGCGGACGGAAAAGTATGAAATTTCGCACACTTATAAGTTTATATTAGAGAAGGAGTGCAGAATACAATTTTTTTTTCAATGTTGCCACTACCTACTAACTAACCATATATTTGACACGCACATGCCTAAAAGTATAATCATGACAATAGAATCTTAATAATGTTTAAACTTATAATTTAAATTATTTATGACCGAATTTTGACGTAATGGCCAATCCCTAGTGTTTTAAATTCCACGCGGATGAAATCGTGGGAAATAGCTAGTGTATATATAAGGAAAACTTACTGATATCCGTCCATCCACTCGAAATTATCCATAAGACTCCAAGCTGTGTACCCTATTACATTAACTCCATCCTCATTCATAGCGAGCAGCATCTGTAAATATTAAGTACTTAAACTTTTTTTTTTATGTAACTGGAAGCTGGCAAAAACAAAAAAAAAACAAAAATTCAGTTGAGTTTCCTGCCAGTTCGTCTCAATTGAACTAGACGGTAGAGAAAAAAAGTTAATACAAAAACTTGACGCTCATAAGTTTTTTCTTCGGACTACTCTAATGCTGGGCCGCAGCTGGCCTTTTCAGCTTCACCGGACATTAGGGGGCGAGTGCAGATGGCACTCCAAACCCGCGGAAGGACTTATGAAGCAGCTGAAGGCCAACTCCCGCCTGACGGATAAGACTTTAGTCTGAGGGCACCGCTAGAGGTTCGAATCTCGGCTAAGGCAGTCATAATTTCGATCCCCGTTTAAATTGGACGGGGTATCTATCGGAAGGGCGACCGGGGGCACCTGTGTGAAGCGTATGGGCGCGCGCAGGCGCCGAGTTGATTGCTCGGTATTGTGTGGCATCCGGTTACCAGCCTCCCAGCAAATCATTGCTGAGAAGCGATCTACACGCCCCCTCGATCTCAACAGTGCCATCATCCTGGCTGGCGATCTCAATTCCAAATACTGGAACTGCTACTGTCCGCAACAAACGGTAGCCTAAGACCAAATTCGTATCTGTCAGGCGGGAGTTGGCTTTTAGTCGCTACATAAGTCCTTCCGCAGGTTTGGAGTGCCATCTGCACTCGCCGCCTATCGTGGAGTGAAGCTGTAAAGGCCTGCTGCGGCCAACAGCATTAGAGTAGTCCGAAAAAGAAATGAAAATTTTCTATTCAGTCTCTCGACTGTATAACCATGCTCCCTGGTTCTTGACGAAGTAGGTCATAGACCTAAACCCTAAAGGGACGTGTAAGACGCACTTGTGTGCTGCTACATTACTCTACTTGTTCTATATAAGATCTATGGTACAATATTCTATCATTTGCCATCTGCATGCGGCCAACAGCATTAGAGTAGTCCGAAAAAGAAAACAAACATTTCTATTCTGTCTCCCAACTATGTATATAACCAAGCTCCCTGGTTCTCGACGAAGTAGGTCATAGACTTAAACCCTAAAGGGACGTGTAGGACGCACTTGTGTGCTGCTACATTACTCTACCTGTTCTATATAAGATCTATGGTACAATATTCTATCATCATCTACTAAACCCTGGACAGCATCTGTGGCGTAACCATTCTCTGTGACCAATATCTTGACATCTCCATATTGCTCCTTTATATATTTTAACAGGTAACGGAACCCTTCAGGATATATCTGAAAATGTTATTATTTCTATTAATTATATTAAAAACTTTGTTAGCCTTTTCTATGAAAATAGCGCAAACGGCGGAGTGTGTAATTTCGCACTCTTATAGTTAATATAGAAAAGGAGTACATAATGTTAATTACATTAGCGGTAGAATCAAAACACTTGACTATTCAAAATTGCTTATATTAAGTTTATTTGAATAAAGATTATTTCTATTTCTATTCCTATTTCTATTCCTATTCCTATTCCTATTCCTATTCCTATTCCTATTCCTATTCCTAATATAAACAACAAATTCGGAAAAAAATTCCTATTCCTATTCCTAATAAAATTCCTATTCCTATATAATAGTAATATTTTGTTTTAATTCCTATTCCTATTCCTATTCCTATTCCTAAACATACATTCCTATTCCTATTCCTATTATTCCTATTCCTATTCCTATTCAATTCCTATTCCTATCGATTCCTATTCACTTCCTACTATTCAAAATTCCTTTCCTATATTAAGTTTATTTGAATAATTCCTATTCCTATTCCTATTCCTATTCCTATTCCTATTCCTATTCCTATTCCTATTCCTATTCCTATTCCTATTCCTATTCCTATCCCTATTCCTATTTCTATTACACACACTACCATGTATTTGACACACACATATTTATTTGTTTATTGTCATAATCTGTGGTCAAATTGAGTATATATTAATATTGTTTGTCTATAGTCTTACTGAATGTGAAACATAACCATAATGAATTCAGTAATTACAATATGTATATATAAGTTATTAGTGAAATACCGCTCCTTCAATATGCAAATATAAATCTAATACAAAATCTCAATATAATAAGAAACTCGTGTAGCAATAACCTGAATTAGTAATACTTTAATAATGTTCAAACTTATAATTTAAATTAATTATGGTCAAATTTTCATCGCTGGGCAACTACTAGTCTTAATAAATAATAATAATAATCCCAGGACAATTCACACAGCGCCATATAGACCCAAGTTCAGCTAGCTAAACCTTGTGTTATGGGTACTAGATAACTGATACGAATAAATAGATTTTTATTGTCGTAAAACATACATATAATACATAGAAAATACCTAGACCGATACAAACAATCATACTCATGAATACAAATGTTTGTGCCGTGCCAGGAATAGAACCCGCGACCATCGGACGTAAAGCGGTATGCTAGACCGCTAGGCCACCGAGGTCGTCAAATAAATGCTTAAATATATAAAACAATAGAATTAATTTATCTCAAATATGTAATATTATATTATCTGTGTCTCAATTAACATTATTAAAGATTTACTACCAGAGTCTGTTCTAAATCTGCCTGAAAAAATATTTAAATGTCGTACAAAACAAAATTGAAGTGTTCGTTAACGATAAAAATGTTTTTGTAGAAAAACTTAAAATTCATAACGCTGACAATATTATCTGATTGCACTAAGAATGAGTGCGTAGCGGTATCTATATTGATTATCGCATACATATTAGTTGTTATTTTCTAATTATTTACCATCATCTACTTCTTCCTTAGTTAGGACAATTGATACGGCACGATGATTTCATGAAAATTAATATTGAGGGGAAAATAGAAGGAAAGAGGGGGAGGGGAAGACCAAGGAATAGCTACATCAAACACATTGAGGACAAAATGGAAGTCGTGTCGTATCAAGAATTAAAGAGCATGATGGAAGATCGCGGAAAGTGGCAAGAGCTCCACCGACAAGAGCGTAGCTCTTAAATTATGAATGAATGAACTTCTTCCTTATCCATTTATTTGTGGTCGACGTAATATGTTTTTCTCTTCCATTCATCTCTGTTCGCAGTCATCTCGTTATTACTCCTTTCTTATCATATCATCTTTCGCACAGTCCATCCATCTCTTTCGGGCTTCCTCTGCCCTTATAACCATCCACGTTCATATGTAACACCTTCCTTAATTTTGTAATTATTTATATTAAAAAGATCTATTCAAAAGAGCAACACACAAGTTTCTTGCTCGTTCTTCTTGTGATGAGTCTGTGTTCCGAATGTGTGGTAGAATAAAAAATGTGACTATTCAAAAGTGCTTGTATTGAGTTTATTTGAATAGAGATTATCTATATATTTATATTACTTACTGCTAGCCATCCGTTTGTAGCCGTTTTCCAATCAGGATGCAATTCAAACACGCAATTGTATTCTTGCTCATACAAAAACGGGTGGTTCGGTAGTGTTTCACCATTATGCCGTTCTCGAACCATTCTACTCGTGTAATGATTCAAGCCAAAGAAATCATACGTTCCTGAATTACAAACAAACATACAATTAGAAGACATACTAATACTAGCTGTGCCCGCGTTCAATCGCGTGAAAATTATATCCTATTTATAATAATAATAATAATCTCAGGGCAATTCACACAGCGCCATCTAAACCCAAGTTAAGCTAGCTAAAGCTTGTATTATGGGTACTTGATAACTGATGTAAATACTAAGATTTTTTTGTAAATACATACATATTATACATAGAAAATTCCCAGACCGATAAAACAATGATACTCATGAATACAAATGTTTGTGCCGTGCAAGGAATCTAACCTGCGACCATCGGAAGTAAAACGGTGAGTTTTTTTTCAACTGGACAATCTAAACCTACGGTAAGCAGAGCTTGTATTATGGGTACTAGACAACTGATATAAATACTTAGATTTTTTATTGTAAATAAATATTATACATAGAAAACACCCAGACTGATACAAACAATCATACTCATGAATAAAAATGTTTGTGCCCTACGAGGAATAGAACCCGCGACCATCGGAAGTACAGCACTGTGTGAAACCGCTAGACCACCGAGGTCGTCAAATAATAACATAATATCTAAATAAATTATAAATTACTGTTATTGTACATATAGTTAAATATTAATAAATATAAATAATAATCTCAGAACAATTCACACTGCGTCATGTAGATCTAAGTTAAGCTAGCTAAAGCTTGTGTTATGGCTACTAGACAACTGATATAAATGCTTAGATTTTTTCGTAAATACATCATCTAACCTGCGACCATCGGAAGTAAAGCAGTGTGTTAACCGCTATACCACCGAGGCCATCTCAATAATATCTGAATAAATTATGTAATATCTAATATAATAATATAATATTTGAATAAATTATAATTACGGTTATTGTATTAAACAATACTAACCTCTGACTAGTTCAATCTCCTCTTTAGTAAAAGCTGGCAATCGAGAAGTAGCATATCCCTGTTTCTCGCTATTTATTGCCACAATTCGTTCTATATCTGCAGGCCAACCGCCTTCTTTAGAGAAAATAGGATGGGTGTAACGGCCGAACTAAAATAAAATAAAAAAAAATGAAAAAAAGAAAGTGGAAACAGAACCGGTTCATAAAGAGGTGTAAACTTTGCAACAATTCGAAAAAAAGAAGGAGAAAAAGAACAAGGAGAATAAAGAAGGGAGACAAAAGGGAGAAAAAGGATAAGATACGGAAACATAGAAGCAGTTTATGTACTGTGAGAAAGAAAGAAGGAAAGAAATATTTATTCAGCACGGTTGAGTTATTTACAATAGAAACAGAAAAGGTTGAAATAAAATGTATACATATCAATACATATAAATAAAATTGGAGTGTCTGTTTGTAATATTGAAATAACCGTTTTTTACTACATGAATTTGAATATAAATACGATATATACACCAAAATAACATTTTATACAATTTTTGTCTGTCTGTTTGTTTGTTCTGGCTAAACTCTGAAATGGCTGAACCGATTTTGACGGAACTTTTTTGACAGGTAGGTGATATAATAAGGAGTAACTTAGGCTTTTGGTAAAATAAAAACATGTAAGTATGTATAAAAATATATACAAATAAATACTAGCTGACCCAGCAAACGTTATGCTATATAAAACGAGAGAGAACCTTTTCTCTCTCTCTCTCTTAAACACGTTGATGACCGCATTGAAAAATCTTATTTCTCACATAGAGGCATTTTTTATTGTTAATTACGTATATTATTTTTTAAATATGTTTTTAGTGTACAATAATTCGAGGCAGACATTATTTAACACCTAGATTTATTTCAATTAAAGTGCCCACGGGTGATCACCAGGTCCCAACGTGTAAATTTACTTTTGTTGAGTGACCCACCGGTGGGCATGCAGTCTTTAACGTGTTAAACTAACTATTAAAACAGTACTTAACAAAGAATATCGTTACTTACTGTATTTTGCATTGCTAAATTCGTCACATATTTATCTGTCTGACTGAGTGGCTCCAACCAAAACAACTGATTTACTATTGATACCATGCCTGGAATAACAAAAGAAGTTTTATAAATACATACATCATATACATAGAAAACAACCAGAAAAATAATAATAATCTCAGGACAATTCACACAGCGCCATATAGACCCAAGTTAAGCTAGCTAAAGCTTGTGTTAGAGGCACTAGATAACTGATACAAATACATAGATTTTTAATTACTTCATATATGTAATGTACCCAAAATCATTTCCAAATAAAATTATATTATTATTAGCTGTACCCGCGACTTCGTCCGCGTAAATAATGAGAAATATTTAATGACCTAACTCAATATAAGCCAAATAAAAAAGTTTCATCATTTTTGCTTCAAAAATGACGATACAAAATTCCATACAATTCAATCAACAGCCTAAAAAATAAGTTTATAACATATAGCTCTAACAATGTAAATTGTATAAAAGTGTCCTACTTTTATACAATCTTTCAGTCCCTTACAACCTTTTTTGTTTTTTCCTATTTAATTAATAGGCAACAAAATAAATTTCAAGCGTCTACAAAAAAAATTTAAATCACGATACACCCATACAACCTTGGATCTACTCTTTCCACCCACTTACAACCCTTTTTCACATTAAAAAATAATCTATGTACTTTCTCAGGATCTAGACTATCTGTGTACCAAATTTCATTTAAATCGATTTGGTAGTTTTGACGTGAAAGCGAGACAGACAGACAGACAGAGTTACTTTCGCATTTATAATATTAGTAAGGAGTAAGGATAAGGAAGCAAGGATTATTATTGATTACTTCAGCTACTTTCACTGTTATTAAATTAACTATTGCAACTCTATTACTCCGTCCTGTTATTAAACAGATTTTCCCAAATTTTTCAAATTCAAATCCTGATTAAATTTGGGGTTGGCAACCCTAGCTTACGATACCATAAAAAAGACAAACTTACCGTGATACTTAGGTCTGAACTCTTTATCATAAATTCTGTACGCTTTCGCATGAGCAATCATTAGATTCTTATTGCACAAATATGTGCCGATTTTATCTGGGAGCACAGTCCCCGGTGCTATAGTACTGGTTCCATGACCTAAATCGCATATAACAACTGGCTCATTCATTGTTATCCACATTTTAACTCTATCAGCGAATAAGGCAAAAACTACTCTTGAATAATCAGCGAACCAGTCCACGATGTAAGGGTTGGTCCAGCCTCCTGCGAATAAAATTAATTTATTATTTGATACTGTAAAAAGTTTGCTGTACATTTAAAACTATAGTGATTAGTATACATTAACAATATATAAATCATCTGTGACTGACGTAGTGATTTATCAACGCACAGCCCAAACCACTTGACGGATCGGGCTGAAATTTGACATGCAGGTAGATGTTAGGAAAGGCATCCGCTAAGAAAGAATTTCTACCCCCAAGGGGATAAAATAGGGGATGAAAGTTTGTATGAAACTTTGTCAATTTTAAACCCGATCGGGCTGAGTTGCACTTTGCATGCATAAAGCTACTATGACGTAGTACGACGTTTCGCACTGTATAAGCAAGCTGCTTGGCAGCGGAAATAGGTGAGTAGGATGTGATAGGTCATCCTAACAGCGAGATGAGGCCAGCCCTACACCATATCAAGTCGCGGTAGAATGTAGACCTTGCAACTCCGACAATCACGCTCGTAGGTACACCGTGTGGTTTTTAGTGGGTAAGAATTCCACACACCCCTTGTCTCCCTTCTGGCGGGGAACGGGGAAGATTTTGTCATACGATAAAAAAATGGTATCTGAAATATGTAGGTAAGAATGCGATACCCTAGCTAAGGAGTTGTTAAAAGTCTATCTACAGTGTGATTTATTTGAATGAAGACTATTTCTATTTCTCACCTAGGTCCTGAAGATGTTGCGGTAAATCCCAATGGTATATCGTGACTACAGGTTCTATTCCTTTCATGAGCAGACCGTCGATCAAATTATTGTAATATCTCTTGCCATCTTCGCTGATTCTATTGACATGACCGGTGGGAATCAAGCGAGGCCACGATATAGAAAACCTATGAAAAAACAAAGACGTAGTCACTAACTTATAAATAAGTTCAGGGTCCCTTAGAAGGTAATGGAAAGGGCTTGGAGTTTCTCTGCGTGATCGAAGAAGAACCAGAGTCCGTAGCCCGAATAATTGCGAAACAGAAGTGGCAATGGCTAGGTCACATAGCTCGTAGGACAGATGGCTATTGGGGTAATAAAGTCCTCGAGTGGCGACCGCGGACTGGAAGACGCAACGTGGGAAGCCCTCCAGCAAGGTGGACCGACGATCTGGTCAAAATCACTGGAAAGCGTTGGATGAGAGCAGCGCAGGACCGATCGTCGTGGAGATTTTTGGGGAGGCCTTTGTTCAGCAGTGGACGTCTGCTGGGCTGAGATGATGGTGATAATGAAATACTAACCTGTAGAAATCAACTCCTATTTCCTTCAACATTTCTATATCTCTTTTCCACAAGTGATACGAGTCGCAAGCGATGTCTCCCGTTGAACCATCGGCTATGACTTCATTGTGCTCGTGTGCAAACGTATCCCATATGCTCATAGCCTTATCTGGAACATAATACCTAATATGTTTAACACAACGTGTTAATAATATGGGCATATTACGGAAACGTACGGAAATTTTCACACAATTCAATACAAAACAAAATAGATTCATCAAGCCGCAAGACTGCTTGGCAGTTTCTTTGCAGAAAATGCGCTTAACACTAACTTATATGTACATGAACACACATACATATACATACACAATAATAGCTGGTTTTTGCGGCCAATGGTATTTGCTGGCAAGAAGTAAGCAGGCGTTGAGACCATGCATGTGTAGTTATACAATGACGTACACTACTGTCTTCTAAATATACGAGTTAAAGACAATATACTCACAAGCACGTTTACTTCCTATGGTCGTGGGTTCGATTCCTCACACGGTATAAACATTAGTATATATATTATACTTATAAGTATGATTGTTTGTATTGAGCCGATTCGATTTACTGTTCATACGAATGTACAAAAAGAATGTCTAGAGTTTAAGTCTGTTGTCTAGTACCTAAAACAACAGCTACACTTAGCTTGTGACTAGATGGCGTTGTGTGAATTATCCAGAGATATTATAATCCTTACTTCCTTACTAATCTAAATATATATAAATCAAAAGTTACTGACTGACTGACATAGTGATCTATCAACGCACAGCCCAAACCACTGGACGGATCGGGCTGAAATTTGGCATGCAGGTAGATGTTATGATGTAGGCATCCGCTAAGGAAGTATTTTGATTAATTCTACTCCCAAAGGGTTAAAATAGGGGCTGAAAGTTTGTATGAGACTTTGTCAATTTTAAATCGATCGGGCTGAGACTTTGCAGGCATAAAGCTACTATGATGTAGGCATCCCCTAAGAAAGGATTTTATTAATTTCACCCATAAGGAAATAAATAAACACGAGCGAAGCCGCGGGCAAAAGCTAGTAATATTATGAATGCGAAAGTAACTCTGTCTGTCTGTCTCGCTTTCATGCCATAACTACTGCACTGATTTAAATAAAATTTGGTATACAGATAGTCTAGACCCTGAGAAAGGACATAGGCTACTTTTTAATGCGAAGAAAAGGTTGTTAGGGGTTGAAACGTTCTATGGAAGCATCATCATTTTTAAAGTTAGGAGCTTGAACCTTATTTTTTAAGTTTTTAACTATCAATATGACATTCAAAGTTTGTACGAATTTTACCCTTAAGGGAGTACAATAAAATAGGGGATGAAATGTAAATTCCTCATTCGTCCTCTATTCCTTGAGTACGAAGTCGCGGGCACAGCTAGTTACACATGTATGTTTTAAGAATATCACTCATCTCTTACCACTGACATTCCACGCCCCTTCGACCTGATATGAAGAGGTGGCTGTACCGAAAATGAACCCAGGTGGAAAAGATAGTTCATCTGAACATACTGCGATGCCAAATATTGCACTGTAAAATAAAGACAAATAATGACGTAAGTGATTGATCCCAAATTTGAATTTAAATGAATCTGTATTATTGTATGTACAATATTTAAAAAAAATACGAGCTCAGTTTCTTGTCGGTTCTACTCATCTCGAAATCATTCCGAACTGATGGTAGATTTGACATATCATAAGAGTCTGTAATCATCATCATCATCTGCTTCTTCCTTATCCCATTTATTTGTGGTCGGCGTAATATGTTTTTCGCTTCCATTCATCCCTGTTCGCAGTCATCGTCATCATAAGAGTAATCGACCTACATGAATAGGGAGGGGAAGGGAATTGTTAGTAATGTGGATTGATAACCCCATTGCTAGCAATGTACCTTGTCAGGTCGACCTCCACGCGGTTCCCCCTGGAAACCATCGTGTTCAATTCCTGGTGAATTTGTCACGATGGGCTACTCCACTGGTGCCCCGCCAGCGTAAACCGTGAGCGCAGGCGGGTGCACCATTCCATTATCATCCACAAAAAAAAACCTACATGAATAAAGATATTAAGACCGCCTTTTGTACTCATCATTTTATCTATATATAGATGTTCCTGCGATTTCGCCCGCGTGGAAATTAACTTTAGTTTTCTAAAATAAAAGTAGCTTAAGTTACTCCTTATTACATTAGCTACCTGCCAAAAAAAGTCCCGTCAAAACCATTTCAGAGATTAACCGGAACAAACAGACAGACAGACAGACGAAAATGGTAAAAACCTCTCAGTTAAAAAAAGAAAAAGGTTTGTAAGACGCGTAATTCGCAAACAAAGTTGAGGGTAACAGTTAGTCAAATATATAATAATAATATCTCAGGATAATTCACACAGCGCCATCTAGTCCCAAGCTAAGCAGAGCTTGTGTTATGGGTACTAGACAACTGCTACAACATACATGGATACTTTTTTTTTTTGCGAATAAATACATATTATACATGGAAACACCCAGACCGATACAAACAATCATACTTATGAATACAAATGTTTGTACCGTGCGAGGAATCGAACCCACGACCATCGGATAGTAAAGCGGTGTGCTAAACCACTAAACCATCGAGGCTGTCAATAATAATAAACATTTAAAACACTAACCTAATACAAGCTACTTTAATGCAATACATTTTATTGAAATGAAGATATTATCTATTTTTACCTTAACTATATACTATGTTTAATGACAATACTAAAAAAATATAAAGACAAAAAATAATGATTTATCGCGGGCATTTAATTCGAAGCAATTAAATAAAAAAATAATAAATACATTCTGAAGAAATAAGTATGTCATAAAACACATTGTCTATCTGTTCGAGTGAAACTTGAGTAGTGATTATTCATGTTGCGCCATATTTTTTTTAATTTGTAACTACACTAGGAGTACGTCCAGACTTTGTCCTGATTACTAACATAAATATTATACAAACGAAGACAATTCGCACAGCGACATCTAGTCCCAAACTAATATGAACATGCACATTTCTTTTTTTTAAATGGTTTTAAAAACATTACAAGTTTTTTTTTTAAATAAACATATCTTTCAGGGGTCCTGATTACTAACATAATGGAAATTGCTCTAGTAATGGGAACTATCTTTCAGTAATTCCCATTGCTAGCAATGTCCATAGTCGACCTCCGCGAACCATCGTCCCCCTGGTAACCATCGTGTTAAGTCACGAATCACGATGGGCTAACTGACCTGACCTTCATACTCATCTTATCATCCTCCACTGGTGCCCCGCCAGCGTAAACCGTTAGCGCAGGCGGGTGCAACATTTCATTATCATCCCCAAAAAAAACATACCTTTCATGTACGTAGGAAGGTAAGGGAAGGGGATCAGTAGTAATGTGGACTCATGACCCCATTACTAGCAATGTACCATGTCAGGTTGACCTCCACGCGGTTCTCCCTGGAAACAATCGTGATAAATTCCTGGTGAAATCACGAAGGGTTAACTGACCTGGCCTCATGTTCATCTTATCATCCTCCACTGGTGCCTTCCAGCGTAAACTGTTAGCGCGGGCAGGTGCACCATTCCATTAAAAAAAAGTACATGAAAGAACTGATATTAATTTTAAATAGATACATATTCATGCATTGAATCACCCAGACCAACACAAACAAACATACTAATGAACCCAGATATTTGTATCGTGCGAGATTCGAATCTAAGACAATGGATAGTAAGGCGGTGTGCTAACTAAATGTAGTTTTTATACCCATTGTCGAGACATGTTTTCTTGTTGTGTGTTATAGATATAGATACTGTATTTTAAATAAAGTTAAAATATCTATACATATAAATAAAATTGGAGCGTCTGTTTGTAATATTGAAATAACCATTATTTACTACATGCATATGAATATAAATACAGTACATACACCAAAATAGCATTTTTTACAATTTTTGTCTGTCTGTCTGTCTCTCTGTTTGTTCCGGCTAATCTCTGAAATGGCTGGACCGATTTTGACGAGACTTTTTAGCAGATTGCTGATGCAATAACTTAGGCTACTTTTATTTTAGAAAAATAAATTTAAATTCCACGCGAACGAAGTCGCGGGAACAACTAGTTTAAAATAAAGTAGATATCTATCTATCTATCAACAGATATACTTTTTTTCTTTTTGTGGCTTAGAACGTTGGTGCATTTGCCAAAGACAAAAAACAGATGTACTTACTGTGATGTATTTACACCCACATGTCAATGTCAGATTTGACACGTTAATCTATGTTTGTCTATGTCAATATAGAGTAAGATTATTGCATTATATAGAGACTAATAGAGTGACGTTTTTGCGAATGTCCAATTATTGCGTTACATATTAATAAATAAATATAATTAAAAAGGCGTGTTATTTTTATTCATCGTGTTATGAAGGCATACTTACACATTACTTACATGCATATTTTTCAACACAGTAATAAATTAGAATAAAACAATATAACATTATTTATTCTAAATATCCTCACCGTTGCTTCTCAATACATCTACGAAAATATTATGTATGCCAGGAAAAATATTAACAATTTTAAAAAAGTTGGCAATTACATTAATAAAAGCTTACGTAATGTCAACAAACTTGTTTTACCTAAGTGCCGTTTGACGAAAGTTAGTAATTCGGTTTATGGAAATTGCGTAAGGTTTTACAACAAACTCCCAGAGTCTGTAGTCAATTTGCCAGAAAAAAATTCAAATGTGTCATAAAATATTTTCTTTGTAAAAAAGCTTATTATAACATTGAAAAATTTATAAATGATAATAATGTTTTTGTAGAAAATATCTAACTTAAAATTCATAGAGCTGATAATGTTATCTGATTGAACAGAGAATAATTATTGAATTTAAAATAATTAAATTTGAATTTGAATTAAGTGTGTAGCGGTTTCTATGTTGATTGTCGCATGCCTAATCCTTGTTGTTAATTAAATATGAGTAAATAAATATTTATTTAAAAGAGCAACACACAAGTTTCTTGCAAATCTGCATTCCGAATAAGCGGTAGAATAAAAAAAACTTTAACTATTCAAAAATGATTTTATTAAGTTTATTTGAATAAAGATTATTTCTATTTCTATTCAAATAAACTTACACTGAAGCACTTTTGAATAGTCTTTTCTTATTTTTTTTTAATAAACCCCTCATTTAGAGAGCTTATCTCATCTCATCGCAAGAAGAACGGGCAATATTTTGCGGGCATCTCTTTTGAATAATTTAGTTGTAACTTTACATTATTAACTTCATGTGTGAATACAAACTACCAACTAGCACTAATTAATTCATTATAGTCAAAATATTGAATACACAACCAACTGGTTGAGTAACTAAATAAGAGTAAATCAACCGTAGTGATTAGAGCAGATCAGATCGTTCACGAGTATGACGTATAGTATATTTAAATTAAAAAAGAAAAATAAATATGTGTACCTTATTTACATTCATATGCATGTAGTAAAAAACGGTTATTTCAATATTACAAACAGACACTCCAATTTTATTTATATTTATAGATGAAGACGGAATATTTGCGGTGCTTGCTGTTCTTGTATATAGACAGCCTTACTTCCGATGGTTGCCGGTTCGATTACTCGCACGGTGCATACTTGACTTGATTTGTATGGGTGTGCCTGTATAATATGTATAATATATAGTATAATATGTATATATTTACAAAATGTATGTAAGTATTTATACCAGTTGTCTAGTACCCATAACACAGGCTCTGGTTAGCTTGGAACTAGATGGCGCTGTGCAGAATGTCCTGAGGATTATTATCATCATCATCATCTCAGCCCGCAAGATGTCCACTGCTGAACAAAGACCTCCCACAAAGATCTCCATGATGATCGGTCCTGCGCTGCTCGTATTGGGCTTTCCAGCGATCTCGACCAGATCGTCGGTCCACCTTGTTGGAGACCTTCCAACGATACGTCGTCCAGTCCGCAGTCGCCACTCGAAGACTTTACTGCCCCAACGGCCACTTGTCCTACGAGCTATGTGCCCTCCCATTGCCACTTAATTTTGCAATACTTCGGGCTATGTCGGTCACTCTGGTTCCTCTGCGAATCTCCTTATTTCTGATTCAATCACGCAGTAAAACTGAGCATAACCCTCTCCATTGCCCTCTGAGTGACTTTGAACTTATTCTTGGAGCTATTGGAGATTCCATAATTAGCTACCATAGATATTATATATTAATTACACTTCAAAGGCAAATCATTGAAACTATCATTACGACTTAATGTTACTGAATGAAATAAAGACGTAATAGTGTTGTAACAAACGTTAAAAAAACAATTGAATTTAGATCTTCATTCTTTTTATCATTTATTTAAAAATCACCTATCCAATGAAATGTTTATAAGGTTCATTTTATAATGTACTTGCGTGTGCATCATATATAAGTTTTCATATGGATAACAGAGATAGCAACAACTATATCTTATGTTATATCTCTCTTTAATCCCCCAACAAAATTATGGTCTTGGAAGTAAAGGAGGGTTATAAATTATATTTTATGATTATATAAATAAACATAGATAAATTCGTTGTATGCATTAATAAATATGTTTTATATTGAGGCGGTTGTGTTCGGGTGAGTTTTTTTTTTATATTTATTAACTATTTTTTTTATGGATTTTAATGGAATGACGGACGCTGAGCTAACGGTTTACGCTGGCGGGGCACTAGTGGAGGATGATAAGATGAGCATGAGGTCAGATCAGTCTAAGGGAGAACCGCGAGGAGGTCATTGCTAGCAATGAGGTTAGTAATTTACATTATTAACAATCCACTGTATCCATATTTCATCCGTTTGTATTTAATAAGATCAAGTAAAGTTACCATGGATTTTTTTTATTTAAACTTTATTGAATTGTACAATAGGCGTGCTTAAGGCTAGTAGCTGGTAAAGTAACCAGCCAACCTTAGGGAGTGCAGATATGTTCGAAGACGGTTTGGTTAATTAAATAAAAATATATAATATGTTAAATAGATATACATGGACATAATAAAATATAACATACGAACTTTTATAAACATACATACAACATTTTTTTATATATAAACCCATTTTTTTGTTGTAACTTAGTCCTATAAAAATGTGTAATTAATATTAACTTCCGATAGTGCAACGACCCTATTTAACAGTTGTAAAAAACTAGCAACATTACCTATGTTGAGTCTTTGTCTCCGGAATGAAAAAAACAAACTATGTAAAGACAGGTGAGGCTGTGTAAATTGTTCTGAGGTATTTTTATACCAAATCAAACCAAAATATCTTTATTCATGTAGCTCGATTACAGACTCTTATAATATGTCAATTCTACCATCAGTTCGGAGTTCGTTCGAGACGAGAGGAACTGACAAGAAACTCGTATTCATTTCAAATATTGTTTACAATTTTTATTTAAAACTTTTTTTAATTCATATTTGGGAGAATAGAGTGAATAGCATATGCTATTGCAATTGCTATGATATTGTTAATAGCAAATAGTGTAATCAGTGTTCGTAACCCGAACCTGTCCTCGCAAGCAGCACCCGTTCACGATTATGTCGAATGAGCCAGCTATCATTGCACTCAACCACATTAGAGAGAGCACATTGACTCGGCCCACCACGCCGCCACAAGTTTGAACTTATAGCGAGCATGACAGTTTCAAGTTACTCGCACAACGTCATTTATTGTAGCATATCCTTTAACAATCACAGTTTAATTTAACAATATTTAAATTAATCTCCGGTAAAATATATTTTAATTAAAATATAGATATATATATATATATATGTATTACAGACGGTGTTGATAAATAAATAAAGATAAATGGTATTAATATGTTTAGATAAAGATTACCACTTAATAGTATTTACTGTCAATGAACCGTAACTCAACTAGATAATTATATTTTTTTATCCAATTAACTGCAAAAGTAATTGTCATCATTGAGAATGTTATTCGTAAACAACACAACAATAGTAAATTGGATTATGATAAGATATATATATTCCATTATTTTATTATTACACAACTTCCTACACCAAGTTTGCGTGTTATGTATGAATAAATACACTTAATTTGAATGAGGCTAAATGATTTAAGGTTGACAAGCCTATATCTTTAACATGTACAAAAGACTAGTCGGAACTGGCGATGTGGGATTATCACGAGTGTGACTTGAGGAAAAGTCTTGTAATGTAATTTTATAAGACTTTTCCTCAAGACTCACTATTTATTTACGTCTTAAAATCATCTATACATCGTCTCACGTTGTTCTGTCAACCCTTTCAATTGTTTCTTTAAAAATAAAACTATAATAAAATTGAAATGCATAAAACCTCTTTTCACACGGCCCTCCTGGGACTGTTAGAAGTTATTCTGGGACAGATGAATTAAATTCATCTGTCCCAGAATAACTTCTAACATCTTGAACTTTCTGAATAAATTCTTTTATTTTTAATTGTTGTCTATCATCAATAAATTGTATAATACATTTTCTTCTTTTTTAACCTTAATAATTTAAATTAAGTTTTACCCCATAAAAAACCACACTGTGTACCTACGATCGCCATTACTGGAGTCGTGAGGTCGTGACTAAATTCATGGTCATCTAAAGTTCCGGACCTAGGAGTGTTCGTCTTGAAGCAACGCCAAATCAAATAGCTCCGAAGTCGTGTACACGCTTCCAACATTGTGTAGGGCGAAATAGACCTAGTGAATTATTAGGGGGGTGCCATCAAATATGTAGGTTAGGCAAACGCCGCCAGATCAGGGTAGAATGCTAACGCGACTTCGCGACTCCAGCAATTGCGCTCATAAGAACACCGTCTGTTTTTTTAATGGGTAACAATCCCACACCCCCTCATCAACCCTCATGCGGGACGTCCTTTTGAAGATTTTTCCACACGACAAAAAAATAATGAAAATATCCCGATACCGGAGGCCTAAAAATAGTTTAAAATTTGTCTGAGAATCCTTATACGGTGAGCATTTCAGAGATAAGGTTGTCTTTCAGGAAATCATGCAGGTTATCAAATCTGATAAGCACGAAGTACAAACGCGATTTAAAATAAAGTGGGTGTGGCATTCGTTGATAAACAAAATTCAATTAATCGATAACATTGTAGTGCCCTTATAGTATCAGTAATCCTTATCCTTACTAACCTTATAAATACGAAAGTAACTCTTTCTGCCTGTCTCGCTTTCACCTCAAAACTACTGAAATTTGGTACACAGATTGTGTAGACTGCGAGAAAAAATAGCACGTTTTAATGCGAAAAAAGGGTGGTTAGGGGTTGGAAGGAGAGATGAAAATTTGTATGGAAATATTGTCAGTTTTAAATCTAGAAGCTTGACACTTCTTTTTTAGGCTATTGACTGAATTCCAAACAAGTTGTAAGGAGCTGAGTAGGGGTCAAGCTAGAACTGTTTTCTTTGGTTTTTTGGGCTTTATTGAATATTTCTTTCTTCATTACTTCAAGGTCACTACAACACGCGGATAAAATCGCGGGCCCAGCTAGTTGATTATAAAGTATTTCATAATATCCGTACCGTATTTATTAGAAGATCCATTAATGTGATCTAAAGGTCTACTCTGAAGTGAAATTCCAATATTTCAGTTCTTACCTCGAAAACATTCCGAACTAACGGTAGATTTGACATATCTCATATATGTCATAAGTTGGTTTGTTACCGGTGTGTCGTACACACCAGGTCACATGTTGAGCGGAGCGCGTTTATTCTAAAAAACTCGACCTTAACCAATCGGATTTTTTTAGTGCTAAACGATGGAAGCCTGAAGGTCGACCTTCGAAGGTAGGTCGACGTTCGAGCCTCCATCGCTTCCAAGTTTTCGGTTGAGACCAAAATTACATCGGTAAAATTTTGGTCGATCGCTCAAGCCGTTTCGGAGGACTATCGTTACAAAGAGTGAAAATCTTATCTAGAGATCAGAGCTCCACTCAATTAATTTAGATATTTCAACCTCATTATTTCAACTCAGACTTGAATGATTATCGTTTTTTTAGAGTTCTGGTGAGTGGGACGCTGGCCAGTAACGAACTCACGTTTCCGCCTGGATTCAAATTTGGTGTAGCAACCGCTGCATATCAAATTGAAGGGGGATGGAACATCAGTGGTTTGTATTTTATTTTTATAGCTTCAACCCACGTGATCACGATTGGCTGAAATTAAAAGTCTTTCTCGAAAGACTACAGCATGGGGTGTTTCATGAAGAGTATATTAAGATTTCTTAAGGGTCGGCAACGCGCATGTGACACCCCTGGTGTTTCAAGCGTCAGGCTACGGTAACCGTTTACCATCAGATGGGCCGTATGCTTGTTTGCCAGCTACGTGGTATAAAAAAAACTCTATGTCTTTCTTCATCCATATTAATATTATAAATGTAAAAGTATGTCTGAATGTTTATTAAATGGAAGAAGGGGATTGTTAGTTATGTGAACTAATAACTCCATTGCTAAGCATTGCTACAATGGTACAATGTATCAGGTCAGTTTGACCTCCACGTGATTCCAATATCCATCGTGATAATTCGTGCTACGATGGGCCAACTGGCCTAACCTCATGCTCATCTTATCATCATCCACTGGTGCTCCGCCAGCATAAACCGTTAGCGCAGGCGGGTGCACCATTCCATTATCATCCATAAAAAATGTATTCTTCAATATTACAATTTATGTGACGTTATTTCCGGATCCTGTCAGATAAAAGTGTCAGCATATGGGACACGTATACACATGAACACAAAGCCGGGATAGCAGACCGCTCCTCAGGTGATGTAGCCTGTGACTCGTACCATCTTTGGAGGCGAGATATTGAGATGCTGACTGAACTTGGAGTTGATTTCTACAGGTGATTACATTCTATTTCATAATCTTCTTTAAACTCTACTAATCTACGTATTAGATCTATTAGAATTTTATCAACGTTCTATTGTCAAAGACTATACTTCTATGTTCGTGTATGTCAAATGTATGGTAGTGTGTGTAATGTTTACTTTTTATACATAATTTAAAAAATATTATTATTCTGCACTCCTCTATATAAACTATGAGTGTGCGAAATTCACGCCCTTCCCTCCGCGCAATTTTCGTAAAATTTTGTAGAAAGTTTTTTCTCAATGTTTTTTTCTCGAAAATAACCTTTAATATAAATTTTTATAGTACATTTTCGAATGTATTATAATTATGTAAATTATTAACCATTCTATATAGTGAAATACTCTCGATAGTGAATGAAGATATTTATCATGCATTAACTTTATTTTAAAAATAGACTCAAGTTTAAGTGTTTAAAGTCCATTTTCGAATGTACCATAAAAATGCAATTTATTAAATAACTAACAAATAATAAATATTTATATCTTAGGTTCTCCATATCGTGGCCACGTCTATTGCCGACTGGCTATCCAAACCAAATCAGCGAGAATGGAAAGAAATATTACGACGATCTGATTAATGGGCTGCTAGAGAAAGGAATTGAACCTGTAGTTACATTGTACCACTGGGATATACCTCAAACTCTTCAACATCTAGGTAAGAATGGGAATTTATATTAATTACGCCACCAAGGAACAGAACATCGTCTATATCCGGACTAAATGTAACCTGACATTGAAGGTGACGCAACTGGAATCGAGTCACAACACATGTATAAGTGTTTGTGAAACTACTCTGCTACCAAAATGTTAGGGAATTTACTATGTCTGTCGTGTACCTGATTTGGTTTTGCGGATTTCTTGGGCTTCAGGGTCTCGAAGGTATCTTCGCTAGCTTTCACACACTTTCACATTAGGGTTTAACACAGGTTAGGTTTAACACAGTTGGTTTCCGCGCGCGCGTCAAGGCCGCTGTATGGTCCGTCTGTTACAGGATCTGTTACAGGACACACTAGTTAAGGGAAAGGGAAGGGCAGGGAAGGCCGCGGGAACACAAACTAACGGGCTCTAATATAATAATCTGTGCTTACGATGGTATAGGGTAGATTTTGAACAATAAGCTATATTACTGTAAAGTTTCATGAATATCCGTTCAGTATTTTTTGCGTGAAAGACTAACAAACATAAATACTCACAAACTTTCGCGTTTATAATAATATTATATATTAAGATTATTATTTTATTATTAATTACAGGGGGCTGGACCAACCCTTACATAGCAGATTGGTTTGAAGATTACGCACGGGTTGTATTCTCCCTATACGCTGATAGAGTTAAGATTTGGGCCACAATCAATGAACCTGTGGCTATATGTGATGGGGCATACAGTACTGGTATATTAGCCCCGGCCACTATAGTATCAGATAATATAGGAACATATATATGTAATAAAAACGTTCTGCTAGCCCACGCTAAAGCCTACAGGCTGTATGATAAAGAATACAGACCAAAATACAACGGTGAGTACACAATTTTATACTTTACTAGCTGTGCCCATGGTTGAAAATAGCCTACATGTTACTCTGATAGCTAGCTGAGCCCGCGACTTCGTCCGCGTGTAATAGACAACGAATGAGGAATTTCCATATTCCATTCCATATATAAAATAGATGATGAACCCTATTTTATTTCACCCTTTTAAGGGTAAAATTTATACAAACTTTGAATGTCATATATATTTGCATTTAGTCAACAACCTAAGAAATAAGTTTTAAGCTTCTAGCTTTAAAAATGACTCCCCGTTCAACCCCTTATAACCTTTTGTGCATTAAAAAGTAGCAAATGTCCTATACTATCTGTATACTAAATTTCATTTAAATTAGTTCAGTAGTTTTGGCGTGAAAGCGCGACATACAGACATATTGAGCAGAGCATTGCCAGTGGATAATATAAAATAAACTTGTAGGTATTTAATTGCTAATTGTTTTATCACTTTTATAATAGAAACTAACTTTTGCCCGCGGCTTCGCTCGCGTAAATTTATCATCTTAGGGGTGGAATTTATCAAAATCCTTTCTATGGGGATGCCTATGTCATAGTAGCTTTATGCATGCAAAATTTCAGCCCGATCGGTTTAAAATTGACAAAGTTTAATACAAACTTTCATCCCCTATTTTATCCCCTTGGGGGTAGAATTAATCAAAATCCTTTCTTAGCGGATGCCTACGTCATAACATCTACCTGCACGCCAAATTTCAGCCCGATCCGTCCAGTGGTTTGGGCTGTGCGTTGATAGATCACTATGTCAGTCACCTTTGAGCTATATATTAGATTAAATTACAAATTCTGGAGAAGAGAAAAAAACGCGGGATACATTTCAAGGACACTTAACAGAGAGTGCCGTTTAACATACTTAAGACAAGATACTGACATTGACAGATTCATTAGTTTAAGTAATAGAGCGTGATTCAATTATATTTTTAACACAGACAGACAGACAGAGTTACTGTCGCATTTATAATATTAGTAAGGATAAAGACCTAGGTCGCCTGAACTTGAATTGATAACGCTTATCTACTACCGTATTGGTAACAATTGGGTCAGCAACGCGTATGTGACACCCCTGGTGTTTCAGGCGTCCATAGGCTACAGTAACCGTTTATCATCATGCTCATCCGTATGCTTGTTTGCCACCTAAGTGGTATAAAAAAAACAAATCTCATAAAAAAAAATTTGTTTTCAAGGATACTTGCATTATATAACTTTGTTAGGTATTAGATAATAAATACGTAATCTTTATATCTACTTATACCTCTAATTTAGATACTTGTTTACAAGCAATATATAGATTAGTTAGTTAGTTACAAAGTATGTTTTTATACACACACATATATAATACTACTTGAGCATCATCTACTTGAACATCGTCTGCATCACACTTACTTGACATTTATATATTTCGTCAATTTACATAATATCTTATTATGACACTATATATATATATATAAGCTGTATCACTGTAAAGTTTCGTCAAAATCCGTTCGATTTTTAGCTTTTAGTAGTTTTTGCGTGACAGAGTAACAAACATCCATCCATCTAGCCATTTATACTCACAAACTTTCGTTTATAATATTAGTAAGATTTGAATTAAAAATAATTATTATAATAATAAATAATTTTTACAAAAAAAATATTTATTTATTTAAAAATCCATCTTAATCTTAAGTCGGGGGGAAAGATGTGTTTTTGTAATGTGAACTGATAATCCCATTGCTAGTATGGTACATTGATATGGTACATTCATATGGTACATTCATATGGTACATTCATATGGTACATTCATATAGTTTTTTTTTCAATTTATAATGGAATGGCGTAGACGCTTGATCTAAGGGTTTACACTGGCGGGACACTAGTGGGGGATGATAGGATGAGGTCGTATAACTTCACCTGGAATTTATCACGATGGTTTCCAGGGGGAACCGCGTGGAGGTCAACCTGACATGGTACATTGCTAGCAATGGGTTACTAGTACACATTACTAACAATCCCCTTTTCCCCTTTATACTCGGTTTAACTGTTCATATTTTCTTTGCAGGAATAATATCAATTGTCAACAACGCTATGTGGATGGAACCACTTGACAAAGAGAACACGGATCTAGCTGAGTTGGCAATACAAAATTTCGTATGTATATATCCAATGTTTTAGGAGTAAAAGCAACGATAATAATATACGATGTAGAGCCGTGTTTCCCAACACGGGGCCCACGGCCCACAGTGCCCCCCTGTGGGCCGTGGGCCCCGTGTTGGGATTCGATTATTAAGGGGGAAATTCTTAAATGGACTCATAAAACCTATTTAAGCAAATATTTATATCAGTTTTCTAGTACCTATAACATAAATTCTGCTTAGCTTGGAACTAGATGACGCTGTGTGAATTGTCCAGCATTATGTTAATATTATTAATATGTAGATTAATAAATTGCAAAAAGGTTTACTTTCGTTTGAATAAAATAACTGATGATATATTTATAGAAATGCTAAAATAGACATATACCCAGGCCCCTCTTCCCTACTGTGCACATTGGGCACGTGCCCAGTATTAGAGAAACAAGATATGCAGTGTAAAACATAAAATTGTATTCTGTTTAAACAACCGTTACTAAGTAACTGACAATTTATTTCTTTTTCGGTATATTAGATTATAAACCTCAATACCGCCCCTTAATCTTATATACGAAATATATACAATTATTTGGACAACCCTAAGTCCTTAACAAATTTCTCATGTTTAACTATACAAAGAGGCTTAGTTAAAAGATCTGCAATCATTTGGTCCGTTGGCAAGAAATTAATTTTTATATGACCATTGCCTACCGCCTCCCAAATGTGAAATGATGACATGTCTATATGCTTAGTCCTATATGGAACATTCTATTTTCAGTTAGTTTTATTGTAGACTGATTATCATTAAATATAATTATATTATTAATTTGACTTGATATTAAACATTCATTGAGAAAAGTTTTATATGAACATTGCCTCTTTACAAGCATCTGAGACTGACATATAAAACCTCGGTACTAGATAAAGCGACAGTCCGCTGTTTTCTACTTTCCCAACAAGTAATAGATTCCCCAATTTTGAAAACATAGCCTGTATACGACCTACGATCTATATGATTTGATCCCCAGTCTGCATCTGCAAATCCTGTCACAGTCAAACCAGTTTTTCTATAAGTAATACAGTAATCTATTGTACCCTTAAGATAGCGTAATACGCGTTTAGCTGCTCTCCAGTGTATCTCAGAAAAACAGTTATTAAATTGACTTAATACACTTACTGCGTGACAAATATCGGGACGCGAACATACAGCTATATACACAAGACAGCCAATTAACTCACGATACTCCAAGTTGTCATCCTTCTTTTCTGACTTAAGTAGTTTCTCACATTGCATTGGAGTTTTCGCTGGCTTACAGTTCTGCATATTAAATTTTTCTAAAATCTTTTCTATATACGCACTTTGATTTAATGTAATCGTGCCATTCACTTTCTTTATTCTTAATCCTAATACTTTTTCTACTGGACCAAGATCTTTCATGACGAATTCTTTCATTATCATACTTTTAGTTTTATTTTTCTCTTCTTTACAGTTAGTCATAAGTATCACATCATCTACATATAGAGCAATTATCACCAGCTTATCATAATTTTTCTTTACATAAACACATGGCTCGGAAAATAATCTCTTGAACTTTAATTTATTTACTAGAACATTGTTTATTTTCTCATTCCATGATTTCGGTGCTTGCTTTAATCCATATACAGCCTTTCGTAGACGATATACTTTATTTCCACCTTTACCTTTATCAAAACCTTCAGGTATTTCCATGTATATAGTTTCTTTCAAATCACCATTTAAAAATGCAGTTTTTACATCCATGTGCTCAATATCCATATCGTATTCTGCAGATAGAGCTAACAGCATTCTTAATGTTTCATATCTCACGACTGGTGAATATATTTCAAAGTAGTCTACTCCGTACTTCTGTGTAAACCCTTTTGCAACTAATCGTGCTTTATACTGTATTATCTCTCCATTCAAACCTCTTTTCTTCTTGAAAATCCATTAGTTTTTATTGGTTTCAATCCTTTCGGTAAGTCAGTTACAGTAAAGCATTGGTTGTCAATAAAGGATTGATACTCATCATTCATTGCGACACGCCATTGCTCTGCTTCAGAACTGCTTAATGCTTCCTTAACAGTTTTAGGCTCAACCGCTTCATAGGATTCTCCAAGTAAAAATGCAGAGAGAAATGAGTTGTCAGCTTGACTAGCTCTAGAATCATCAGATTCAAAGGACATATCAGGTACATAGGTTTCATCTAATGAACGGTCTTCGACGGATTCACTAGTTGCAGGTTCACTAATTTCATTACTTCCAGAAGTATCAGAAATTTGCTCTACATTGTTATCATTATTCGAAATATCAAAGGATACTGATGGAGAAACAGGATTTATGTTCAAATTTGATGAAGTTACATTTAAATCCTTGAGAAACTTATTTTCTAAAAATGTTACATTTCTAGAAACAGTCAGCTTTTGACATATAGGATCTACAAGCCTATACCCCTTAGTGTTTTCACAATAGCCAACAAAAATGTACTTTTTGCATTTCGGATCAAGTTTCTTTCTATTATTTTGTACTGAGTAAGCTACACATCCAAAGACTCTTAAGTTAGACAGATTTACCTTTTGTCCAGAGTAACGTTCTTCTGGAGTGAAACCTCTGACGGCCTTTGTAGGAGAACGATTTTTGACATACACAGCAGTACATACTGCTTCAGCCCAGAATTTTTGTTCAAGACCGGCTTCGAGTAACATACAGCGCACCGCCTCCATAATAGTTCGGTTCGCGCGTTCTGCGACTCCATTCTGCTGTGGACAGTGAGGGACTGTAGTTTGGTGTTTAATACCACACTCACTCAAATATCGTTTAAATCGAGTATTCATGTACTCGCCTCCATTATCGCTTCTCAATATTTTAATCTTTTTATTTGTTTCATTTTCTACCTGAGCTTTAAATTTCATAAAACACTCAAAAACTTTGTCTTTAGAATCAATACAAAAACAAAAAGTTTTTCTAGAAAAGTCATCAATAAAAGTTAATAAATATTTTGCACCACCAAAAGAGTTCACCTGCATAGGACCACATAGATCTGTGTGTACTAAACCCAACACAACATTAGCTCGTGTAAACGATTTCTTAGGAAAAGGTAGTTTAGTAGCCTTACCTATATATACAGGAGATGCATTGTTCATATGACGATACATTATAGTCAATGCCAGTTGCCATACCATTCTTGAGTAAACTCATGCTGCGACTATTTAAATGTCCCAAACGTCGATGCCAGATACCTTGACTTGCTTGGTTTACGTGAGATTGAACTTCATTTTTAATATTTGAAGATTTACTCACAGACATGACTGGACTTTTTACGCGATCAACGGAATTTACAAATGCAGACCCAGTTTGTAATTTATATAAACCAGAATTACCCCGCTTTGCAATCGCTGCTAATATATTATTTTTATATATTTTACATAAATCAAATTCAAAAATTACACGATATTCTCGCTGTGTCAAAACATTGACAGACATTAAATTACATGACAAGTTAGGAATATAAAACACATCACATAGAGTTTTTATACCATCCTTAACTAAAATATCTGTATCACCTCGACCGACACTATTTATTTTATCTCCGTTCGCTACTGTCACATATAAACTATTGTCCTCGACGTAATTTTTCAAAATTTTCCGATTGTTGCACATGTGACAAGACGCACCAGAATCGACATACCAACCCTCAAAATTCACATCTGCTGATAGGACCGACAACATTATTGCACTCTTGGCTGCACCAGAGCTGCTGCTCGACTTTGGTTGCTTATCTTTACCTGATATTTTCTTACGGCAGTCCTTGGCATAGTGACCAACCTTCTTACATTTGTAGCATATAGGACGTTTTGAAATTGCCAGAACTTTCTCCTCAGGGCACTCGGAGCTTGTTGTACCATCTCGTCTCTGTGATTCTTGTAGCAATTTATTTTTAACGAGATCACTAGATAGAGTTAAATTTGCATTTTCTAGTGTCATTATGAGTGGGTCGAAATCCTTCGGGAGTCCACTAAGCATTATGACTGCGACAAAATCATCATCGAGAGGAGCATTCATGTCTTGGAGTTGTTGAGCGATATCCATAATTTTTGTGAGATATCCGTCCATATCCTGAAATTGTTCAAGTTTCAAAGAGAATAATATTCTAAGAAGACCAACCTTCTACAGAGACCCTTGTCTTCAAATGCACGTTGCAGATTTCTCCATGCTTCAAATGCTGTTTCACAGTTTCTAACATTTGAATAGACGGCAGGAAGTACGCTTAAGCATATCTTCGCTAATGCTTTTTCTTGCTTTTTCCTATCCATGCATTCGGGTTCTCCATTTTTAGTAGCAACAACGCAATCGTACAAATCTTCATGTATGAGTGTCATTTTCATCTGGAATTTCCAATTGCCGTAATTTGCCATTCCCGACAATTTATCCATAGTTAACGATGAAGAAGTCATTTTGAAGAGTATTTGTGTGAATGAATCGTAATTTTTACCGCTCTGCTACCATATTAGAGAAACAAGATATGCAGTGTAAAACATAAAATTGTATTCTGTTTAAACAACCGTTTCTAAGTAACTGACAATTTATTTCTTTTTCGGTATATTAGATTATAAACCTCAATACCCAGGGGGGCCCTGGGTATTGAGGTTTGCAATTGACTGGGGCCCCCTAGTCTAGTCTAGTCCCTACTCCATTAGCAAACGGTAACCGATAACTACTCTGCTCTCGCCTGAAAATCAGTCTTACCTTACCGACACTATGGTCGTATTTGTTAATTTTTTTATAAATGTCTAGCAAGAACGTAAACTTTTAAGAAATTATTTTAAAAAGTCTTTTTAAAGACTTTTTAAAATCATTTTTGCCTGGTTTATTTATTCTAATAAAATATTGCTTTATTACTATGTTTTTATTATTAATAGTTTCTTAAGGACTGTATATATTTTATATTATAATTTTAGTTTTAATAGAAACTACGGTCGCTGATGGTAAAAGACATATATTTCAAATGTGACAAATAATAGAACAATATAAAATGGATTTTAAATATATATAAAAAAATACAATAAAATTCTAAACGGTGCGTCGTGCACACTCTGGTCATAGGGGACCCATTATCCAAATGTGCCCAGAGCCTCTAATAGATGACAGACGGCCCTCCATATACGATGTTACTTATGCTATAAATATCTATAAAAAACGCTATATATAAAAAAAATATTGGAAGGATGGAAGCAGTTGTTAAAACTATTGTATAAAAAATCTTCTAGCTAGGTCGATATTCTTACGCCATATACTCAAAAGAAGGTGGTTGGCCCCCGGAATTGGAAAGAATAGTTGCTGAAAGCAGCAAACGTCAAGGATATCACTCTTCAAGACTGCCTGCCTTTACCAAAGAGGAAATCGAATTAGTGAAAGGTTAGTAGTAGAAATAGAAATAATCTTTATTCAAATAAACTCATTACACGCACTTATGAATAGTCATATTTTGATTCTACCACTCATTCGGAATGCAAATTCATCACAAGAAGAACGAGCATGAAACTTGTGTATCGCTCTTTGGAATAAATGTTTTTTTTATATAAATAATTACAGTATAACAAGTAAGAGGTATGCGATAATCAACATAGAAATCGCTACGCACTCATTATTAGTGTAATCAGATAATATTGTCAGCGCTATGGATTTAAGTTTTTCTATTTTCTAGTAGTAATATTATATCTGTGTCTCTATTGACATGCTCTTTCAGGGCGTTACAAAATAATTGTAAAAACTGAACCACACTATATGATACTGCAATAAATCTATAAAATCAAAATATCTCTATTCATGTCCGTCTATTATAAATTCTTATGATATGTCAAATCTACCGTCAGTTTGGAGTGGTTTCGAGTTAGGAAAAATTGACAAGAAATTCAGCTTATTCTTGTACATGATTATAGAAATACAAAGTTATGGTTATATAAATACATTTGAATAGAATATAATGTAAGCTCTGCTTATCGTGGGACTTGTGTTAATTGTCCAGGATCATTCATTGAAAGCCTCGGTGGTTTAGTGGTTTAGCACACCGCTTTTCTTCCGATGGTCGCGGTTGCGATTTCTAGCACGGTACAAACAATTGTATTCATGAGTATGATTGTTAGTATTGGTCTGGGTGTTTTCTATGTACAATATGTATCTATTTACGAAAAAAAATTTATGTATTTATATCATTTATCTAGTACCCATAACACAAGCTTTAGCTATCTTAACTTGGATCTAGATGGCGCTGTGTGAAGTGTCCTGGATTATTATTATTTATTTATTTATTTATTAGTTGTCTAATACTCATAGTACACGGCTACAGGCTCTGATTAGTTAGTGGCGCTGTGTTATTTTATTTAAACTTTATTGAATTTTATACATTAGGTGGGCTTAATGCTAATAGCATTCTCTACTAGCCAACTTTAGAGAGTTATTGTTAATACTATATATTGTTTGCAGGTACGTTTGACTATTACGGTTTGAACCACTACACCAGCAGGCTGGTCCGGAGGATCAGGCCTGATGAACACCCGCACTCCAATTTATTTACAGCTGAACCTGAATTTAGCTACCTTTGTGAAATGGACCCTAATTGGACCGTCGGTGCCAACGGCTGGCTTGCTGTACGTATATGCCTATTTCATCATCATCATCATCATCATCATCTGCTTCTTTATCCCATTTATTTTGGGTCATCGTAATATGTATATGTGTTTATCTATACATCTAAACAATATAAATAAAATTGGAAAGTCTGTTTGTAATATTAAAATAACCGGTTTTACTACATGTACATACATACTATATGTGAATATAAATACGGTACATACACCAAAATAACATTTTTTACAATTTTTGTCTGTCTGTTTCTTCTGGCTAATCTCTAAAATGGCTGGACCGATTTTGACGGGACTTTTTGACAGGACTGATACAGCTAACCGAATGCGTGGGTAGATTTACATTTCAACTTAATACAAAATATGAATAAATTGCATCGTTTGTATTATATGAGCTTCAATTATATTCGCAGTCATATCCCGAAGGATTTCGTCACTTATTATCCTGGATTAAGAAACAATATGGGGATATAAAAATATTTATCACCGAGAACGGATATCCGACAAAGTCAACAAGTTATTTGGACGATGATGATAGAATACAGTATCACAAAGATTATCTCGAACAGGTATAGTAATCTTACAAACATACAAAATCATGACTGTTATTTTTTTTTATGGATGATAATGGAATGGTGCACTTGCCTGCGGTAACGGTTTATTCTAGGGGGCACCAGTGGAGGATGATAAGATGAATTTGAGATCAGGTCAGTTAGCCCATCATGACAAATTCACGAAGAATTTATCACAATAGTTTCCAGGGGGATCCGCGTGGGCACGACTGTTATTGAAGATACTCATTTTCTAACAGAACTAGTTACGGAAATTCATCTGTAGTATGGTGAATGATTTAATATGCCCACATTTGGCTAATTGTTTTTTTTATTATTGTATAATTTTTTGTTGTTCCCGATTTTTTATTTTCGGACTACTCTAATGCTGTTGGTAGCTGGCCTTTACAGCTTCACCGGACGATAGGGGGCGAGTGCAGATGGCACTCCAAATCAAAGGAAGGACATGGAGCGGCTGAAGGCCAACTCCCGCCTGACGGATACGACTTTAGTCTGAGGGCACCGCTAGGGGTTCGAACCTCGGCTCAGGCCGTTATATTTTCGATCCCCGTTTGTATTGGGCGGGAGATCGATCGGAGGAGAGTGTGTCGATGCCCGCACTCATAGTTTACGTTGGCAGGGCGTCAGTGAGGCTAACTGACTTGACCTCATGGTTATATATATGTAAACATATTTTATATATGTACTACATCAAAAATCTAAATCAAATATCTTTATTCATGTAGGTCTATTACAAACTCTTATAATATAGTCACCACCTATCGTCCGGTGAAGCTATAAAGGCCAACTACGGCCAACAGCTTTAGAATAGTACCAATAAACTGTAGCCAACACTATTATTATCCATTAAAAAATATATGATTATTATAGGTGCTGCTATCCATTCGTGAAGACGGTGTGAATGTCATGGGATACACCGTCTGGAGTTTAGTAGATAACTTCGAATGGATGGATGGATATAAGTGAGTAATTGCTTAAATTTTCGGATTCGGTATTTCTATCCTAACATATCTCTGGAAGCTTATCTGAAGGTTACATATATATGACGTGCATTGTTTTAATTTTGATGTTGTAAGCAGTTTTTGTCACTAAGGAGTCATACATTAAATTTGTGAGACATTGAGGTAGTGGATAGGGTTGACAACTTCTGACATTTTATGACAAGGTGTCAGGGAGAGAGAGAGATCATAAATTTCGTAATGGTAAATTTCAAAATATACCATTTAATTTATTTATAAATATTTAAAATGGAAAAGAATTTATTTTGGAACTGCTGTTTGTTTGGTAATTTTATCATCTAATTTTGTTTTCTACGATGGTGGCAAAAAAGCATACGGCGTATCTGATTGTAAATAGTTAGCGTAGACAATTCGTAACGGTAAATTTCAAAATCTACCATTTATTTTATTTATAAATATATAAAATAGAAAAAAAAATTTGCAACTGCTGTTTGTTTGGTAGTTTAATAATTTCTATTTTTTTTATATTCTACGATGGTGGTAAACAGGCATACGGTCCATCTGACGGTAAATGGTTTCCGTAGCCTATAGACGTTACACATCAAAATCAGTTCGATTCTGTTTTACGCAAAAACTGCGTAAAAGAGTAGCAAACATTCATACATACAAACTTTCGCATTTATAATATTACTAGCTTTTGCACGCGACTTCGCTCGCGTTAATTTATCCCCTTAGAGGTGGAATTTATCAAAATCCTTTCTTAGAGGATGCCTACGTCATAATAGCTTTATGCATGCAAAGTCTCAGCCCGATCGGTTTAAAATTGACAAAGTTTCATATGAATTTTCATCCCCTATTTTATCCCCTTGGGGGTAGAATTAATCAAAATCCTTTCTTAGCGGATGCCTACATAATAACATCTACCTGCATGCAAAATTTCAGCCCGATCCGTCCAATGGTTTGGGCTGTCGTTGATAGATCACTATGTCAATCAGTTACCTTTGAGTTATATATATTTAGATTAAAATAAGTTTTTTTCTTTATTTAGCACAGCTAGTATTAGTAAGTAATTGTATATCTTTTTCAGTGTCAAATTTGGACTATACGAGGTGAATTTCACGGACCCCCACCGTACCAGAACGGCTAGGAAATCAGCAAAATACTACGCAGAGTTCATTAGAACCCAAAAACTAAACGAAGCAAACAATAAATCTAGTAAATTTTACACACTGTGTTCATATTTAATCCTTACAATACTAACTCTTGCTGTGATAGCTGCAATTTCTGTGTGTTGGAAATCAAAAGCTGAAGTTAAAGCAAGAAAAATGAAAGAATTAGAAGCGCATTCTTTATACCTTATGGAAGAAGTGCCGATCAGAAAATCATTTTAATTTTATTTATTAATTATTACTTTTGTTATAATAAAACTCTATATATAGAATGGGTTCTTTTTTTAACCATTAAATCCAATGTAAAACATTAAAAATTTATGAGACAATAACAGTTTTGACATGATGTCTACGGCTACCTTTTACCATCGCACCGCTCGCCATCGACAGGGAATTCATCCCCACACGCTGGAACCTAAGTGGTCTCGGACAGTGCGGTTTCAGAGGAGCTTCCTCCCGCGACACTTAGATTGTGGAATGAACTACCTGCCGAGGTTTTCTCGAGAGACTACAGCATGGGGGTTTTCAAGAAGGGTATATTAAGGTTTCTTAAGGGTCGGCAACGCGTATGTGACACACCTGGTGTTTCAGGCGTCAGGCTACGGTAACCATTTATCATCTTCAGATGGGCCGTATGCTTGTTAGCCACCTAAGTGGTATAAAAAAAAACAGATAATATAAAAAAAGTAATTAAATTGAGTTTCTTGCCAGTTCTTCTCAATTGTTTTTATATACGGAACTGGACGGTAGGGAAAAAAATATAATATTAAAATTTTGACTTTCATAAGCGGCTAAAATGATGAATCATTTTTCAATTTTAATTTTCATATAATTAATTGCAATGCAGATAATCTAGAAAATCTGATGTATGCAAAAAGTCAAGATCGCTTAAAGGCGATGGATGCGATGAAGCACAGGACCCATCGTACTGGAAATCTTTGGGTGAGGCCTATATCCAGTAGTGAACGTCTTCTGGGCTTATATTATGATGATGATGATGATGATGATATAAGTCGAATCAATCGAGATTCACTATTATAACTAGAATAAAATAAATAAGATAATTGAACTTTCTTTGTCTTTTAAAAACCTCGTCACCCGAACGTAATTTACTCTTCAATTTCATAAGCATGGTAACAAATAATGTTCTTGAATACAAAGTGAACTTAGATAATCGTATAACAACTTACCATAGATTAAACAGACATTTCGTTCTGATTACTTTGACTTTTGAATAAAAACTTGGTAATATATCACATATTCCACTCATTTCTAGATACGATTGACACAACCTAATAAATACAAGTAAAGTATTTATATACTGATAATGGAATACATCTGTTACGGAAATAAATGTCCAAATATCATCCATTTCAACTGTTCAAACACTATTTCATTATTGTATTCATATTTTATAATATACATGTTTAATATTTTCATTTATTTATTAACTAACCACATATAATAATATAATAATAATCTCAGGACAATGCACACAGCGCCATCTAGACCCACGTTAAGCTAGCTAAACCTTGTGTTATAAGTACTAGATAACTGATACAAATACATAGATTTTTTTATTCGTAAATACATAAATATTATACATAGAAAACACCCAGATACAAACAATCATACTAATAAATACAAATGTTTCTGCCGCTGCGAGGAACCGAACCCGCGACCATCGGAAGTAAGGCAGTATATTAAACTACTAGACCATCGAGGCCGTACTAATATTATAAATGCGAAAGTAACTCTGTCTGTCTGACTCGCTTTCACGCCAAAACTGCTGAATGTTTGGTACATAGATAGTCTAGATCCTAAGAAAAGACAGTTCATTGTTTTTAACATTATACTTTCTTATTTCTGTTTTAAATAAGAAATTATAAGGAAAATATTGTGTTAACCTTTTTTTATGATTAGACTGAGTAATACTGGATGAGTCAATGAAGAACTTATAGAAAATATGAATCTAAGAAATGTAGAAATGTATTTATAATAATTAAATGTAATTATAAACGTAGGTAAGTGTTGTCTATTCAATACTTGATATAAAATATATAAGACAGTGATATTAAAGATTTATCTGCATTTATAATAATGTGCTATATTGAATTCATTGTGTTAAGGTAAGTAAATGATTGTATAATAATTATAAAAATAATAAATAAATGTATAATGTTAATTTCAAAATAAAATACTGTAAAGTTTCATCAAAATGCGTTTAGTAGTATTTACGTGAAAGAGTAATAAACACGAAAGTTTGTGAGTATGGACACAGATAACATAATATCTAGACACGCGGTAGCCTGTCAAGCCGAGTTTCAAGTAAGAGAACTGGCGAGAAGCACCGTGTGTATATTTACATGAACCATTTGGAGCCACTTTTGGCCCCCTCATAACTCAAAAACTCTTTCACATAAACCTGTCAAATTTGACAAAACATATCTCAAACGGTTATTTAGATATTAACGTCCAAATATCGTTATTTTTATCACTGATCAACTGTAGATCAAAATTGGCTACTTGGTTAGTTTTCATATAATTGGTATATGAGAATTGGCCAAGTCAGACCTTAGGTTACAGTATATTATCCTAAGTTTTAAGAAGAAATGATATTTTATATTGTTATAAATACATTTCAGTACAGACCATTGAATTTTGCATCCATTTAGATCTCACCTCTTTTGTCGTAGAAGTCAACAATCAAGGCATATATCATAATATAAAACTCGGCTAAAAAGGCGGAAGGGGGGGGGGGGGGGGGGGGGGGTTAAAAGATACTAAAAAAGATCACGTGATAAATGGACGGACCCAAAGATTAACAAATTTATAATAACCCAGATCTGTCCTATAATCCTCTCCTAGTATATAAGATTTTTTTATGATTGTTAGAATAAAAAATGTAACTATTCAAAAGGGCTTATATTAAGTTTATTTGAATAAAGATTTGAAATCAATTCTATTCTATTCAAATCCGCCTAATCATTATAGAGTTTGAATCATTGCACCGTGCGAGAAATCGAACCCGCGACCATTAGAAATAAAGCGGTTAGGTTAACGGCTAGACCACCGAGGTCGTATAACCTACAGATGTTTTTCATCGGTTACAGTGCGTTGATTACATTGAGTCTGTGCTCCAGTTACCCAACTTTCCCTCCGGACTTTAAGTTTGGAGCAGCCACGGCAGCTTACCAAGTGGAAGGTGCTTGGAATATTAGCGGTAAGTCAGTAAGTTAAGTTAAACACAGTAAGTTAAGGGGTATTTTATTGAGGTTACTATCTGACCCGTGTCTGCGTTTCATTTAATATTTTTCAATGCAGCTCCAATGAATAAAAAAAAATATAATAAATTCTTTTAACGTCAAGTCGCGTGATTCTCTGATTGTATCAGAGAAAGTCTAGTCTAGTCTAGTCTATCTATACACGACACCAGAATTTTATATATATAAAGAGAATTTTTTATATATAGCAAGTGATAATTTTATATATATAAAATTCTCATGTAACAATATTACTTTACTATAATTCTCTGTAAGGGCTTGGCCAATTCTTATGATATTTTGTGTATATAGGCACAATAGGTTCTTTCATTTCTTGTTCCTTCGCCATTCAGGCAATTAAACACTGGAATGCGCTGCCTCTTGACATTGAATCTATTAAAAATAAATCTCATTTCAAAGCTAAATCACAGGTTAATTTTCTACGCAATGATAAAAAAAAAATCATAATAAAATTTCTGATTCTCCTTGTTTATCTCTTTCTTTTGCGCTCTATTTAACTTATTTTCTACCTCTTACATGGATAATTTTCCTATGTCTAAATATGTAAACCAAGTAATACATACTTAGATTACATATTTATGTTATATTTATGATGTAAATATATATATATATATATATATTATATTTATTTAAGTGTCGTATGTAAATATGTATGTCTAATAATATGTATTATTCTAAAGTTACTACGTAAATGTTTGTAAACTATAATGAGCCGCTTATTAACTTCTCAGTTTGCCTCTCCTTAGAAATAGAAATAATCTTTATTCAAATAAACTCATTACAAGCACTTTTGAATAGTCATATTTTGATTCTACCACTCATTCGGAATGCAGATTCATCACAAGAAGAATGAGCAAGAAACTTGTGTGTTGCTCTTTTTATAGCTCTTTTAATAGATGTTTTTTTATATAAATAATTACAGTATAACAAGTAAGAGGCATGCGATAATCAACATAGAAATCACTACGCACTCATTATTAGTGTAATCAGATAATATTGTCAGTGCTATGGATTTAAAGTTTTTCTATAAAAACATTATAATGATAGATTCGATGATCGTTAACGAATTCTTCAATTTTATAGTAAGCTTTTTTGCAAAGGAACTGTTTTATTTGACATTTAAATCTTTCTTCTGGCAGATTTATAACAGACGACTAATTACTAATTTTAGCCAAATGATATTTAGGTGTTAAGTTCGCCATATGTACATTTATATACTGTATTTGTGCATTAAAGTTTAAATAAATAAATATATCTGATAATAGAACACCTATACCTACTATTTTTCATACCAAAATCTCCATAGTCCTTCCGTTCGTTTCATCTCAGTCCTTTCCTATTGCAGATGCAAAGCAGCTTGTTTTATAAGCTATGTTTCGATTATAGCGTCAGATTAGTCAGTGATTCTTATTTCTATGTGTGTGTGTACGAGACTATGTGTTTTATGATTCATAACTCTGCTTTGGTTAATAAAACTGATTGCCTTCCAGATAAGGAGTCAGCATATGGGACAAGATAACACATGAGAAAAGCTACCTTATATCAGATGGTAGTTCTGGAGACATCGCTTGCGACTCGTACCACCAGTGGAGGCGAGACCTCGAAATGCTTACAGAACTTGGTGTACATTTTTATAGGTTAAGTATCTTAAATTCTTAATACTAATCTAAATATATATAAAAGGTGACTGACATAGTGATCTATCAATGCACAGCCCAAACCACTGGACGGTTTGGGCTGAAATTTGGCATGCAGGTAGATGTTATGACGTAAGCATCCGCTAAGAAAGGATTTTGATTAATTCTACCCCTAAGGGGATAAATTAACGCGAGCAAAGCTGCAGGCAAAAGCTAGTTTAAAATATAATTATCAAGGGAAGATAAATATCTCACTTATTCATTGTATGAGCTTGTTTTATTTACATATTTAGTTGATTTGCTTGATTTATTTAATTCAAGTTACTAATGACCATATTATAAATACCTTATAGAATAACATACATATGTAATAACTAGCGGTGCCCGCCACTTCGTCCGCGTGTATAGTGACCTTGACCACAGAAAATATGTTCAATAATATAACTCAAAAAAGGCAAATAAAATTAACGACTTTCCATACAAACATAAGAGTAACATTTTTACAAACTTTCAGTCTTATTTATTTATATTTAATCAATAGCCTCAAAAATAAGTTTCAAGCTTCTAGCTTCAAAATGACGATCTTCCATACAACGTTTCATCCCCCCTTTTAAGCTCTTACAACCCTTTTTTGGCATTAAAAAGTAGCAGTATCCTTTCTCAGGGTCTAGACTATCTGTGTACCAAATTTTTTTTAAATCGGTTCAGTAGTTTTGACGTGAAAACGAGACAGACAGACAGACAGAGTTACTTTCGGATTTATAATGTTAGTAGGGATAATATAATAAAATATAAATCGTGGTCACGGAATTGGTGATGACTGTCTGCCACGTGTAGCGCCGGTACACTGCTTTCGGCCTATAGTCTTTCTTCTAAAAGGTGGGCAGCATATTGGTGGGGACCCCCGGGCAACGCCTTGAAGCTCGCGTTGTGACTCGATACCAGCTGTGTTACATTTTTATACACTTTACATTTAAAGATACAGATATAACATAAAACAATTTTCAGAAAAGTGATCAATAGTAGAAAAATACAGTTAAAAATTAAATTCCGGTAGAATCTATACATATAAATAAAATTGGAGTGTCTGTTTGTAATATTGAAACAACCATTTTTACTACACTCATATTAATATAAATACAGTACATACACCAAAATAACATTTTTTACGATTTTTCTCTGTCTGTCTATCTGTTTATTCTTACTAATATCTGAAACGGCTGGACCGATTTTAACGGGACTTTTATTGGCTGGTTGCTGATGTAATAAGGAGTAACTTAGGCTACTTTTATTTTAGAAAAATAAAGTTGAATTTCACGCGGACGAAGACGCGGATAAAGCTAGTATTAACTATAAATAGACCTATGCCACCTAAAATTTTAAACTTTTGGGATTCTATTAGATCTAAAGTCATTTTCTTTTTGCTCCCACTGCCGCCTGGTTAAGTTTAGAATCCCGAAACAGAATAAGGATTCTGAAATGAACTATTATTTTTCATTCCAGATTTTCAATATCATGGCCTCGTCTACTACCGACTGGTTTCCCTAACCACATTAGTGAAGACGGCAAGCGATACTACAATGAACTAATCGATTCCTTACTCGAGAAAGGTATAGAACCAGCTGTCACAATCTACCATTGGGATATGCCGCAAAATCTCCAAAATCTTGGTAACAACTTTTTAATAAAACTATTTGAAATTCCTGTATACACCTTTGTTTATGGTGAACAATCTTCGAAACTAAATCTAGATCTCAATCTAGCTAGTTCCACGTGGTAGAAGTGCGGATCTAGCCCCCTTCTAATTCAAACGAGAAACGAAATTACGACTGTATGAGATGATGTTCGAACTCCTAGCGGTGTTCTCAGACTAAAATCGTATCCGTCAGGCAGGAGTTGGCCTTCAGCTCCATAAGTCCTTCCGCGTGTTTGGAGAGCCATCTGCACTCGCCCCCTATCATTCTCTGAAGCTGAAAAGGCCAGCTACTTCCAACAGCGTTAGAATAGTTCGATAAAAAATAGATGTGAAGGCTCTTCGAATTCTAGGCGCTGTTTTAAGCGCTCACATTAATATTCTACCACGGTTGTGGTAGATTACCACCTCATAGCAAACATCTGCAGCTCTTGTCATAAGCCACAAGCATAGTTATCATAAACCTTTGTTATATCTCGTGCGTTGCTGGTTCTTCCAACGTTAAGACATATGTATATATAATTCCCCTCCTATCGATCCCCTGTCCAATTCAAACGGGGATCGAAATTACGACGGCTTGAGCCGAGGTTCGAACCCCTAGCGGTTTCCTCAGATTAATGTCGTATCCGTCAGGCGGGAGTTGGCCTTCAGCCGTTCAAAAAGTCCTTCCGCGTGGTTGGAGTGCCATCTGCACTCGCCCCCTATTGTCCTGAAGCTGTAAAGGCCAGCTGCGGCCAACAGCATTAGAGTAGTCCGAAAAAAACTGTATAAGTTTGAGAATGTATTTTTAAAATCAATTTAGTATAATTTAAGTTTATCGATGACGAATAAACAAATCTTTTATATTTATAGTATTCGTTTCTTTAAAGGTATAATCACTGCATTACGACAAAATGGTAACGACATTCTTCAGATGTTGTTTTAATACAATGTAATTATGTATAGCATATTAACATACTACATCCATGGAATGCAGGAAGGCAGTCTTAACACGAATAATCCATGGAATGCCGGATGTAGTATGTTAATATGCTATACATAATTGCATTGTATTAAAACAACATCTGAAGAATGTCATTGCCATTTTGTCGCAATAGTTGTTAATGTCAATATATGGATCATATCTATAGGCTACTGTTGCGGGTGAATAATAAGATGTTGCTGGTCGAGACGATGTATATTACAGATGATGATAAACTGACAATGTGTACATAGAAATAATGATCTTATATACTAAATAAAAGTAGGAAAATGTAAGGTTACACAGTTTAGATACAGCAGTCCTAGTAGACAATATTGAATTTGTCTTACTAGACATTATTAAATGCAATTATTATTTTATGTATCTAGGTGACTGTGTCCCATAGCTACCAATCAGGTATGCCAACGATTCGAGGAACGAATTACGGGTCCAAGATTCTAGATCTAAGTTTCCTGGAAGTCTTTCTACTTATACCGTTATATACTAGATTTTGACTGGTTTTTTATCCGGTGTGCCTACAGCTTGTTTACTATTCCTGTATTCCAAAAAGATAAATTATAACACAATACAAACATATGTATTGCAGATATCTTTTTGAATTGCTCTGGGTGAATTCCTATATAAGAAAAATTATTTATATCTAGTACCTATAGTCAAAACTCCACTTAGTTTTGGACTAAACGGCTCGCTGTGAGTTCTCAATGTTAACTTTTATCATAATTGTTTAAGGCATTATTTGACATTAAAATTTTACTTTTAGACTAAATAGGGCTGTCTGAGTTCTCCAATGATATTTGTTTACTATTATAATAATGGGTAAGGTAACGCCTTACCCACTGGACGTACTGTGACAACCCTAAGACTACTTATAGTTATTTTTCTACTTTCATGTTTAATATACATTATTTATATTATTAGCAGAGTCTTAACACGAATAATTTATTGGCAAATAAAGGTATTTAAACGGCGAGAGAGGTAAATATCTTTATTTGTCTTAACCCGGTTAATCTTATATATAAAATTCTCGTGTCACAGTTTTCGTTCCCATACTCCTCCGAAACGGCTTGACCGATTCTCATGAAATTTTATGAGCGTATTGAGTAGGTCTGAGAATCGGCCAACATCTATTTTTCATCCCCCTAAATGTTAGAGGTAGTCCACCCCTAAATTTTTTTTTATTTTAAGGCAAAACAACTTTTGCCGTGACAGCTAGTCTTATATATAAGATATATTAAACATGAAAGTATAAAAATAACTAACTAACTTATAAATAACTACATTCTTTTTGCATCCTCTGGCTGTGTGTGATATGGTTGTAATTAGAGCATAAACACACAACCGTATTTAGAAAGGTAATTAAAATCTTGATTATATTCCAGGAGGTTGGGCCAGTCCCCACGTAGCTGACTGGCTAACCGAATACGCAAGAGTGGTGTTTACCTTATTTGCTGACAGAGTAAAAATATGGATTACAATCAACGAGCCTATTATGATCTGTGACCTCGGGTATGGTAGTGGTCGACACGCGCCTATGCTGAAGACCCTCCATGATATAGGAAGTTATATGTGCAATAAGAATCTGCTAATTGCTCACGCTAAGGTCTATAGACTGTATGATGAGGTATTCCGTCCAAAGTACCATGGTCAGTATTCTTATAACTGTCTTTTAATTAATTTATTTATTTAAACTTTATTGAAATTTTTATACAATAGCCGGGCTTAATGCTAATAGCATTCTCTACCAGCCAACCTTAGAGAGTGCAACTCTAAGGCGATTAGTTTACTAAAGAAAATCCTTCCTTACTAATATTATAATTGCGAAAGTAACTCTGTCTGTCTGTCTCGCATTAATGTAAAAACTACTGAACCGATTTAAATGAAATTTGGTACAGTGTTAGTCTAGACCCTAAGAAAGGACATAGGCTACTTTTGAATGCGAAAACAGGGTTGTAAGGGGTTGAAAGAGTGGGTGAAAGTATCGTCATTTTTTAAGTAGATTGTTGATACTTTTTTGCAAGAGAGTCGTGAATTTGTGGGAGCCTGGGCTAAATCTATGTACTTAGGGGCCTACCTAATTATTTAACTCAACTAAAATACAGTGATTAAAAACAAGCGACTAGAAATTCCCCGTTCCTTTCGATAGACGCGCACTTGCATGAGTTGATTGATTTCAGGGTTGCCAACCTTATGGTAGGTTTTTTAACATTCTAGATATTTTTTTAGAAGCTAGCGTGTACTGTGTGACTCCTACTCACTAAAAACTCCAAGATATCCCGACGAAGCGCCTATAGCCGGAGTCGCGGAATCGAATGTCGGTTCACCGCAACTCCGGCGGCGTCGGCTCGCTTTAGTTTGCGAGCCCCGTCGCTTTTATTTTGGGAGTCCGCCCCACCACTCTTGAGAAGGAGCTTCCGCACCATCTCGGGCTTTTATTGAAGATGCGACCGCCCCCGCGGTCACATCTCAGGCCCTTGCGGCAATCTGAGGCGCCCATGCTACCATCCACCTCGGACGGCTTTTGATGGAGCCACCCTTATTGGACGGTATCCAACCTGCTCGGCCCGCTCTCTCGACTGGAGGCTTTGGAGCCCGGCCGTTTACCCTTGGGCGGGGTAAGCGTCTTTAGGCTACGGTAACCATTTACCATCAGATGGGTCATATACTTGTCACTGTAGTAGTATAAAAAAAGACTTTAAAATACATATATTTTATTTATAAAGTTGTAGAATGTTTAATTCAGTTTGTCATTTTTATAAAGTGTATAAGTTATTTATCTATTCAACAGGAATGATATCAATTGTAAATCACTTGGCATGGCTGGAAGCTTTCAGTGACGGTGATTTGTACGCGACATATGTAGCAATGCAGAACACGGTAAGTACAATTATATGTACCTATATATATATATATATATATATATAGTATAGTAGTATATATGTATATATAGTACCTACGTATGAATGGGATAATAAATATCTTAATATTCTTAGCACTAAATCTTCAATTTAACCGAGAGAATTTCTTTGTATCATATGTTTCTACCGATTATACCATACTACGAGTACGTAAGCTATGTTAGCAGTTAGTAGCTCGGTTAGCAGTTTATAACACGCATCGCTTTGCTAAAATAAAAAATATATATTTAGGCATATCTCTTATCACTTAGGGGTATGAAAAATAGATAGTAGCCGATTCTCAGACCTACTGAATATGCATATAAAATTTCATAAAAATCGATCAAGCCGTTTCGGAGGAGTATGGTAACTAACATTGTGACACGAAAATTTTATATATAAGATAGACTCTTAGTTGAATCTTTCCAGGTGGGAAGGTACAGTCACCCGATATTCTCCAAAGAAGGAGGCTGGCCGCCAGAAGTGGAGAGGATTGTAGCAATAAACAGCGAGAAACAAGGGTATCCCAGGTCAAGATTGCCTCCATTCACTAAACATGAGATTGACCTAGTGAGAGGTCAGTAATATAAAGTTGTATGTATAACAGCTGCCGGTCCACCTTTCAAACTAACACTACGCAATACAGCGGAAACCAATATCATTGGAACGGTTAATTAACAAAGCTTCTAATTTATATTTGAACTCCATTCAATGCCAACGATACTTTCTTCAAATGCGAAACACGTGTAGCAATATGAGTATAGACTCCATAACGGTCGAATTTTTTACAGCCTTCCTATAATATTTATATACATATATACTAGTTCCCGCGATTTCGTCCACGTAGAATTTAACTTTATTTTTCTAAAATAAACGTAGCCTAAAGAACTAAAAATTATTTCGTTCGTCTAAAGTTATTCGTTCCATTGAGTATCAGTTCCCAATGGTTCAAACTAATACATTTACATCCTGCATCATCCCTTATTTTATCCCCATGGGGTTCAATTTATCAAAATCCTTTTTTAAAAAATTATCTCATTCTTATCCAGGAACCTTCGATTTCTTCGGTTTAAATCATTATACTAGCAGATTGATCCGCTCAATCGACGGCAGCGAGAAGCCTTCCTTCTCCAAGGAAGAGGGTTCTTCTTTGTTCGGCGATGGAGAATATAACTACACTTTGGTGACAGGTCACGATTGGACCATGGCTGGTAACGGATGGCTTGCGGTTAGTACCTACTAGAAATGAATTATTATGTTACATACACAACTTAAATGTGCATATAGTATCTACAAAATATATTTGAGTATTTATATCAGTTGTCTAGTACCCATGGCGATAAAGGTATTTCAAGTCAAACTACAATATACAGTAGAATTACTTGCTATGATTATTAAAAATTGACGTGCAAACTTTTAATTAATAAAATTTAAAAATATAATATTATATTTCTTTATTATTCTGTATTTAAAAAAATATATTTTCTTTCTTTCATCATATATATTAAAACGTCAAGCAAAAACATTGTACCCCTTTTTAAGAAAATTACGCGGGCTGAAATTTAGCGTACTCATTCTTACTAACATTATAAATACAAAAGTAACTCTGTCTGTCTGGCACGCTTTCACACCAAAACTACTCAACCGATTTAAATGAAATTTGATACACAGATCATCTAGACACTTAGAAAGGACATAGGCTACTTTTTAATGTGAAAAAAATATTGTAATATAAGGGGTTGAAAGGAGAGATGTAAGGTTGTATGGAAGAATCGTAATTTTTAAAGCTAACACGATGAAACTTTTTTATTTGGCTTTTATGAGATTATTAAAATTTTTTTTTCATTATTTGGTCAAGGTCACTAATTTACGAGGACGAAGTCGCGGGTACAGCTAGTAGTTTATATAGAGGAGTGCAGAATACAATTTTTTTTTAAATTATGCATGAAAAATCCATCTAATCAAAGAAAGAACACACATGCATCTATACTATTTTGTTTATTGTTAGTCTGTGGTCAAATTGAGAATAGATTAATGTTTGTCTTTAATATTATTTGTCTATCGTCTTACTGAATGTTGTAGTATGATTAATATCTTCAGGTATACCCAGTAGGGTTTCGTTATCTGCTACAATGGATCAAGAAGGAGTATGGAGATATAAAAATACTGGTGACTGAAAACGGTTACAGCACAGAAGGTGTAAACTACACACATGATGACGATAGACTGAAATATCATGAGGATTATATTAACCAGGTATGTATGACGGTCTTGTTGGTTTAGTGGTTAAGCGCACGGCCTTTTTTCCGGTGGTTGCGGGTTCTATTCCTCAGATGATACATTTGTATTCATGAGTATGTTTTTTTGTATATGATAATGAAATGGTGCACTCGCCTGCGCTAACGGATTACGCTGGCACCAGTGGAGGATGATAAGATGAACATGAGGTCAGGTTAGTTAGCCCATTGTAACAAATTCACTAAGAATTTATCACGATGGTTTCAAGGGGGAACCGCGTGGAGGTCAACCTAACATGGTACATTGCTAGCAATGGCGTAATTACTCCACATTACTAACAATCCTCTTTCCCCCCTCATGAGTATGTTGCCTGGGTGTTTTCTATGTGTATTATGTATATACATTTAAAAAATGTATTTAAGTATTATTTAGTACACATAACACAGGTAAGTATTATTTAGTATACATAACACTTGGCACTAGATGGCGCAGCGTAAATTGTTCTGAGAGTTGATATTATTATTATATGGCACGGTATGCTGAAGTCAAGTCAGTTAGGATAATATTAATAAGAACGAAAGACAATTCACAGCGCCATCTAGTCCCAAGCTAAGCGGAGCTTCTGTTATGGTTAATAGACAACTGATATAAATACTTAGATACTTAGAAAACACCCAGACTGATACAAAAATTATAGATAAATACAAAGTTTTGTATCGTGCAAGTATCGAACTCGAGACTGTCGAAAGCGATATACTAAACCGCTAGACCATAAAGGGATTCTCAAATAAAACTTACATTTTTTTTTACGTTTCCTCATGTACAGATGCTATTGGCTTTTAAGGAGGACGGTGTTAATGTCATAGGTTACACAGCCTGGAGCCTTATGGATAACTACGAGTGGACCGACGGCTACAAGTGAGTAGATATTTTTGTTCTTTTTATATAGATGACTAGCTATGCCCGCGACTTCGTCCGCGTGGTATAGGGACCTTGGATAGCAAAAAATATATATAAAATATCCAACCCAAAAAAATAATTACCCAAAATAACCATAATATCTAACCCAAAAAAGCCAAAGAAAAGAATGTTCATCGTTCTGGCTTCAAAAATGACGAATTTTCATACAAACTTTCATCCCCTATTTTATTTTACCCCCTTAAGGGATTTTTTTACATACTTTGAATGTCATATTTATTTATATTTAATATACATAAGCTTAAAAAATAAGTTTCATGGTTCTCTTAAATTGACAATACTTAAAAAAATGTAGCTGAAAATTACAATATTTCCATACAATCAATCACCTGCCTTTACAACCAATTTTTCGCATTAAAAAGTAGCCTATATTCTTTCTGACTATGTGTGTACCAAATTTTATTTTAATTGGTAAATTCACCGTGAATTTATCACGATATTTTCCAGGGGCAACCGCATGGAGATCAACCTGACATGGTACAGTGCTAACAATCGAGTTATTAGTCCACATTACTAACAATTACCTTCTCTTCCCCAAAGAACTAGTCACACTTACTAACAACCCCCTTTCACCCCATGGCACACTGTTTCTTTTTATTAATTGATAATAATGGAATGATACCCCGCCTGTGCTAACGGTATACTCTGGCGGGGCACCAGTGGAAGGTAAGGCGAACATAAGGTCAGGTCAGATAGCCCATGATGACAAACTCACCAAGTATTTATCACGATGTTTTCCAGGGGGAATCGCGTGGAGGTCAACCTGACATGGTACATTCCTAGCATAAAGATCAATGCACATTACTAACCTACTAACCCCCTTTCACCCCACAGCACAGTTTTAGTTTCTAACATCAATAAACATTTTAATTTCAGAGCTAAATTCGGCCTATACGAAGTCAATTTCACGGATCCTCGTCGTACTAGAACGCCTAGGAAATCAGCGAAATTCTACGCAGAACTGATTAAGCACCAAAGAGTAATTGCAGCTGTTAACGGAACCAGTAGTTCCACTTACATACTGTCAATATTATTAGTGGTTGTGATTATACTGGCACTGATTGCTGGCTTCTATATGTACAATAGATCTAAAGCAAGGAAGAGAGCGCTTGTAAAGAAGGAATTCGAAGCGGATTACGAGCTTCTTATGGCGGAAAAACAAAATGAGTGAAAAACAATTTTAATTGTAAGTTAATAAAGTATGTAATTGCATGACCTGTATTTTTCTCTTAATCTTTAGTTGGACAAACGATGTCAGTCAAATAAAAGATATAAATATATAACTCAAAGGTGACTGACATAGTGATCTATCAACGCACAGCCCAAACCACTGGACGGATCGGACTGAAATTTGGCATGCAGGTAGATGTTATGACGTAGGCATCCGCTAAGAAAGGATTTTGATAAATTCCATCCCTAAGGGGATAAATTAACGCGAGCGAAGCCGCGGGCAAAAGCTAGTAAAAGATATAAATAACCCTGGAGAACTAACACAGCGCCACGGTAAGCAGAGCTTGTGTTATAGGTGCTACACAACTGATATAAATATTACGATTTTTTTTGTAAATATATATATACATAGAAAACAGCCAGACTGATACAATCATAATCATGAACACGGTACAAACTTTTGTATTCGTGAGTATGATTGTATCGATCTGGGTGTTTTCTATCTATAAAAAAAAAACTATATATTTTTAGATCAGTTGTCTAGTACCCATAACACAAGCTCTGCCTAGCTTGAATCTAGATGGCGTTGTGTGAATTGTCATACCTAAATTTAACGGTACCAAAAACAACGCAGTATTTTCAAAAATAACATTTATTTCCTTAAAGTTTTCTGAAGTTTCAGTAGCGGAGCGTTTTTGCTTTTTCTTTTCTCTTTTTTCAGTTCTCCCGATTGAATGGCTTTCTTCATTACCTGAAATAATATTAACATTAAGTTCTTCCTTCCTGAAATCTGCACATTTCGACTATAGGTCTATTGACCATCGCCTTACTTCCGACATTCGTGGGTTCGATTCCTCGCACGACACAAACATTTACATAAAACAAATAACATTGAAATGTCTGTTTGTAATTTCATATTAAGAGCTTTTCACTAAAATGTATTTAGTATATGAAAAAAAAATTATATGCAAATAAATTTATGTGTGTCTGTCAGGGCTAAACCCTGTCAAAGTTAAAAGTAAAACAAAACTCGCCAAAATTATTGCTTATAACATTAGCTATCTGCGAGTAAAAGTCCCGTCAAAATCGGACCAGGTTTTCATAAAATGTTATAAGGAGTAATTTAGGTTACTTTTATTTTAGAATCTTTATTTCTTTTAATTCCTCGACGATTAGCCGAAGTTACGGGTAATAGCTAGTTTAAGAATAACAGAATATTCTCACCTGCAACGCGTTATCATCACTTTTGGCAAACATTGCTGGGTCGTTCAATGTTGGGTACTTGAATGAGAAACCTCGAGGAAACATGGGCCTTGAGAGAAGCGACGCCAGCTGCCTCTTCTTGGATTTCAAGGCTTTATCTATTGAAGGGTCCACGTTTTGAACGGGACTGGGTACGAGTTAAGGTTGACTTAAAAAATAGAAATAGTAATAAACTTTATTCAAATAAACTTAATATAAGCACTTCTGAATGACGAGCATGCATGGCAATTGTTGTTTATGCACGGGATTTTCACTTAATGTTAGACATAGACACCTATATAAATACCTATACATTGTAAATAAAGTGGCTTTTAAAAAAAAGTAATTCAATTGAGTTTCTTGCCAGTTCTTCTCAATTGGATCTATATACCGAACTGGACGGTAGAGAAAAAAATAAAAGTATACTGTAAAATATTTGACGTTCATAAGCGGCTAAAATGTCCTACATGAATAAATGATTTTTTATTTGATTAATCACATTTTTTTATTCTACCACTCATTAGGAACGCGGCCTCATCACAAGAAAATTGAGCTAGAAACTTGTTTCGCTCTTTTAAATAAATGTTATTCTAAGAAAATACATATTAACAAGGATTAGGCATGCGATAATCAACATAGAAGCACTCAATCTTTGTTCAGTCAACATTAATTAATAAACACATACCGTCACTCTAATAAATAAAATATCGAGCTTCTTTGCCATTCAAATTACCTATATTTTACCCCCTTTTTTAATGTAGTCTATTGTTGTTGGCCGCAGCAGGTCCTTACAGCTTCACCGGACGATAGGGGGCGAGTTCAGATGGCACTCCAAACCCGCGGAAGGACTTATGGAGCGGCTGAAGGCCAACTTCCGCTTAACAGATACGACTTTAATCTGAGGACACCGCTAAGGGTTCGAACCTCGGCTCAGGCTGTAGTCTCGATTCCCGTGTAAATTTGATATGACAATATCTATGTATTTTTCAGTTATCTAGTACCCGTACCACAAGCTTTAACTAGCTTAACTTGGGACTAGATGGCGCTGTGTTAACTGTCCTGAGATTATTACTATTATTAATTTTAAACACGCTTTTCGGCAATTGTATAAAAAGGATACAGGTCATCGTCGTCGATGATCATGTCCATCTCCTTGGCCAGCTTGTCTCGCCAGCCCTGCGCTTGTGCAGTTCTTCGTCTCCTCAGCAGAAGAGCATCCACCTCTCGCGCTGTCGTCATCAGCTCTTTGAGGGGTGGTAGAGCGTGCGCGGGCACCGGGAACGTTGGCAGTTCGGATGCTGGATAATTATAATACGAATGTATAACATCACGACCATTACTCTGAATATGGTAGACGGAGACGTTTAGTTATATTCACAATTATGGGATGTAGTATGAGCTTGTACTGTTGGCTGCTAGGGGCGAGTGCATATGGCACTCCAAACCTGCGGAAGGACTTATGGAGCGGTTGAATACCAACTCCCGCCTGACGGATACCGCTAGGGTTCAGGTTCAGGGCGTCTTAATCACGATCAACGTTTAGAGTTGGACTGAGGATCGATATGATATAATAAAAAAATCTTGCCACCGAGTTTTAGAACTTACGACATAAATGAGGTAGCGACATCTAGTTTACTTTACGGAACTATTGTAAGCGAATTCAATATTAAATTTCGGCCGCTCAGAGTTTGCGTTTCTGACAGGTCAGGATCGAATGGGCGATGTAACTTAGAACTGACGTACAATTTACGCAAAAAAATTAAATATATTTTATCTGCCTTATTAACGAGTGAAAACATTAATGATTCCAACTTACAATGAACACATTAACTTTGGGTGAAAATGATTAACTTTTTAACAAATATAAAAACAATAGTTTTTAAAAGTGAAACCACATCTAACTGCGCTGTTTCAAGGTTATTTGGTCACATGTTGACTTAACTCTGAACGGCCGAACTGTAGCGTAAACAATGACTTACTTTTGTTGAGCGTTTTACACAACTTCGCATAAAGGTATGCCTCGGATGGCTCCATCATGAGTATGGTAAGACCCTCCTTGTTGGCACGAGCCGTCCGTCCGCTGCGATGTACGTAATTCTAAACAAACATTTGTAATATAAAAAATATATCCATACTAGCTGTCCCGGCAAACGTTGTTTTGCCATATAAATTAATAACGCTATAAAAAAATAGTGGTTGATGATAGAAGAGTGAAAATTTAGGATTGTATGTAGTATCAAAAAAAAATAGAAACAAAATTTTGTCTAAAAAATAAAAAAAAACTTTAGGTGTAGTCCACCCGTAAATTATATTTTTTATTTTTTAGACAAAATTTTGTTTCTATTTTTTTTTGATACTACATACAATCCTAAATTTTCACTCTTCTATCATCAACCACTAACATGTGGATGAAAAATAGATGTTGGCCGGTTCTCAGACCTACTCAATACGCTCATAAAATTTCATGAGAATCGGTCAAGCCGTTTCGGAGGAGTATGGGAACGAAAACTGTGACACGAGAATTTTATATATAAGAAGATATTGTGCCAAATACGTGGTAGAGTTTATATAGTTTTTTTTATTTATTAAATGTACTTTTTATGCAAATTTAAAAAGAAATACCATAGGGAAGGAGTGCTGTCACTCCTTCGTATAATAATAATAATTATCACTAATGTAAGTATGTATATTTAGTAGTATAGTAAATAGTGTCTTATGTGTGCCACCTACCCTATTCTATGTACATAAGTCCTCTCTTCTAGATTGTCGGTAAGAGATTGCTTTTAGCGAAGACTGCCTTTTGTAATTATTTTACTATTCACTATATTTTTTTATTATTTCATCTGTGTACATAATAAAGAGTTTTTTATTACTATTATTATGTCCCTGGACATTTAACACAACGCCATCTAGTCCCAAGCTAAGCAGAGCTTGTATTATGGGTACTAAACAATTGATACAAATACTTAGCGTACGAGGAATCAAACCTGTATCATCTAAAACAGGACGATGCACTAAACCGTTAGACTACGAAGGTCGTTAAATATTTGCTTACCTTTTATGTAAGTTCTATTAAATTGTGGATAGTTACCTCAGCAGTCTTTGGCACTTGGTAATGTATGACGTGATCCACATTGGGGATGTCCAACCCTCGAGCAGCCACATCCGTCGCCACCAGCACCCCGTGCGGATCATCCCTGAACCTGTTCACAGAAAATATCTAATATATAAAATTTTTATACAATTTTGTGTGCATATCAGGTAGGTTTAAAAATCGGCCATCATATTTTCATACCCCTCAATGATAAGGGTGAACCACCCCTAAATTTTATATGATTTTTTTAACATATTTTTTATTGTAATTTTATATGATTTGGCATTAAAAGTACATACAATCTTCAATTTCTATCCTACTTCTATTTTCAATAGCGATATTAGTACTTAAATTATGGCAAAACAACGTTATTATTGATGGTAACATAAAGGTTTCTACTTACCGTTCTAGATTCTTCAGGCGCTGTCTTTGCGGCATACTAGCATGGAGAGGCAGTAAAGGACAACTCAGCAAAGTGAACAATTGTGCCAACCTGCAAAAAAAGTTACAGAAATAAAGAAAGAAAGAAAATTGTTAATTCGGTACACTGAAAATAATTTTTAAAATTTAATTTACATTTTATATTAATAATTAGAGTAGTAATAATAAATTAAAGTAGAAATAATCTTCATTCAAATAAACTCAGTGCAAGCACTTTGAATAGTCATATTTTTGATTCTACCACTCATTCGGAACGGAGTCACAATACAATAGAATAGAATAGAAAATCATTTATTCAAATAAACTTAATTTAAGCACTTTTGAATAGTCATAACAATTTGTTTTTTATCTACCACTCGTTCGGAAAGCTGTCTCATTACAAGAAGAACGAGCAAGACACTTGTGTGTTGCTCTTTTGAATAGATGTTTTATTTTAATAATTTCACAATGACAAGTAATAAAATCAACATAGAAACCTTTATGCACTCATTCCTAGTGCAATCATTTAATATTGTCAGCGCTATTAATTTTAAGTTTTTCTACAAAAACATTATTATCATTAAGGAACTCTTCAATTTTATATGCTTTTGTAATATTAATTTAATAATACAATAATTGTTTTATATGATTTTGTAAAACAAATGTAAATGATAAAAATAATTACTACCCATTCATTACCAATCTCTGCCACTGTTTTTTTTGGGTCTTACAGTCAAGAGATCTCTTTCAGGCATTAATCTACTTACATTGTGTCTAAATTATTTTAGACGAGCTCGGTTGTCTAGTTTAGCACAGCGCTTTAGTTCCAATGATTGCGGGTTCTATTCCTCGCACGGTACAAACATTTGTATTCATGAGTATAATTGTTAACGGTCAGACTAATTTTCTATGTATAATATATAATTGTAAAAATGAATATCTAAGTACAGGTATCAGTTGTCTAGTACCCTTAACACAAGCTCGGCGTAGCTTAGGACTAGATGGCGCTGTATGAATTATTCAGAAAAATTATTAGTTTATTGCTGTATTTTCTGAGCGCAATAAAGAATATATAAAATTTCAATGCCAGGAAGAATATAGACAGTTTCAAAAGAGTTAGTGATTGCACTAATAAAAGCTTACGTAACAATAACAAACTGATTTTACCTAAATGTCGTTTGGCTAAAGTTAGTAATTCGTTTTATGGCAATTGCGTCAGGTTTTACAATAAAATACCAGAGTCTGTTATAAATCTGCCAGAAAAAAGATTTAAATGTCAAATAAAACACTTCCTTTGCAAAAAAGCTTACTATAAAATTGAAGAATTCGTTACCGATAATAATGTTTTTGTAGAAAAATTTTAAATACATAGCACTGTCAATATTATCTGATTACACTAATAATGAGTGCGTAGCGATTTCTATGTTGATTATCGCATGCCTCTTACTTGTTATACTGTAATTATTTATATAAAAAAACATCTATTAAAAAGAGCAACAAACAAGTTTCTTGCTCATTCTACTTGTGATGAATCTGCATTCCGAATGAGTGGTAGAATCGAAATATGACTATTCAAAAGTGCTTGTAATGAGTTTATTTGAATAAAGATTATTTCTATTTCTACTTCTATTACAATTCGTACCTTCTTACACAGCCTATAGAATTGCAAAACACTATAGTCCTTCCGGGGTGGTTTTTTGCTATGTAGTATAAATAGGCGTCTTTCTGTTCCAATGAGCACGCTATTCGACTCTCTGTTAAAGTTTCCGATGTACCTGTAACATATATTTACATATAATATCTTTAACACGTTTAAGAACGCATGCCCACCGGTGGGTCCCTCAACAAAAGTAAATTTACACGTTGGGACCTGGTGATCACTCGTGGGCACTTTAATTGAAATAAATCTAGGGGTTATATAATGTCTACCTCGAATTATTGTACACTAAAACATATTTAAAAAATAATATACGTAATTAACAAAGTGAGAAGTAAGATTTTTCAATGCGGTCATCAACTATACTTAATATAGTAAAATCAAGACGAGACATAAATTGTCAGTTTGTTTGTTTATAGATGCGTTTACACGATCTAGACACGCGGTAGCATGTCAAGCCGAGTTTCAAGTAACTGGTGAGCAGCACCGTGTGTATATTTACACGAACCATTTGGAGCCACTTTTGACTTGTCAAATTTGGTTCATATATTGAGACTTGCGAGATAAATATGTGTTCCAAATTTCATAAACATATCTCAAACGGTTATTTAGATATTAACGTCCAAATATCGTCATTTTTATCACTGATCAACTATAGTTCAAAATTATAACCCACTTCCAGATGACCTAGGAAGTTCAGATTTGGCATGCAGATAGGTAATTAGGTGAATATAAAGGAAAAAATGAAATCAGTATATTTCGTATATGAGAACTGGCCAAGTCAGACCTTAGGCTACAGTATATTATCCTAAGTTATAAGAAGAAATAATAATTTATATTGTTATAAATACATTTCAGGACATACCATTGAACTTGGCACCCATTTAGATCACACCTCTTTTGTCGTAGAAGTCAACAATCAAGGCATATATCATAATATTAAACTCGGCTATCATTTCACATTTATGTTTTTGATGGGATACGTTCTTTCACGGGCGATCAGAAGGGCGTGCGATTTAGTGCGGGAAAGCCAGTGCAAGCATCGTGAGGGATTGTTTTTATCTATTTTTGTGTTTACGCTTTCGCACGTGATTAGGCGTATGTCATTAGCTGCCTTTACACATGTTCTTTCACACGCGATCAGAATCGCGGGAAAGCCAATGTAATCGTTAGAGATTGTTACCATCGTTAGGGACTGTTTTTATCTATTTTTTGTTTTCACGCTTTCGCACGTGATTAGGTTTTTATCTTTAGCTGTCTTTACACGACAAGTTTTTTCACGCGATTTGGAATATGCGCGATTTAGCGCAATAAAACCAGCGAGCGCAATCGTTATGGATTGTTTTTTATATATTTTTTTGTGTTCACACTTTCGCACGAGATTAGGCGTATGTTATTAGCTGTCCTTACACAACATGTTGTTTGACGCTCAATCAATAAACTAAATAGGGGTTGATGCTCGAAGAGTGAAAATTTTGGGTTTTATGTATTATTTAATGCAACATACATTTTTTTTTCATTTTTTGTATTTTTTGTATTTTTTTTTATTTATAAAAAAAAATACAAAAAATGAAAACAAAAAGTAAGAGATTATCCACCTCTTACTTTTTACCCTTATCACTTAGGAGTATGAAAAATAGTTAATAGCCGATTCTCAGACCTGAATATGAATATAAAATTTCATAAAAATCGGTCAAGCCGTTTCGAAGGAGTATGGTAACTAACATTGCGACATGAGAATTTTATATACGTATAAGATATATACTATACAAGATGTGGCCGCGGTTTCCCCCGCGCTAAATTGTAATATTTAAATTTCAATAAAAAATATAGCATATATTTTATTCTGATGCATAAGCTATATTACTGTAAAGTTTCATCAAAATCCGTTCAGTAGTTTTTGCGTGAAAGAATAACAAACATCCATACTTACAAACTTTCGCGTTTATAATATTACTAGCTACTCACCCCGGCTTGGCATGGGTGTACATGTATTATATATATAAACCTTCCTCTTAAAACACTATCTATTTAAAAAAACCATCATCAATCATCAAAATCCGTTGCATAGTTTTAAAGATTTAAGCATACATAGGGACGGACGGACAAACAGCGACATCGACAGCGACTTTGTTTTATACTATGTAATGATTAAGATATATAATATATACATTACTATATTACGTAAATGACCTTTTCTTAAATAAAATGTAAAGACTTACCTAGATTTTGTGCCGTTATATCCACGACTTTGGGGTCTGTCATACCCAACATGTCGACTAGTCTCTTGATCTTCTGCTGAGGCGTCATCTTCTCTATCTTTCTATTTATAATTTTTCCTCTCTTTGTTACCTGGTAATAAAAAAAAATGTAATTTCACTTTATGGGTACTAGACAACTGATATAAATACTTAAAACAACACACAACTATTGCCGTGCGAGCGTTCATGGCAATAGTTGTTCATTCACGGGATTTTCATTTAATGTTAGACATAGACACCTATATAAGTAAATAATCTGGATTTTTAAAAAAGAAATTCTGTTGTATTTCTTACCAGTTCTTCTCAATTGGATCTATACCTATATAGAATTTCTCCACCATCCAGCAGTAGGCAAAGAATAATATAATACAAAACAATTGACGTATCTAAACAGCTAAAATGTCCTACATTAATAAATAATTTGATTTGAAAACACTTTTTTTTAATATATAAATAATAGATACAACCATAAGATATAGGAAACATCCAGACCAATACAAACTATCACACTCATGAATACAAATGTTTGTCCTGTGCGAGGAACCGAACCCGCTACTATCGCAAATAAAGCAGTTTAGAACAAACCACTAGACTATAGGAGCCGCCAAATCAGTACCTTTTTCCCCTTCATATGCGTAGGCAGCTCGTGAACCATGGTAAGTGTAGCGGAAAACACAAAGTTCTGACGACTGCTACGCTTGGTGTCATCAGAGTTCAAACGTTCCAGCAGAGGCTGCAGTTCTTCGAAATGGCCACGCTCTATCATACGGTCCGTTTCGTCAATAGCTAGGAACCTAAAGAAAACAATGTCATAATAATAAAAATAATCTTAGGACAATTCACACAGCGCCATCTAGACCCAAGTTAAACTAAACTTGTGTTATGGGTACTAGATAACTGATACATATTCATATTTTTTTTTTGTAAATACATACATATTATACATAGAAAACACCCAGACCGATACAAACAATCATACTCATGAATACAAATGTTTGTGCCGTGCGAGGAATCGAACCCGTGACCGTCGGTCGTAAAGCGGTGTGCTAGACTGCTAGACCACTACAATATCCCAAACAAGGTTATAATAATTATTGAATTAACAAATTATTTAACCCATATTAACATTGATTCATAAACTAGGCTGGGATCGATCCCGCGTCCAATTCAAACGGGGATCGAAATTACGACGGCCTGAGTAGAGGTGAAAACCTCTAGCGGTGCCCTCGGACTATAGTCAGGCGGGAGTTGCCCTTCTGCCGCTCCATATGTTCTTCCGCTGGTTTGGAATGACATCTGCACTCGCTCTCTATCGTCCGGTGAAGCTGTAAAGGCCAGCTACGTCCAACAGCGTTAGAATAGTTCGAAAAAAAACTATACTAGGTTTAATATAGTCCGGAACCACAATATGAATTTTCATTCAATATAACGTTTCATGTAACGCCTGTAACGTCACTCATGTGTTACCATTCTGTTTTTTATAAGCATACGGCCCACCTGATGGTAAACGGATACCGTAGCCTATGGACGCCTGAAACACCAGGGGTGTCACGTGCGCGTTGCCGACCCTTAAGAAACCTTAATATACCCTTCTTGTACAACCGCATACTATAGTCTCGTGAGATAACCTCAGGAGGTAGTTCATTCCACAATCTAAGTGTACGCAGGAGGAAGCTCCTCTGAAACCGAACTGTCCGAGACCTGTTAGGTTCCAGCGTGTGGGGATGCATTCCCTGTCGATGGCGAGTATATTTGTGAGGTCCAGGGATATCCAATTAAAAAAAGTTCAGTGGGATAGTTCATGTAAGTGTATGGCTACCATCGCAACCAAGAGCTTCTGGCCGGAAGAACCAGGTTCCAGCGTATAGGGAAGAATTCAAGCGTTAGGCCGCCAGATACTATAAAATACTGTTAACTTACTTGACACAGTCCAACTGCTGTAGATGCTGTTGCCCCTGCTGCAGTAGCTCCCACAGGCGTCCAGGTGTCGCTACCACCACCTCCGGTCCCCGCGCCAGAACCCTCTCCTGTTTCACCGGCGCTAAACCACCTACTATTGTTGCTACTCTTATACCTATGTCGCAGATAATAAAGTAGATTTTAGAAAAACACTAAATTCAAAAAGGTTTTGTCTAAGATCTTACTGTTGCCAGACGACTTTACAGATGCAGGCAGACAGTAGATAGATAGATAGATAAAAAAATTATTCACGTTAAAGACACACACAAACAAGGCACTGTAATAATAAGAACAAAAATAAAAACAGATATACAATTACATTAGTTAAGTCAAACCAAATACAATACACAACAAATATATAGATAAAATAAAGTACAGCCTAAGAGAAGTTTCTGGGACTATTGATGATTGGTATTAATGATATTAACTGTAAAAATGAAGAAATAATAATAAACCTGGGACAAATGACAACAAAGCAATAACACATAGTGTCATGTAGTCCCAAACGATGCAGACCTTAAGTTATGAGTAATAGACAACTAATATGTTTACTTAATCTCAAATTCAAATTTAAAATATCTTTATGATATTTCATGAGTTCAGAATGATTCAGAAGAAATGGGAAGAACTAATGATCTTTCCAAATAAATGTTGTACATGTTTACAATATTATAGATTCATTTTTAAATTCAAATTTTGGAAAATAGAGTGACCAGTATGTTATTGCAAAAGCAAAAAGTCTAAACAGTGTTTGTAATCTGAACAGACCAGTCCTCACAAGCACAAGTTCACAAATATGACAGACGAGTCAGCCATCATCGAACTCAACTGTACTAGATGGAGCACATTGACCCGGCCCAACACGTCGTCATAAGTTTGAACTTTATAGCGAGCATGACTGTGTAGTGTTTAGTTCCTTAGGGTCTTTAAGTTGAGGTCCAAGTCACTATAATGTAGTAAGATGAAATTGTTACCTGTATATTTAGATATTGCAATTAAATGCCTGCTGATCTGTATAGCAAGCTCCCTTGTGGGTGTTAAGATCAGAGCATACAATGGCTTCCCAGTTTTTACGACAATATGTCCAGGTATATCCACATCGTCTATGACTTTCACGCAACCTATGCCTGTAACAAATTAAAATCAATCAAGGTTAATTCAACAGAAGCCAGCATCACGACTGCCATGACCATTCCAGTTAAATAAAAAAATAATATTACTAATGACTTCAAGCTGAAAGTATTCTTATTAAATAAAAATAAAAGTATAAACAAATTTGAATATTACAAATCAATACCTTCTTCATTTTGGTGCATTTCACTTTCATCTTCAGAATCTCCATCATTTGAAAATTCACTACCTTCTTCCTCATCATTACTACCTTCACTAAGCGCTACATCACTGTCAGACACATCATCATCTGATACTTCATTATTATCAGTATGAGTATCATCATTTACAGATTCATTATCACTTGAATCAGCTAAATCATCTGAGTCAAGCATCTCGGAGAGATGTACATAATTATCACTGTCATCACTATCTATGCCTTCATCAGATGTTTGTTTTTTTCTTATAGGCACATCAAACTCTTCTATAAATTCGTTAGCTGCATTTTTATCTCTTTTATTTATTTTTGGTGATTGTTTTTTTGTAGCCTTATTGGCTTGATTATTTTTATTTTTAATACTTTTTTTTGTTTTTGCATTAGTATTCTCTTCAATGATATCTTCATTGTCACTATCACCACTTCCATAACCATGTTCAGATGACTCTTTATCTTTTTTAATTTCTTTATTTCTCTTGCATTTATCTTTTTTGTCATGTTTAGATATTTTATTCACTTCATTCTTTCTTTTCACTGATGTCTTTTTGTATGGTATTTCATAAACATCTAAACCAGCATCAGCTTTTTCCTTTAATTTCATAATACCAGTGAGTATTGGCAGACCAAAAGCAAGAGTTTTGCCACTCCCAGTTTCAGCTGCACCTAAGATATCTCTGCGACCTGTAACAATATACCCTCCATTTTACTATTCTGTGAAACCTAAAATTTTAGATATATTAAAAATCTTTTATAACATACCATGTATAGCTGCTGGCAAGGTCAGCTCTTGGATTTTTGTGGGTTTTTTAAAGTTCAACTCCATAAGTGCTTTCAATATAGGTTCAGGGAGTTTAAATTCAGCCCAAGTCAACATATCTTCAGGAGTCAAATCGGACACAACCTCAGTAATATCTTCTCCAAGTTTTATTTTAACTTTTTTACTGTTGTCAACCCTATTTATGATTCTTGTTTTATTTGATAAGGATGGTGTTACTGTATCACAATTTTCAACTGTAAATCCTTGACTTAATTTTACTCTCTTTGTTGGTACTTCAAGTGTTTCACTTTCACTCAGCTTTGTTGGTGTTTCAAGCACAACCTTTAAATTCTTGCGTTTCTTACCTTTTTTCTGAAAAAAGCAAACCATAGACCGTATGCAAACTATTTTTTATGATTTTTTGATCAATCATTTTATACTTAGGGGATATTGTCATGAATGAATGTCAAAATTTAAATAAAAATTAATACAATAAAAATATTAAAAACTTTGATTTGGTACTTCATATAGTGGCGCGAGACGTAGTGGGGGCTTAGTAAGGTAACAACAATGTTAGCCATGTACCATGTCAAGTTGGTTTCTATGTACTATTTAATAATTTACGTATATTTGAATCAAATGTGGCAGGCGGTATTAATATTTAGCTCTCTATTGCCCTTTCCTTCACCAGCCAGTAATTCAGTCGAATATAATGCTCTCATTTCGATTGTGGCATGTTCTCACGAAACTACAATATGGGATTTTTCAAGAAGGGCTTTCTTAGAGGTCGGTAACGCACATGTGACACCCCTGGTGTGTGTGTTCATAGGCTACAGTACCCATTTCCATCAGATGGGCCGTATGCTTGTTTGCCAACATGGTAGTATAAAAAAAAATTACATACGGGTAACAATTCTAAGTGGGTGTATGACTATTCTGTATAGGTTCTAAGTTTTTTAAAGTTTGAATCTTTTGCCTAAGAACAAGAATTATTCAAGTAGTTTCAATATCTGTGACCTATAACATTGCCACTTCAAACTGTGAAGATAAGTGAACAAGAAACACCGGCAGATATTTTTGGATATAGTAAACAAAGTGCGACATGTGATGTTACCTTTTTAATGCAGTTTTTTGTTTCCTTATCAAATCCGTAACTAGTACATTCTTCGAGGCCCACGAAACCTTGAAAATTGTCTGTCATAGAGATGGGAAAACCATCCAAAGCAATTGTATCCCATTTCATGTTTTTATAATTTTTATTCATGTTTCCAAAGCAACTGAAACAAAGATAACCTAAAACATAACCTTTTGAATTTCTGTCATCGGCTGAATTGACAATTACAAGACATTGACGTCCAATTTATTTGACATATATGTTATTTATGGTCAAATTAGATAACATCTTCTACAAATTATTATTAGGGCTATGGAACACAGAGACGAGAACAAAATCATCATGTGACATGATGATATAACATGTTATATTCAAGTCGTAACTGAAATATCCAGTGTAGTTGGGAATAATGTACGATAATGAACGTTAAATAAATTTTCAAAAAAGAAGGAGAATCTCATGATTTTAATTTTTTTTGTGTTAAATTATTTTTTATTGTTTCTATTTTTTTTTAATTTTATTTGAATTCAAAACAGCAGCATATTATTTAACACTTAATAAACGTATACCAATGGAGGAGAGAGAATGGGTTTAGTCATGGGAACTGACGGCACTATTTTTCGTGGCCCAGCCATTAGTAGCACAGGGTGGATTGTAGGATACCATTCCATTATACTATACATATATTATAATTAATCAAATAAAAAGAAATTACACTCAAACGTGCGGCAAAAATTAAATAAGCAAAATTGTTGTCTTTGGATTATGTGCTGCTTATGGTACTACTGATTGAGTAATGCATCTTAATGTTTTATAAAAAAATTACTTAAAAAGCATTAAAAAATAGTCTACCAATTAAATATAAATTTAAATGTAAAATTTCTGTTGGCAATTAATTTTTATCATTACTATTTGAGATTTAATATCAAAACTAACATAGCTCTATGTAATTATTCTTTTGCCACTACTATATCATGTCATAAAAAAGTATAATAGCACGCTGCCAACCATAGACAAAAGAGGGAGGAAATTTGTAAGTGATCGATTTTACGCCGGCCTCAAACTTCTCAACGGCATTTTTCTTTGTTTGCTCGTAAACGCGTGGACAATAATTAAATAGCATCCGCGCGGCCGGTCCAGCTATTGCAATGGCGAACACGTTTCGCGGAGTTACGGTCTCCGCTGTAAACAATGACGGCACTCAGGTTCCGCGCTTCAATTTTCCCACAAACGTAAACGTGGATTATGATCCACAAGGGCTAAGTGTTAAAGTGATACGTGCTGATCCAGTGTTAGCTCAAGAGGTGCTCGAATTCCCCGTTCACAACCAGAGTGAGTGTTCCCGCGTCGTCGGCCAGTCGTATATTTTTACGATCGACAATGAAACTTTATTTTTCAAGTTCGCTTCTGAAGCCGACTGTCAGAATTTTCACCTGCTCGTCAGTAAAATCAAGGCGGGCCGGTCGTCATCCGTTTTCACAGTGCGCACCGAAGATTCGTCGGCGATGCAGTATTTCCAGTTTTATGGTTACCTAAGTCAGCAGCAGAATATGATGCAAGATTATGTGAGAACTAGTACGTACCAACGAGCTATATTATCTAATATCAACGATTTTAAGAACAAAGTGGTGCTGGATGTGGGCGCCGGTTCAGGAATCTTATCATTTTTTGCCGCGCAAGCTGGAGCGCGTAAGGTGTATGCAGTAGAAGCTAGCAATATGGCGCATCACGCCCAAGCTTTAGTACGCGCCAATGGCCTTCACGATCGTATCACTGTGGTAGCTGGCAAAATTGAGGAGATTGAACTGCCCGAGACTGTAGATGTGATAATTTCGGAGCCAATGGGCTATATGTTGTATAATGAGCGTATGCTGGAGACATATCTGCATGCTAAGAAGTGGTTGAAACCGAATGGCAATATGTACCCAACTCGTGGTGACTTGCACATAGCACCATTTACTGATGATGCTCTGTTTATGGAGCAATACAATAAAGCTAATTTCTGGTACCAAACTTGCTTCCATGGAGTAGATCTAAGTGCACTTCGTACGGCAGCTATGAAAGAGTATTTTAGGCAACCTATAGTTGACACATTTGATGTTCGTATTTGTATGTCAAGATCTGTGAGACATGTTGTTGACTTTCTAAATGCACATGAAACCGATCTACATCGGATTGAGGTACCATTCAGATTTGAGTTGACGCAGTCTGGTACATGCCATGGACTGGCGTTCTGGTTTGATGTGCTATTCGCAGGCAGTACACAGCACATATGGCTATCGACGGCGCCTACGGAGCCTCTAACCCATTGGTATCAAGTCCGTTGTCTGCTTGAAACACCAATATTTGCCAAACAAGGCCAAGCATTGACTGGCCGAGTGCTCTTATTAGCCAATAAGAGGCAGAGTTACGATGTTACCATGGAGGTGAATTTGGAGGGAACTAATATATCATCATCAAACACGCTGGACTTGAAGAACCCATACTTTAGATACACGGGGGCTCCAGCGGCACCTCCTCCTGGTGTTAACACTACCTCACCAAGTGAATCATACTGGAACTCTCTAGAAACTACTGGTACGTTGACGAATGGACAGGGTGTGATTCTTGCAGATGGAACACAGCAGTATTGCTCGACTCCTGACCAAACTATTGCTTACAGTGGCCACCCAAATATGATTAAAACAGTGATGCTACAAGAGGAATTCATCAAGAGAATCGGGATTAGCCAAAATGGGGACATATAATCCGCAAAGTCGCGCCGAGCGCGCCTTAGGGCTATAAGGAACCGTAATCGGTTGTGAACATTCTTCCGTTCAGACTTTGTTAGTGTTTAAGAGAACTTATTTATTTTGAATGAAGCATCACACTGAAGAGGACTGTATTTAGTTAGGAGTTAACTGGCCTTGTCTATGACAGTGAAATGCAATAAAACAGAGCGCCTTCTCCGTCGACATTTTGTTTTTACAGAATGACGCTTACTAGTGTAATTCGATGAAAAATCTGCTTGTATGTTAATTGTGGAAATTTGTTGTAAATATTCTGTGGTGATTAGGAAATAACGGGCCGAGTTAAGGGTTGCTCTAGAGTTAGCTAGAGATGAAGTACACTTAGTATAAGCAATAAGTGCTGATTTTTAATGATAATGCTTATCATTGTCAATACTCATTTATCATTAGAGCAGGCTCAATCATATTAGTTAGGTAGGGGAATCGAGTATTCTATTGAAGGCAGTTGGTGATGTAAGGAGTTTTTCAGTTTGGTCACAATTTGTCTATGGTCCATGTATCTCATAATAATTTGAATTTAGAACGGTATAATTGTGACAATGGCCATGCTGCTAAAACTCTTACTTGAAGGTCTAGGTTGGGTAGGATTCCATGTCTGCCGATCAAAACAAACTCTTGAGATTGTGGATAACATCTGGAGTCAACCACTAGATATTTCAATGATATTTTTATACATAGCCATACATAAAAGTTATGTTTCTGTAAATATTTTAAATGTAAGATAAAGTTAGTGACATTTCTATTTTTTTTTTCGCTGAAATTTATCAGTATTCGTTTGTGTTCCGTACCTTTAATATTTTGTAAGGTTTATTACATTATATAATAGCTATGTACCCAAATGATGATTATAAAATTATCATTAATTGTGATTACTAATTTATGTTGTACATGTGATATCGAATTATTAAATCAATTCATTTAAAATATACATTATTCTTGTCTTCAATACATGACAATATTTGTATAATCTGCATTGCAAAGTATTAAATAAAATAAACATAAAAGTTTAAAGTTAAACACAGAATAAAACATAGAACTTATAAACTTATGTATTACGTACTCAATAATAAAAAATCGAAGTTTATTATTACAAATTCAAAATTATCGTCTAATTTTTATTCATAAACGCTCGAGTCAATGGAAAATCGTGAACGCTTAACGTAATGTGATACGACCTTAATTGTAATATTTTTCCTGTTGTCATTGTAACATTATGACCAGCTGAGATCTACAATCTTACGTCATATAGAATTAAACAATGGAAATAAAATTGGTGCTGTAACTATTTGCACAAATAATAGATTTGTTATAACATGACTACCTCAGGATTTGGCAGACAATTGGAGCTTTTGGATCGTCAAATTAACGTCGAGGTATAAATTAAACATGATCTCCGATCGATCCAACATCCAATTCAAACGGGGATCGAAATTAGGACGGCTTGAGCCGAGGTTTAAACCTAGCGTACCCTCAGACTAAAGTTGTATCCGTCAGGCGGGAGTTGACCTTCAGGCGCTCCATAAGTTCGCGGGTTTGGAGTGTCATCTGCACTCGCTGCTTATCGTCCAGTGAAGCTGTAAAGGCCAGCTGCGGCCAACAGCATTTGAGTAGTCGGAAATAAAAAAATAATTTAACTATTTGGTTAACTTATTAATTTGCATTGTAAATCGTATTAAGTTGCAAAGTAAATTAGCATAAGACTCGACTGATCATAAACGGAAAAATTTTGACAAATGAATTGTATTTACTGTGATTTTTTTTAAATACAACTTTCAGCTATATTTTTGTAACTACACTCATTGGTTTTGCTATTTAAAAAGCAAAATAGTGATTAAAACGAAGGAGTATCATTAAATGTTATTTTTTGAGATTGTTATATTTTACACCTCGACGTTAAGTGATAAGATCTTTATTATAAATCTTAAAGCGATTGTCGGAAGGTCTCTAATAAATTGGCTATGTTAGTAGGGTTGCCACGTTTAGGAAAAATTCGCAGCGTCGTGCTGCCATATCACAATAAGGATTTGATGACACGCTTGTAACTATTATGAAGCATACGTTAGTTTAGTGGTAGGTAGTCATAGAACTTTTAGTTTCACGTCAGCATGAATGGCAACCCTGTTCGTAATACCTATAATAAAGCCAGACTCGCTTGCCATTAAATCAATTATGTTATTAAGAGCAATTCACTTAAACAAGTTAGAATTGTAAGGAAACAATTGAACAGAGTAAAATGACAACTTCATTTTTTTATTAATTAAAAACTAATATGGACAGTGTTGTGAAATGACTGTTTTGTCCCCCAGTCCTCTCCCTCCTCTCTCCCTCTACCCCGAAACCCCTCTCCTCTCTCCCTCTACCCCCAGAGTTTACAATCAATTACAATCTTGTTAATACCAACTTTAATAGATTTTTTTTTAATTAATGCGGTATGGACAGTGGTGCTAAATAACCGTTATGTTCTCCCCATCCCTCTTCCGCTTCCCTCCTAACCTTACTCTATGATCTCGTTGATGGAAACTTCAATGGTTGGATTTTTCGATCAAATTTAGGTTTTAAAGAAAAGCACTCAATGAGCAATGTCTATCAAATAGATATATATTTAGCGGTATTGAAATATTCAAGAAAAGAGCTTATTCCTTTTTAAAAGGCCAACAAAGTACTTGCAATTCCCCTGGTGTTGCGGGTGCTCGTGGGCGGGGGTAATCACTTACCATCAGGTGAAATGTCGTTTACCTCCTATACTATAACAAAAATCCTTTTTCAAAACGTGTGGGTCTTGTTCTTAATTTGTTTTTTTAAAGCACAAACTATAAGTAAATTGCGACTCTGTCCTTTTTTTATAGCACCCAAATAACACTATATCGTGATATTAATTTAACTATAGACAATTTTTTTTAAATGACTGTTCGATTGTTTCTAATAGTTGATTGTATTTCCCATACCAATTCTTTTTTCTTCCGATGTCATATACCGTAGAGAAAAAAAAGAAATAAACGCGAGGCAACGATTTTTATTAGTCATATAGATAATAAGATATCTTTTGTGATACATTGTTTCTTTTGGGTTGCCAGTACCCTTTTTCATCACATTTTTTTTACAGTATTATATACTGTTTTAGACTAGCAGGTCTATAAATAAATTGACCTCATATAATAAAAGAGTATTAAAAAATGCAATGCCATAAACCCCCTGTCCAATTACGACGGCCTGAGACGAGGTTTGAACCCCGAGCGGTGCCCTCAGACTAAAGTCGTATCTGGCTGGAGTTGGCCTTTACCCGCTCTATAAGTCCTTCCGCGGTTTTGGAGTGCCTTATACACTCGTCTCCATACCGTTCGGTACTGTAAACACCAGCCGTGACTTACAGTTTTGGAGTGATTTACAGTTTTGAATCTTCTGATTGGGTTTCAAGAGCAGACGTGCTATCAGCTGTGAATATAGCATCACAAAGATGTAAAGAGATAGTCCAAACGGTAATGAAACAGGAATAAAAAAGAACTGGAATTCCAAAATGGCCGTTTTGAATTGTTCATAATAGGATCTAAAATGATTAATATTAGCAATACATGTAGTTTTATATAGATCGAAAAACCCTAATACACCCCTATTAGGGTTTTTCGGTCACGAAAAAGCGTTACGGTAACACTGGGCACGTGCCCCCGGGCCCGCGATGAATTGCGGTCCCTAGTCTAGTCCGGTCCCTACTCCGTTACCAAACGATAACCGACAGCTACTATATTCTTGCCTGAAAATCAGGCTTAACAAATGCTTACCGACTATGGACAATTTGTTCGTTTTTGTTAAATTTTTTATAAATGTCTATCAAGAACTTGAACCTATGAGGGGTTACACATAACAACGTTTTAAAATTATTTTTGTCTGGTTTGTTTTGAAGGTAGTGTATCCCTAAAGAAACAGGTTCAAAAATGATTTTGTCTATTTTAAAACAATAGAGCTTTATTACTATGGTCATATCGTAATGTGCCCAGACCCCTAATAGCTGAAAGACGGCCCTGTGTACATTATATATCGCGTTATCCGTTGAAGTTTCACTTCTTTGTGTCCCAGCACATATTACTTTTTATAGAATCCGTAAAGTGGGCGTGTTTATATGAATTGCTGATCTCTCTATGACAATTGTTGAAAGAATCTCATTGGTTTATTAAAATGGCTCATTTTGCGGATCGCCTTCTTGATAAATTTAAAGACTGCACTGAAATCGGTTAAGCTGTTTCCTACATTAACGTGCAGAATCTATTATATAAAATTGTCGTGTTACAGTGCTTATTACATATTCACACACGGCTTGGCCTATTCTTATGAAATTTTGAGTGTAGATTCAGTCTGAGATTAGGATGTTAATTATTTTTCAGACTCCTAAGTGACAAGGGTGGTCTACCCCAAAAATTTTACTTATAGTCGTGGACAAAGTTTTTATTTTAATTTTTTTATTACGTACTATCCTATATAAACCATTCTACCAGATACGTACATAAATACTATAAATTGTATTGCATATATCAATCACTTAACAATCCTATAATGAACCGTCTGATTAAGTCTTATAAGAAGGCTTTGAAATAGTCACTTATTATGATTCATTTCATATAACCAACAGAAATATATCCTTCGGCATGGTATAAAATTAAATTTATTTCCAATCAAAAGATTAAAAATCTTCTACATATTGAACATACATAAAAACACATAGCATGAACACCCTTTTTTGAAGTAGGTTAAAATGTAGGGACTATTAACTGTTTGTCTATGTGAAGTGAATCATTTTACGAATCGGGTATGGTCAAGATAATATGTAGGATATTTCCTTCACATTATTGTCTCGTGAGTACACGTAAAGGATACTCATAAAAAAACAGATGTATAATAGTGAGTTGAGTATCAAATAGTTAATATGAACTTGTAAGGGGCTATCCATAACTTATGTTACAGCGATTTCAGTCATTTTTATCCCCTCCCCTTCCTCGACTCAGCCATAAGTCCCTCCCCCCACTCAGCCAGTAGTCCCCGTTCCCCCCACACAGCAAGGAGTCCCATTTCCCCTCTGACGTTTGAATTCCTAAAAAATCGTGTTTTAATATTTAAATTGAAATACGTTGTCACAAAATCTAAGGCTAGAAGGCTGAGAGAGGGGTCCTAGATTACAATGTCACACTTTACTTAATATATGACATCGAAGACTCAAATGGGTGATGACAATGTCACATTTTTTAACGTGTGACATAATTACGGATGGCCCCTGATTGTATTACATATTTAACATGGGTTTTTTTTCAATATGGCACTTTTTATTGAATCAAAGAGTAATGATGGTTGTGTATTTAGGTGAATCAATTGAATTATGAACTAGTCTTTGGGAGTTTGATGCTATGGATTTTAGTACTGGTACTGTTGGATTATGACTAAATATGAGGTCATAATAGTCTAGGATTGCATATTTATATATATTCATGCATATAAACCTTCCTCTTGAATTACTAGCTATGATCGTTTCATTCGCGTGAAATTTATAGCCTATTTGTAATTCTGATGTATAAGCTATGTTATTATAATGTTTCGTTAAAATACATTCAGTAGTTTTTGCGTAAAAGAGTAACAAACATTCGTCCATCCACTCGCAAACTTCCGCGTTTATAATATTAGTAAGATACATTAGAATAACATAGGCTGTGAATTTAAGAAACCGCGGACACAGCTAATAAAAAACATGATAATTAGTGTTTTAAATAAACACACTAAACCCGTTTGTAATGAAAGAATTTATTTATCTGTATTCATTTTAGATTTCGTACAAAATTTCGCGGCCTATCGCTAACAAGTCCTTACCATATCAGTACCGAAGTC